TATATAATTTAAATATTTTTTAATATTTTATATATATCTTTACTAAATTAAAATAAATTTTTCTTATTTTCTTTTTTTCTACTTTTAAAATTACTAGTTTTTTATTAAAACTTTCTTTTTTATTATCTAAATTATCTTTTTCCTTTTCTATAGTATATAAATACCTTAATTAAGCTATATTATTATTAAGTTATAATAGTAGACTAAGCCTAAAGCTTAAGTCTATTAATTTTATCTAGTTAATTTAGAACTTTTTAATATTATTTCCTAACTAGTAGTACTTATATTTTTTATTCTCTAGCTATACTATTTTAGCTTTAGTACCTTACTTATCTTTATAAATTATTATTACTAAATATATTTATTAGTTTTTATTATTATATTTTTAATATTTATAAAATTATTATTTAATTTACTACTAGCTTTAATTTTAATATATACTTCTAACTTTATTACTTTAGTTATTATTTTAAATAGGAAGTTTTAGGCTTTATAAGAATTAGTAATATTTCTAGTTTTCTTCTTTATTTTAGTATAAGAGTTTTCTATATCTTCTTTTATAATTACTATAGTAGAGAAATTCTAGTCTACTTTAAGTAGGGAATCTTAGTTTTCTATCTTTATATTAGTTTTATTAGTTTCTTTAGTTATTATATAGGTTTTACTAGTTATTATAGGTTTATAAGTTTTAGCTAAATCTATTTAGATTACTTTAGTTTATATTTTTACTTTCTTTATCTTTATATTTATTAAACTCTTTATATTCTTTTAATTTTTTTTTAAGGTTTTAGTAAATATATTTTAAGTATTTTATAGTTTTCCTTTACTATTAAATAAAAATTTTTTACTTTTTCCTCTACTACTCTTAGCTAGTCTTCTAGTTTTTATATAACTTTTAAAATTAAGATAAATACTTTTAAAATAGGATTTAAATAATTATATAATATATTATATTATATAAAATAATCTTCTAATTTTATAATTTTAATATATCTATAATATTATATTATATAGTTTTTTATATTATAATTATTTTCTATTATTAAAATAATATAAAAGTTATTATTTAATTATTTAACTATTATATATAATTTAATATTAAATACTTACTTTAGTTTTAGAATCTACTTTTTTAATATTTTATTAATTATTAAAATTAGCTTTTTATTAATAATAATAATATTTTTTTATTATATTAGTATTTATTTTCTAAATAATTTTAATAAATTTATAAAGATAGTTTTAGTTATTAATAAATTTATTATAATATTATCTTATACTACTTAAATAAATAGTATAATATCTTAATAGTAAGTTAGTTTATTTTTAATAAATATATTATTAATCTTATATATTTTCTTATCTATATTAAACTATAAGTATTTAATATCTTTAATTTTTTACTATATTTTCTTTTTATTTATTATATTAACTAGTAATTCTATTAATTTCTTAACTACTTATTATAATAAATCTATTAAAAAGTTAAATCTAGTTTATATTAATAAGATTACTTATAATAATAATAATATAGACTTTATAAATATTTATATAAATATTATTTTATAATTTTAAAAAGCTTATAAATTATATTTTTTTAAAATAAATATTTTAATTAACTTTAATTTTAATTAAATATTTTCTAGTTTAGCTATTAATAGTATTTTAGTTATTAGTAAAAATATAATATCTTTAATATTATTTAATTAATTAATAATTTCTATTTTTTATTTTTTAAGTTATTATAATAGATAATCTACTTTATTTTAATATTTTAATATAGACTTTATTTAATTTCTTATTTTTTTTATATTATATTTCATTTTTTTTAATTTTCTTAAGATAATATTATCTATATTAATATTATAGGTTTTTATAGAGGTCCCTTATCCTTATATAAAATTTTAATTATATAAGTATTTTATAATATAAAGTACTTTAGTTATTAATTTCTAATTTTTATTTTCTTATTTTATAATTTTTAAAACTTTTTTAATTTCTAGTTCTAGTTTTAAATAACTTATTAATCTAGTATTTTAAGATATTATTTTTACTTATTTTAGTAAAAGTATAATTAGATTAATTTAACTATTACCTTTAGATAAAATATTAAAAATTATTTAAAGAGCTTATTTATTAAAGGTTTTATTAAAAATTAGAAATATTAATTAGGAAAACTACTTTTATAGTAATAGAGTCTACTAAAGACTAGTTCTAAGTACTTATTAGCTAGTAGTAATTAAAGTAATAGTAGAAGATATTTTCTTCTTTAGTAGTATAAGTTTTAGAAAGTTATTAAAGTCTTTTATTATCTTTTTACTTTTTATTTTTATAAACTTATTATTTTTAAGTATTTTAATAAATTATAAAAGATATTAGCTTATAATTTAGTATTTATTAAAGAAAATTATTTTAATATAAAATAATAATATTTTATTAGCTATTATATATTATTAGTTTTATTAATATTAATATTATATTAATTATTAATTTTAAATAAATTATTAAATTAGTTTTTCTATAGTTTATTTTTACTTTTTTATAAGAGCTTTATAATTAAGTAAGTAAGTTAATATAATAGTATAAGTTATAAAGTCTTTAAAAAGAACTAAGTAATATTATTACTATTATAATAGATATTTCTATATAGTAGTTTTATTAATACTAAGAAGAGCTTTTACTAGTTATAATAGATATAGAAGTTTTAATAATTATAAATTATATATTAATAGTTTATAATAGTAAAAAATTAGTTTTCTTTTTTAGAAAATATATATTAGAAGTACTTTTTATATATATTAGTTATATTTAGAAAAGTTTTACTCTTAATTAAAACTAATAATAATTAGTTTTAGTAAATACTAAATCTTAAAGTTATTAGTTTTACTTTTTATTACTTTTTATTTATATAATATTACTAACTTTATAAATAATCTATTAATAAATATTATTATTATATATTTTAATTTTATAGGGCTTAATAATCTTATATTAGTTAACTTTTCTATAAATATATTTTTTAATTAAGTAATTAAGTACTTAGTTATTTTATATAATAGCTAATAATATTATTATATTTAAAACTAGAAATAGAAATAAAGTAATTATTTAATTCCTACTTAAGCTTTAATTAGCTACTAGTTAATATACTTAATTTAGTAAGGTTTTATACTTTAGTAAATATACTATATCTACTACCTCTATATATATAATGTAATTATATTTTGCGAAGGTGTCCTAGTTATAGAGGAATATAAAATTCTACCCTTAAAGGTATATTTAGGGTTAGGTACTTTTAATTATCTTAGGGGGGGGGGCACTATTATATATTCTAGCTTTATAGAGCTTAATAATCTTATATTAGTTAATTCCTCTATAAGTATACCTTTTAGTTATATAGTTAAGTACTTAGTTATTTTATATAATAATTACCTTTAAAGTAAGTAAGTTATATTCCCTTACTTTTATAATTATAAGTTATTACTTATATCTAATAGTAAGGTAATATATTAAAAGCTATAATAATAATATTTTTTTACTTTTATTTTTATAAAATCTTAAAAATATTATTTTTTTTACTATTATTATTTTTTCTTTTATTATAATAGTAACTTTTTATAAAAATTATTTTAAATTTATTTAATTAACTATTTATTTTATTTTATTTTTATAGTATATAAGTAAATTATATTACTTTATTTTAATATTTAATAATATTTTATTAAAATTAATTATAAATTTATTATAAATTTATTTTAAAATTTAATATTTAAATAAAATATTTATATATTATTTAAATTTATATTTAATATAATATATTTTTAATTTAGATTTGATAAGTGGCTGATTAGGAGGTTGGCTAGTTTGTAAGCGGTTTTACTTGTAATCATTAGTAGTAGGTGGTTTAGGAGCACTTCAAAATATTCCTGGATGTTTTCGAGCTCCTTCTCGAGGCATCAATGACTCTAGGACTCGCCGTTATGGCCAATCGACCACCTTTGCTTGTATGTCCTTCCTATCAGACTTCTCCACTACTTTCGCGTTCCTAATATGGTATCCAGATGCAGATTTGGCCCGGCTCGTTATTGTCTCGTCGGGCATGTTTGCCCAAAATTCTTCCCGTCACCGCCTTTAACCCACCTGCTCATCCTCGGCGGAGTGCTGCGTCGCTCAATGGTGTTAGTTGCCCAGATCAGCCAAGTCCAAAGCCTGGCAGGACACATGGCAAAGCTGTGGCTCGGGTACAAATTCTTCACGTTGCCCTCCTGGAATACTTTGTCTGACTGACCGACCTGCAGGACTTGATCGTCTCTGTCTTAGAGTCTGCAAACAAAAGGGATGCGAGAAGCTACTTTCAGAAGTATGTTGGCCACCGAAATGCGTCTTTCGAGACTCCTGGCCCGCAGATCGATCTCCCACGAACAATTAGGGACCGACCCCTCTTCATCCAAGGGGCAAATAATGTCGAGGCTAATTATAACCCTGGACCTGGGCTTCATGTTGCCATAGTCAAGATATGTCATCCCCAAACAGTGGATGATTTAACGATGGAAGGTGTTGCGAGGACACTTTCTCAGCTCCGGACTCTTGGTCTCCTGAGCATCATCATCCTGGATTGCGGACAACAATCTACGCTCGACCTAGGCACCGAACAAGCAAACCGCCTAGCGATCTTGCTTGGAAAATTCGATAAACACAACGCGATTGTGCTGGAAAACAACCTCATATTCGATACTCAATCAACATTGCTCTGGGAAATTCTCAACGCAGGGCGAATTCCCGTCATCCATGAATATCTTTCGTCCTATGTCACCGGGCGGATTGAGAAGTTGGAGTCGGAAAGCATGGTCGTCGCGCTCGTCAAGCTGCTCGACCGTTTAACGCCTTCGGAACCGCCCGTCAAATGCCAGAAAATTGAGGTTGGACTCCCCTCTGTCCCTCTGGCCTGTATCGAGTCGATAATCGTGCTTGACCCAGTTGGTGGGATACCCATGAAGGGCGAAACATCTATGCCTCATCGTTTTGTCAATTTGCGGCAAGAATATGATACAATTATGTCCGATCTGAAAGAGGAAAAACAACCCCGACGGTCAACAATACTAGGCAGGGATGTAGCAAAAGCTCATCGACAGAACCTGTCAATGGTTAATGCTGCCCTGTCAAGTTTGCCGCCAACTACCTCTGCTTTAATTGCCTCGCCTCTCCTTGCTGCAACTACTGCGCGACCAGAAGCAGTCACCCAAGAAACAATCTCAACTAGCCTTCACTATGCGGGGTTCGCTACGGTGAAGACTCGCCCAACGAAAAACCCATTGATTCATAATCTCCTCACGGACAAGCCAGTTTACTCCCCGTCTCTTCCGGTGGATAAACTAACTCGGAAAGACTTGAATGGTAAATATGAAGCGAGGACTGAGATGGCCACACTTGTAAAGCGGGGGATGCCTGTCACTGTGTTAAGTGCAGATAACGTGAGACCCGGACAGCCTCCCTTTCCTGGAACACCCCGACTCAGGCTCACTGATGAGCGTGTCGACCTTTCTAAATTAACCTACCTGATTGAAGATTCCTTCAATCGTAAACTGGACGTTGATGACTATCTGAGGCGAGTTAATGACAAGATTGCGGGCTTGATTATCGCGGGTGATTATGAAGGTGTTGCAATTCTCACCTGGGAAAAGCCCCGGGACCTGTCTCAGGAGGAGGCGTACAAACAGCACCGGTTGATTCCGTATCTTGATAAGTTTGCGGTTCTGAAAAGTCGGCAGGGAAGTGGTGGAGTGGCAGACATTGTCTTCAACGCCATGGTCCAGGACTATTTTGGCCACGGCGTCTGTTGGCGGAGCAGGGCTGATAACCCAGTGAATAAATGGTATTTTGAAAGGTCAGTGGGCGGCACCAAGAGGCTTCACGGTACGCAATGGGTCATGTTCTGGACAACACCTGGTCTAAAGGCGGACTCCCAAGTATTGTTGGATTATGAAGATGTTTGCAGACAAATAGAGCCATCATGGGCTACTTGACGGACATTACGAGTTTTAAACCCTTCCCATAATCAAGGCTCCTCCGACTCGCACGATCACGCTACGGGCCTCGAGGATGCCTTGGCGGTGTAACATCAGGGGGGAAGTTTACATCCGATAGCGTCCTATAAAAGCTACATTGGAGATTCAATGATAAAAAAGAAATAATATAATAAACAGGCAACAAGGACATCAAAATAGTAAAAGGGTTAAGATTGCACCAAAGAGACACCCAATTCGTTAAAATGCAAGGCCCCTTGAGCTTGGTTATGGACCTCATGAAAGGGAGAATGGCATCGGCACATTCTCAGGCGACTAGGGGTTGCTCTCCCTGCTTTGGCGGTAGCTTGTCTAGGAGGTGATGGTGGATGAGTTAGAAACTAGCTCTGTCGCCAACTTGAGAATTGAACTCACCTCCTGCTCTACCTGGAGGCCATCTATGATGGGAGCTAGCTCGCTTAGGATTTCAAAGGCCTTCTTGTGGTATTCTGCTTGAGCAGCGACAAGCTCGGCTAAGTTTCGAAGGGGTTCCGGAGTGTCAAGGACCTGCAAACATGCGCATCTGTGATTAGCCTCTGTTTCTCATCCCAAAACAGTGCCCCTTGGGGATTTGATTTTCGTGAGAGACGAGCACATACATTCTTCATGACCCCGACGGCCTCCTCTGTTTGCGTAACAAATTCATCCTCAGCCTTCTCAATCTCTTCTTGGGCTTCGGAGCTCAACTCGTAGTCATTAAGCTGATCGGTTCGTGGTGACGTTGGGGTATGTAATTTCCAAGTAGTACCCTTAACACGAGCTTTGGTTGTGTCAAGTGATAACCGCGATTTCTCGACATTTTTCCTGGCACGAGTTGCAAACGCAAGGTTGGTGTTAAGGGTGGTGTTCCACCCAGCTAGGAAGTGGCTTTGAATCTGGGCATCCTGGGTAAGCCGAGCCTCGCCCACGCGCTCCATAGCGAGCGCGTACTTCTCGAGCGCCGTGGCCAGCGGATCCTCTCCTGCACCTGCATGATTCTGGTGCAGTACTTGGCTGCTGGAAAGTGATGCTCGCGCGATCGCGTGGTTGAAAGTCTTAGGCTGCGGTTTCGCGGAGGGCGGAGCAACGAGGGCCGCCTGAGCCTCTGCAGGGGTGGTTGCTGCAGAAAGAAGCGACACCTTTTCTGATACCGTGCGGCCAAGGTCCTGAAATGTCTCCTTAATATTGGGCGGGTAATCGTAGGCCTCGTTAGAGTAGTGAGAGCTAGAGTTCCGAGGGACATATCGTCAGACCAAGCTTTGGGTTGCGAAACAACAGTCGAACTCACGTTACGGCAAGCATCTTCTGATGGGCCTGTTTCAGTGCATCAACGCGCTTCTCCAAGTCGATATAATCGGGCGGCAATTGTGTCTGTCCAAGGCAGAGTTAGAATGACGATATGAAACTATGAAGAGAGTTCCCAGGGATACCTTATCATCAACCTGTCCTAGTTGTTCTTTGGTATACTGGAGAGTTCTCGACGCGAAGGGGGTGATCTGGGCCCCAAGGGATCTGGTCGAACCGGAGATGTTAGAAAGCTCTCGGCTGATGGTTTGGAAGAGTTATAATATCATACACAAGTCCCTTCCCAAAGTCCTTGAAATCCATCTTGACCAAATTCAACTGTAAGGCAGATGAATGGAAAACGTTGCTGGAAATGATGATAGGGGAATGTGCAACTCAGATAAATCCCAGGCGAGCATGGATAACGATCAACTCTAATTATACGGCTGCAAGTACGAAGTACACAGGTACAAAGGTACTTTTTCTCGCGGTAGCTAGTGTGATACGGAGGAGTACGTAATGAGCAGCCCACCATTCCAATGTTGGTCCAAGTCTGGTGTTGTCTCGGCAAATTAGGAATGACTCAGCATCCACAAAAGAAGCTTAGTAATAGTGCGCTAGAATCGTGAATCTCCATTCGACCATATTATCTCCTTCGCTTCTCCTCAAGCGATGTCCCCTCTGATTTAACAATATAGAGATCTGGACATAACAGTGCATTAAGATGAGGCACGCTTCTCGCCTTTTGGCACGCTACCTTGAGCCGGGTGTGCCCACCGGCCTGACTGGCCTGTGGACGCATGCCACCCCAAGGTCAGCACTGCTCTCTATCTACAAGACTACTCTCGCAAAATTGCAAAGATTTCCGGAATCTTCACTTTATCGCCAATCCATTGAGTCCCTCACGAAGCACAGACTTGCCCTAGTCGAAAACACGGTTCCCGCTGGTTACGAAGAATGGGTTACCAGGACGCAAAAACTGATTACAGAGAACCCCCAACACTTCCGCCTCGTCGAAAATACTACGGGTGGCCTCGGCCCACGAACGTTTCACCTTGGCGGACAGACCTTCGTCATTCCTCAAAGACGTGTGCAGAATGACATCAGGGAAGAGGAATGGAATGGGGAGGTAGACGACGGCCCGTTGCTCGAAGGTCAACGAGCAGCGGAGGAGAAACCAGGTCTGGTCTCTGGAGAAACAGACGGCGACTTGCCCGGCCATGTTGAGGCCCATTTAAGTAGCGAACCACAGCTGACTGTGTCTCAGTGAGAAATGCTCTCAAATTATCCCCAAGTTATGTACCTTTTCTAACATTCGGTAGAATCGCCGAGCTTGAGGATGCGATTGGTGCTGGCCTTCTCGAGGAGGTTATCCAAGTAGCAGAGGGCGAGCTGAAGCTCTTGGATATTATGCAGGAGGCCGAGGTGTAAGTCCACAGCACCGTATTCATGTTTATTGGGTTGTACCAGGTGAGAGGCTGACGATAATATCCAATAGCTGGGAGTCTCTGGAAGAAAAGCCCGCCGAGGGCCAATGGACCTATTTTGATAGGAAGCACTAGGGAATGTTCAAGGCTCGTTGTACAAGTTGAAATCTGTAAATTCATATTCTATTTAAGATGTACAAGCACAGTGGTGGTTTATTTACTCGTTGCCTGGGACGTTGTAGTTCCCAAGCCTAGTCCCATCACGCGGTTTCTCACCACACACAGTCCGCATTGAGTTACATCGGGACCCGGATCTCTGGGACAGGCTGCTACGTAGGGTATGCCGTGACTGGGAGAGTACGCAAATGTGTTCGCGCCGAGGGACTGGAAGGAGGCATATGAAATCTGAATCCCACGGCTGGGGCTACGGCTCAGGTACCAAATTTGGAGATAAGACGTGTTTCTCTTAATCTAGACTTAGACGTCATTTCCCATGGCACACGTCTGCGTTACCTAAACGGAACATGGTCTTAGAGGAAGGTGAAAACAACTGTGTGGGCTATCACCCAGCTGGACATGATCTCCAACAGAGTCAATAACCCTCAGTCCCCATGACTGGTTTCGACTGCCGTGGGGAGGAGTGAATCTGTCTCGTTGCACTTGAAGCGACCCGGGCGGTGCTAGCACGGATGGGATCACTTGGTAGGCCTCAGTACTCGTAGCACGGATCAGTGTCTCTTTAAGTCTCGTTAGAACGGCCCTTTTATACTACGCGGACCTACCCATGCCCACCGGGGCTCACACCCAGGATTAGGGCCGCGTTTACAGCGCATTGCCGACTCAGAGGCAAAGCAAAAGGCATCAGTCTTCGCCCCTCCTCCCCGCCCCCGCTCACTCACGTCTCGGTCGATTATCGGTTGCACCACATCCTCCACACGGATGGCCTCGAAGATGAGCTCTACCATGGGATGCGACTCCTCGCCCTAAGATGAATAAAATTCGTCTTCTGAGGGCGATGGAATGTTTATTCGCCATGAAAATAGCCTCCTCTTCACCATCTTTGAAGAATGAGAGCCACGTTCGAGCTGCCCACGACGACGCACCATTCTCCACCAGGACTCCAACCTACCTGGCGACCAACAAAACTTGACATTCCGAAGGCTTCCACTTTGTGGGCTTTCAAAGGCCTGTGTGGCGAATCAATATTGTACTTTGATTCCCAACTTAGGACGGTGTCCGTGGAGTAAGCCCCCACGGCCACCAGAGCTTTGGGAGCCTTGGCTTCTGACTCGTTCGTCCTCAGCGTCGACCTGGACATGGCCCCTACCTCCGGGCCATTCGAATCGGTAGGTTTGCCCGGAGGATGGCCCGTCCCAGCCCTACGCGGATGTGATAGTTGCAACCAGGATGGTCGTCCGGGCCCCTCACATCCCGCGTTCTGTGCGTTGGCGATTGAGTCCGTAAAATCATGATACGCTCGGAGCCGCTCAAAATCCCAGAAGAAAATTCTACCGTTCGCATTGCAGAAGGCAAGTACTTGGTTCTGGTCCGGTACACAGTGAAGCCGAAAGCGCATGAAGAACTGCGGACCGCAGCCAGGAGTATCAAACTCAAGGATCCTCGTGTAGAACACTGGACCAGCTGGTGATATGGATGGGCTGAAAGCTGACCGGGTTAGGCGACTTGGGTCGTAGGCCGTGGGGGCGGTGGATTGAGGAGGAGGAGGATCTCTGGAAGAGAAGCCCTCGATGCCCCACAGAACTATCACTTCGTCGTGGCACGCCCTGGACAGAATTTTATCGCCGTAAAAAGCGACACTATGGTCACATCTGGCATTAGCGAAATTTGGTCTCTGTGGAGTATCCCGCTGCCGTGCCGTCTTACCAGTCTACCAAGGCACTATGAATCTCGGAAGTTGAGAAGTGTGAATAATGAAGCTCGTTGGGACGGAAGAGAGGTTCGTTCGGTAGGTCGGGTAGAGTCCACTGCTTTCCCGTTAGCCATGAATTTTGAGGAAGACAACGCGCCTGTACCAACCAAATTAATCACGCCATCATGTCCCGCCGAAAGCACATATCTCCCCGAATCGTGGAACGCCTGTTCCTTGGAGGTCAGCCGCGACTAAGATTTCCTATCATGGGATCCTTGGGTCGTGAAAGAGTTGGAGCATAGCGCTCCAGCGGGTACTTACGACACTGAGCAGCCCGGCACAGTGGCCCTCGCCACCAAGCAGGTAGAGACATGGCTGTTTTGAATGGACTCTATCGAGGCTCCATATCCTCACTGTCGTGTCATCTGATGCCGAGGCGATGATCGAAGGGTCATCTGGCGACGTGGCTAGATCATTGATTTCCTATATCGGCGTTAGATTGACCATCGTTGGACTGGCAGATGCATCTGAATGTAATACCCCCCCATGACCAACAAGGCACTGTGTTAGCAAGTATTAGCCAAACGAGTTCGCGAGTATGATGGCATGGGGGTTACTCACGCTAGCAACAACCCCACGGGTTATATCGTAGACTTTGACCTTGCAGTCCTTTCCGGCGACGCATAGAAGAGGCATCCCGGTCTGCTTGTCCTTGGACCATGTGCAGCAGCAGTTCAACGCAGCATCCTAGTATGATGGTCAGCAGTCTGGGGGAGCAAGATCCACGGTATGTCCTAACGCCCGTCGATGGACTACGTACATCGTTGTCTCGGATTACATTGATGATCTCGCAGGGACTGGGGTTGTCCCTTTCCTTGGAAAGTTTACAGATAATAACCTGTAATCAGTGTTAAGAGTGATCGCGAAAGCTCGAAGGATTTACGCCTACATGCTTCTTGCTGATTGCGGCAAACACAGGGCTTTGATTAAGTGGCTGGTAGGGACAGAACTTGATGTCAAAAAATTCTAAGGGGATTGTCAATAGTTCGAACACCCCAAGGACAACTGATTAACAGTCCCTACCCGCAACCGAGTCTTCCTTAGCCTTGAGATACCGAGTATCCGTCTACCTGCGCCGTCAGCTCATGCTCCGATGGGATGAAAAAAAGTGGTCTGCCGCGAGCGTTTACCTCGAGTCCGAATGACACGCGTAGTCTCGGTAGCTCAAAAGCGCCACTATCAGATACCCCCGTGTTGGTTTTTGTTGGAGGCATGAGTCCTACAGGGCGTCAATGTCATCAATCTTTGATTTAAGATTAGGCTTTAGAAGAAGGGATTGGTCCTCGTGACATTGTGTCGTCCTTGAACAGCCAGACTGACGTTCCCCGAAGCACAGGAAGGAACTCGGGCATACGGGTCTCTCGAGTCGTGCTGAATTTGGTCAGGGAACCAACAATGAAAGCGAAGGGCGAGCCTGGCTCACCTGAACTAAAGACCCCAGCCGACAACTTGACTTGGAATGACCAAGACAACAGCGGCTTACCTAATGGGAGAAACGTCCAAATTGCAATGATTGATCGAATTGAAGTTGTAACAATTGTGATCAATAATTCTGGCCTTGATCGAATAAATTTCCAAGAATTATCTGAACCGTATTATTATTATTGATCTAAATTTTGACCCCACGGTCTCTTTCGAGTGCTCTTAGTTTACACACAGCACGAAAGATGTCGAAGCCCTCCCAATTCCAAAAATATAGGAACCGCAGAGCATCTTCTTGCACGGGTGTTTACGAAAGTATTGAGAATCGTTTGTTACGGTCCACGTCCCCTGTTAGATGTTTGTGTTTGATCTTGGATAATGATTGAATGCCGATGTGAATATTTTCCCGGACGACCCTTGGGCCCGCCACAATACTGAATTGCGGTTCAAGAGCAACTGAGTTCTGCCCATGATAGGACTTCGTACAATCGATGTAGTGGGCTGCGGCTGGGATACCTGCTTCAGTGGTTGAGGATTGCCCAAGTTATTGCGCAGGGCTTTCCAGTCCACTGAGCAAGATTTGATCTGTTGGCTCGAACTGATGGCTTTTGGTTTCGCTAGAACGCCAACCAAATTTTAATACATTGATCGAACCCCCAACACACATCTCGGATTTCTCGCCTGCAGGTAGGATGCTTATGCATGCGTTGTGTTGAGGAGCCACAGCTTATCCGCATCAAATGCTCTTCATTGTTATTTTCCAGCATCCTCTAAACTCGGGACCCACTGCCGTCGACACTTGATCATCCTCTCTCGACGCCTTGAATCTCCAGAGATTGGTTTGTTTACATTCCTGAGCCCGGACTTGAGCCTTTTCTCCGGTGTACGCAATATTGGAGGAACGATATTGTATCTGCGACCAGTGTAATCAGTAGCCCTACAGAACTGTATCTACCATTCCAAATGGATCAGACCTTCATGACTATTCATAGTAAGTGCTTCTCTCCTCCCGTTCCAAAGGATCGGCATCTCGGCTTTGTAATTTTAGTCTCCTCGTCTCAGCGTGTCTACCTAGGCGCCTCTGCCGGCTTGCATAGGCTAGGCTGATGCTCTTCCAGATCTGTCTTCCGAGGCCGTCATTCTTTTCGTGTCTGCGTCTGTTGTAGATGTTCTGGACTACCTCCCCGAAGAAGTCCAAGGCAGGTCGTGTTTTGATTATTTCCACCCAGACGAGCTGCCGTTCGCTCGCTCTGTCCATAGACGCAGTATCCTCCTCGACAAAGCGGCGGTCCTTCATTACTGCCGAATACGAGCCCGGGATGGGAGATGGATAAGATGCGAATGTTGTTTTACCGTGGTCCACGATGTCCTGGTGGCTTGCACAAGCATCTATCGGCGAGGCGAGAGGAGTGAGAGTAGGTCCCTCTATTGCTCAGAATTAGCGACCGCATAGCACTTCCTACCTTATAAGTCTCACCTAGCCCCGATATTCACCAGGTTTGACTAACCGTGACAGGGCGCGCAATCGAGGCGCCACAGATACGCCGCATCTTTTCCAGCTCTCCAAGGGATCCCAGATATCATATGCTCGAACACCTTTCGCCGAAGTTCAAAACGCCGCCAATGGAAAGAGAACCAAGAGCCGCGCTTATACTAAATCGGTTCACTAGAACACATACCGTCATGTTCGCAACCACCGCCGTTTCGGCGGTCCTTGGCGTACGACCGGACCAGATCCAGAACAAGAGCTTTTATGAATGCATCCGAGAGAATTGCCTTACTGACGCTGTTCGATGTTTAGAGAGTGCAAAAGCGAATGACTCTCTTGCCTATTTACGTTTTTGGTATCGGGACCCTAGGAGACAGGAAGACTTTCAAGAGGATGAGAGAAATAATCAAGGAAGCGATGAACGAGAGGCTGTAAACGATGCTCGGATAGCATGTCTAGCGGACTCGAGATTAGATTTTGCACCCAGTGCATGGGAAGGCTTAGATGGCCAGTATACGAAGCGGAGTTACCATTCAGTGGTTCATCGGCAGACATCGCAACAATTGCAAGCCAACTCTTCGAGGTTGGGGGACCGACAACTGCAGCAACAACATGTTCTGTCGCTTGAACTGGAAGCTGTCATCTCTTGCACCTCAGACGGTTTACTCGTCGTCTTGCGAAAAGCACGCCCGGTCATTCCTGTTCCTCACCCACCCCTGCTACCCTTCGACTTGGAGACCGGGCTTTTTGCAGCGCCCTGGCCCCAATGGTCGACGACGCCGCCTTATGTCCCACCTGATGCTTCGTATAGTTTCCGACCACCTCTCCATCCCCAGTTATTGCCCCTTAGAGACAATGTTGCAGCGACCGACCGCGCCCACCTGGACCAACTTATGAAGTCCATTAGGGACGTGGCTGTCTTCGCCTGGGCGCTAGTCGGAATAAATGAAAACATGACAGCAGACAAGAGGGGCATGCCAGCAACCGACTCTCAATACCCTAGCAACATCCGCTGCGGCTTAGGTCCTACCTCGGGACGTGGATATTCTCCTCAGGCTCTTGGAGTGACCGAAAGCCCTACCAGAGTTACGGATGCAGCCGGCAACGGACATTTTCCGCAGGCGAAAGAGGCAGCGCTTGATGCGGTCGGCCATTCAACTCCTGGCTATTCTGACGCCTCAGCATCACGGCGTCACCTCTCGGGTTGGCCCCTTCTAGCACAATCGCTCTCTAACGACGGACTGGCAAGTGATGACAAACGCCGTCCACAGTCACTGAGCCAACCACATGAACCCAAGTCTAGCGGTCATAAATTGACGAGCTCGATGCTCTCTGGACTTCAAAGCTCCTCAGCTAACTACACTACTTTGACCGACACTTGCAGCGGCGAGGATTCTCGATGTACAGAGTAATGTTCAGTGTTATAATAATATACTCCAGACCACAGGCAACGAAAGAACAGCTCTGAATAGAATTGCATTTCGAAGGACCTACAATCTTTGAGTGTCCATGCTCGATCCAGAAAGCGGTCTGATGATATGAAGGTCGCTATAGAAAGTCTTGTCCTGACCCACATTACATAATAATAAAATAACCTTATTAACTAAATAAAATTATACTAAACAGTATCTTCTCCCTCCTTTAAATATTTTTCCTTCTTATAGTTAAAATGAATTTAAAGTATTATTTAATTACTTAAGATTATATATATAATTAAAAGAAATATGTATTTATAGAGAAAGAGTTTCAAGACACAACTTTTTGTGGCGACCTTCGTACTTTGTAACCAACCGCAACCACGGAGCTGAGACAATGACTCCACTTTCTCGGTTTTGATTACGTAATGAAGTAATCAACGATTCTGACGCGTTCCCTCCCCGGGACTCGACGACACAAGCCCTCAACACCTGGGACATTTATAGTATCCGTCGCTATCATTTGACGTTAAGTAACAATTCCTGGTAAACAGCACAGAGCTCGAAGCCGGGCCTCCTCAGTCCTGCTGCCGCTTATCATCCTCTAGCAGCTCAAATTGCAAGACGCTGCGATGGCTTCTTCAAGCAGATTAGATCCTTATGACAGGAACAACTTCGCCGACGATGAACTCATAGACCCAGATGATGGTTTGCCGCCCCATTCCCCAGTCTATAATGCATCATGAGCTTAGCTTACACTTCGACAGCGGACTTGAATGACTTTGATGATCCTCTGAGCACCCGCGCCTCTGCCAGCCAGTTAGATACAACGCCTTCCCAGTCTCTTCATCAAACCTACCTTACCTCCCGCATCCCCGGTGAAGACCGTCGCGCACCACAAAATACAATCGACGAATCAGTTTGGGCAACTCTACGCCGCGACCTCCTTGCTGTCTGGGCTAAGATGCGCGAAGTCCTCTATCCGCGACACCTCCTGGCCGGCACAGTGTTGGAATCCACTAGCGGCCTACGGGGGGCCTACGAGAGCCTCAGAGATGGCGGTATTTCCGGGGCTCGTGATGAGTTTGCCGGGTTGGCTGGGCGAGTTATGGATACGGAGGCGCTACTCAGCCGAGGCAATATACCTTCCGGCCTGAAAGATTGGGATTTATGGGGTCCACTTATATTCTGCCTCATTCTCAGCCTATTGCTGAGTTTTAACGCCAGGCCTGATCAACGAGATTTGGTTTTCAGCGGCGTTTTCGCCCTCGTGTGGATTGGGGAAGCTGTTGTGACTCTGCAAATCAAGCTCCTTGGTGGGAATATGTAAGTGTCACGTTGGACAACCCCTTCCATCTGCCGCGTCTTTTCATCCCACTGACTGCATTCTCCCAGTTCCTTTGCGCAGAGCGTTTGTGTTATTGGATACACACTCTTCCCTCTCGTGATTGCTTCCCTCCTTTCTGCGCTGGGTCTTATCTGGATAGCGCGGATACCTGTCTATCTTTTCCTTGTGGCCTGGTCACTCGCTGCTGGCGTTAGTATACTTGGTGGCAGTGGGGTCATTAAGAATCGGGTCGGCCTTGCTGTCTATCCTCTCTTTGTATTCTACGCGGGTGTTGGATGTCTTTGTTTCATCAGTTGACCCTTAAAATATGTGGGTTTGGAATTCGCGTTGCGGGTAGAAGGGACCGCCGTGCTTGCGTCATCGGCAATGCAGCTACAAATAGTAATTGGTCCGAGAGGACAATCTGCTCCATTTTGCTAAAAATGCAAACGACCCTACTTCTACCTGTTGCTCGCCGCGAGGGTTGGCGCGGCGTAGTTGTCAATGAGTCTATGTGAAGCTTGACTCAGCGGACGTGCAAGAGCCTACCTAATATTTGAACATGATTGTGCTCTGTTTCTCGATTCCCAGATTTAAGCAGCCCCTGACGCGACGTGCATGTATTGCGGAACTTGTTGTCACATGGTGGGCGTGGATTCGCAACATTCCAAGTCCTTTCAAGCACCCCTAAGCTCGCGCTGTATGATACTTACCTCGTTCATGAACGTCTTAGCGTTCGCGGCGCTCATCTGTACGCTAGGTCAGCATGGCTAAACTGGGGGGCTACTTGCTGTGAAGTTTTTCGCATTACCTTCATATTTACACTGAATGGATGGGGTGGTCGGTCCCCTGGCCCTGACTCGAAAGCTGTAAACATAATGTTCACAGCTTTAAGTGACGCTTTCTCTTGGAATGTCATAGCAGGAAGAAGCACAGTGTTGAGAATAAGGCGGTGGGTCTGGTCTTGTCGCATGATGAGTCGCGCACCTTTGAACGCATCACTATTGGGCTGTCCCCCATCTTCTTCCTCAAGAGGGGACGCATCAAAAGTGCCAGAAATGGGATTACCATCCTCATCCATATCGACACAGGTTGCTGGGACATTGATCTTGAGAATGCCCGCGCCGCGCTCTTTCCATCCCACATCTTTATTATCATTGTCGATGTAATACATCTTTGCGCGGACTTGGACGACAGTCGCCTCCCCGGCTTCGCCGTCATCGACCGCGACTTTAATACCTCACATTAGTACGGTCCTATACACTTCGGAGGGCTGTGGAGGTTGGTTTTCAAATTTACCTCTTTGAAGCTTCAGCTTCCTCTTTTCATCCACAGGTGCCTTGGCTTCGTCTCTTTCTGGAGAGGCTTTTGTGCTCTTGTCCTCATCGGATGCCGAATCGTCATCGGTCCTGCCGCTATCATCTGCGTCCCCATCGCTATCTGGAGCTCCAAAAGGCCGTGCTTTGCCTCCTTGTTTCAAGGATTCGCCGGAACCAGCAAAGGAAGTGAGCTTTCCCGACATGCCTGTGGAAAAAGGAGATTTGAATGAAGCCCCAGCCCCGTTTGAGCTCGTTGAAGCCAGGGTCAGGAACGGTGAGGAGTTGCTCGCCTGGGAAAAGCTAAGGCTAGGCTTACTACCGCCAAAACTCGCAAATGATGACTTGGGAGCTGTGGCACCAAATGAAGATCCTTGAAAGGACGCACCCAATGCACCAAACGGAGACGTTGTTGAGCTTAGCTTTGAGAAACCGGAGTTGGCAAAGGCGGAGGATGATGATGCTGAGGGTCCATTGGCCTGCGCGCGGATTTTGTTACCGACATCTACACGATTCTCGGGAGCCCTTGGTATCTTGGAACCCTAGTCATATATATACAGGTAATTAGAGAGGAGGCTCCAACCCATCAACACTGGGCAAGAGGGAAAGGGAGTGAGAGGAGATGCCTACGGCTAGTGGTCCTCTTGCATGTCCATCGTTCGCAGCGTCGGCTATATTGCCAGGAGGGGATTGTTCATCCCGATGGCGTTTCTTATCGGGCTCGAAGGGATAATCCTATGTGGGCCCTACCATGTCAGTGGACTGGTCTTTTTGTGATCCCCATAAGTTTTAGGTGGAGCTAGGCACTTCGCATGCTTGGTCTATAAATGCGAGCAGGAAGGGAAGGCCCTTTTTGGGGGGTGTCTGAAGGGTTGTTCGCCTAGAAACCGGGCACGGATGGCGAGATGATAGCAGGGCAAGCGTTGCACGGAAGGCTCTGAATGCGCAGTAAATAAGAACGGAGAGGCAACCCGCTGGGATCCTCACCATCTAGCTCGATCGGGCAGAGACAAGAGAGGAGTGGCAGCGATGCGAGGAAGTGATGGAATTTGCTTTACCTGATTATCACCCCCGACATCTGCTTCGGCAGTCCCAGAAGGTTCGTTTGCCTCTAGTTGATCGTGCGCTCTTTTCTTCTTTGGCGATGAGATTTGATCTCGTGGGCTTGTCTGCAGGTGCACTGAGTTTCGGTCGGGGGTGCTAGGACGCCGCACAACCTCATCCGCCTCGGAAATACTGGTATTTCGGAGCTCCTCTCTCGCCGCGGTAGTTTCGGCGTCTTCTTTAAGAGGCTGGTCGGAGAGCAATTCGCTGGCCTTCAGACTCGGCGACCTCGATTCGGGCGCCATCGCCGGCTAGGTAGAAATGGAGGCCTACTCTAGGTAGCTATCGGGTGGAGGATTGAGAGTTGGGCGTTGCTTCGTGCGCTTCGAAAGAATCGAGCATGGAAGAGCGGTTTGGGGAGTGTAAAGAAGGCTCTTCTATTCAATATGTGCCGATATTCACCCGGAAACTCGTCCAGTAATACAGGAGGGGTTGCGGGGATGGGAGTGACAGCGATGGCGATGGCGATGGCGGTTGCGAGTGTGCGGGCAACTGTTCAATGTATGTTGATTTCAAGAATGTGATCCAGAAGTGGGGTGGGTGATTGTTCAACGTTTGGTGACAGCAGAGGCGATTACGGCTGGGGCCCCTCCTTTTACATTGTGTTCAGGACGTTGCCACTGACCATAGGGGCGGTATTACCTGTATATCTTGTGCCAATCTAGTCTGAGTACCCAGTGAGCACACCTTCATCAAATGCAATGGGAGGTAAACAAAACGGAAAGGCTGGGTTGGGCCTCATTCCCCGAGGAAATTCCATTCCTCTTGGACTTATTGCAAATAAATTATCAATGTTATTATCTACGATTTACGAGGCATCTGAGCTGTGAAGTCGTATCAATCATGATGAATTTGAAGTCGTAAGGGCGATACCAATTAATAGATGATCCCCAGAGCATCATGTGATCTGGCGTCACATTGGTGTGCCTGCAAGGTCGGGAGCAAATTAACTTTCTGTCTTCAACATCGACGACGACGCACTGCTCCTTACACTCCTTCGTAGTGACATTTGACTTTCACATCACCATCATTCCTATTCCCCGTCAATCAGCCATACCATGCTACATCAAATTCTGTTAGATGTGGTTCAATCATTTTATTACCTATACTGAGCATGGCGAATCGCAAAAGGAAACACGACGGTGGTGCTGCAGGCAATCAGCGATATTCACCAGTGCCTTCCTCCGAGGATGTGAGACTGCCAAAAGAAGTCATAGCTGGAGGACCTGTCGATTGCACTGTCGAGTGGCCAGGATATTTCGAAGACCTAGAGAAAGTCCATGGTGCCCTAAACTTAGTTTTTACGTTCTGCTGTTCGCGCAAACACGTTATCACCACGTTTGACAATATCAAGGGTGCTGTCCAGACCCATATCGGACGGCCACTCACCGTTGAGGATGTCGCTACTGTAACAGCAGTCCGACCAGACACCATCAACTTCTCATATGCCAATGAAGCAATGCTACATACGAACATTAGAGGCTGTGAAAGGGATACCGTCTTTAAGCAGAATCCATCCCAAAGAATCACCTCCCAAGGCCCACCAGCGGACGCTTCCGTGGGTGGCGTTACAGGCTTGGGTAATTTTGGTCAGGTCGGCGTTGAGGGTGATGAAGATGTTCTCTACTTCGAGTTTACGGACGAAGATCCGCAGCCCAATAAGCGAGGCCGATCACAGCCTCGCGGTGGTCGACGGCCGGGGTTACAGAACCTAAGATTACCGACCTTCGATCCCGGTCAACTAGCCCATTTAATCGAACGACGTAACGCGAAGTTCCACCTCTCCTTGAGCGCCTTCCTCGCACAATGCATTGATGATAACCTAGATCCTATCCAAACGCTCAAGGAACGAGCCTTGCAGTATCTCCCGGTACCACCGAAATCCGTGAAGCCAAGTTTGCACGGCCTGATAACCACTGCTGCGAACACAGTACCGCAGAAGCGGATATCAATTCCGAAAATCATTGCAGAGCTGAAATCAAGCTCTTTCTATTCCGGTCAGATCGTGCCTAGCAGCCATCGAGTCTTTGAGCCGCAAGCTGCTGTCTATGGTGACTTGGACTTCCTACTTAGCCAGAGTCTTGTCAATGCCCTCTACAACTCGAGAGGAATTGTGCAGTTTTACTCACACCAAGCAGTCGCATTAAACTACCTGCATTCCGGGAAGAATGTTGTAGTCGCAACTTCAACTAGTTCGGGAAAGTCTTTAATTTACCAGCTACCTATCCTGCACGCCTTAGAGCAGGACCGCTCATCTCGAGCCATGTTTATTTTCCCTACCAAGGCCCTTGCCCAAGATCAAAAACGAAGCCTGCAAGAAATTCTGAATTACATGCCGGGCTGCGACGGCACGCGAGTCGGGACCTTAGACGGAGACACACCCTTCTTAGAGAGGGCGTTCATCAGAGAAAATGCCAACGTTATCTTTACCAACCCCGACATGCTCCATGCGACGATACTTCCCAACGAGGAGCGATGGAGGACATATTTTCGAAACTTGAAGTACGTCGTGGGTACGTAAATCACTATTATCCTTGGCCATCTGATATGCTAACAGTACAGTGGATGAGTTGCACTTCTACAGTGGACAATTCGGGGCTCACGTTTCTTTTATCATGAGGAGGCTCCGCCGCATATGCGAAGCACTGGGAAATAATGACGTCCGATTTATCTCTTGTTCGGCCACTGTGGCAGACCCCGTGCGACATTTCAAGATAGTGTTCGGCGTTGATGATGTTGAGCTAGTGGACTTCGATGGGTCGCCAACAGGTATCCTTCTACCCCACCTAGAATATAATTACTGATTATTGACCTTTTACGAAGGGCGAAAGGAATTCTTATGTTGGAACACACCCTACAAAGATCCAGCAGACCCCAGCAGCGGTCGGGGGAACTCGATGATGGAATGCTCTCGCCTCCTCTGCGAACTTATTCTTCGTGGTGTGCGTACCATTGTGTTCTGCAAGACGCGGGGCCGCTGTGAGGCTCTTGTTGGCGCTGTCAGAAATGATTTGGAACAACTGGGACGTCCAGAAGTGTCAGGACGGGTAATGGCATACCGAGGAGGCTACACAGCCCAGGACCGTCGCAAAATAGAGGCCGACATGTTCGACGGTAAGCTTCTTGGCATTGCTGCTACTACAGCTCTTGAGTTGGGCATGGATATTGGTACTCTAGACTGTGTCTTGACTTGGGGATTTCCTTACACTATTTCAAACCTGCGCCAGCAGAGCGGCAGGGCTGGTCGGCGTAATGGGGATTCCCTCTCGATCCTACTTGGCGATCCGTTACCATCCGACCAGTACTACATGCGGAACCCCGATGATCTCTTCTCAAAGCCAAACGCCGCGCCTCAAATCGATCTTGAAAACATCCTCCTGCGCGAAGCCCACATCCAGTGTGCTGCACACGAGCTACCCATTCAACTGGAAAGGGATGCTGCCTACTTTGGAGCTGATCTCGAACGAATATGCCGGGATCACCTAATCATCGGTGATGGTGGTTTTTATCATTGCCATGGCCGATTTCTCCCATCTCCATCAAGCTTTGTCTGCATTCGAGGCTCGGGAGAACAACATTTCGCCATCATTGATACGACGGGTGGAAAGAATGAAGTTCTAGAAGATTTAGAGATCTCGAGAGCGACATTTACAATCTATGATGGCGCCATTTATCTTCACCAAGGAGATAAATATCTCGTGCGGGATTTCCAACCAGACAGACAGAGGGCCCTAGTCGAGTTAGTTAAGGTCAATTGGACGACTCGACCAAGAGACTTTACTGATATAGATCCTGTCGAAACTGAGGCCATTCGGAAATTGGAGGGTTCGCCTTGCCACGCCTTCTACGGGACTGTTAAAATTACGCAAAAGGTTTTTGGATTTTTCAAGGTGGATCAGCGGGGGCGTCTCCTAGACGCAATTTACGTCGACAACCCACCCGTAGTAAGGTATACTAGAGGGCTATGGCTGGACATACCAAAGGAAACCCTTGAACTTCTCAGGGCCCGCAAGCTTAACCCTGCAGCCTCGATCCACGCCGCCGAGCATGCCATCTTAAGCATGGTATCCACAGTCGTTCCCACCCTTCCTGGTGACGTCAGGACCGAATGCAAAGCAGCGAAGAAGGAGTTCGCGAAGAAGGAGTTCGCGAAGAAGGAGACATCGAGGAAACGACCTGGCCGACTAACTCTATACGATGCCAATGGAGGTCCCGCTGGCTCCGGGGTAAGCACCAGGGCGTTTAATCACATTGACAGCCTCTTACAACGGGCCCTCGAAAGGGTCCAAGTGTGCCGATGTGCCGACGGATGTGTGGAGTGTGTGGCTTCAGAGCTCTGCCACGAAGGTAACGAAGTTATCACAAAAGCCGGGGCGGAGGTGATTCTCAAATCTCTATTAAATATCAGTATTGATATAAAGGAGCTGCCGATGGGTAACGATGTTGGTATCGACACAATAATTGTAGCGAGTCCGGTACCCGTCCAATAATAAATAGTGCAATTATAATACAATTCTTAAAAAGAAAAAAATTTCTTCTTCAATTAAATCTATAACATATATATATATATATTGGGGGGGATTGTCTTTAAAGATTTCTTTTGAAGTTTATCATAAAATATCAGTTGAATTAGTCATAAGGAAGCTGGTTCATGCAAAGGTACATACTTAAGCTATCAAGGTAGTGTCCAAGGCGCCCGAGCAGCACGCGGAGAGCGCTAACGAGGAACTCCATTGTATCAAATGTTTCCCACCAAGAACACCAACTCGTTGAGCATCCTTTTGCGACTCGAAGCACCTACTTCGTACGCTCAATTTCTACCACCGCGATTTGACACCCAGTCAGGTCCTCCCCAGTTCTCGCGACATCTCTAGAGTTCGCTATCGATGTCGATGCTTACAGATCTCTTCCTGCGCTTTCAATCCCATCCTTGCTGCCATGGATCCTACAAGGCGCCGTCTGTCCACCTCCCTCCTTCAGACCAGCTAGATCTCGCAACTGACAAACTTCTCTTTCTTCAGGCGAGCTAAGAATTTTGAATGCGAAAGCCTGGGACGGTGATCAGGGTATGTTGAAATGACCCGACACGGCTCTCGTCGCTTGTTCCTTCGCAGTTTCCACTAACCTTCTCTATAGATGTATTTCCCACTAGCTCTTCGCTAGATTCGTCACTGAAGAAAAACACGGCGTTAATCAAGCGATTACGGACTGCTATATCCCCCGCCACTCTTAATACATTTGTGCAAGATATCCGGGGCCTCAGCCTTCACAAATACCTCTCCGAGATTATCTCGGCCTGTTACGATGGTCTTTGCAAACTTAAGTCGCCTGGCGAGGTAGAAGCTGGTGTCGAGATCGTGAGCGCTTTTCATCAGCGATTCGGCCCTCACGAGTTCACGAAGCAAATTGGGTGGCTTCTCGGAAAGGGCCTAGCTACGCCCGACAGGAGTGTACTAAAGTCGCTCGCTCAAGACTTGCGTGAAAGGGAAGAAAAGGATCGTGCCTCGCGTCAACGCATACTCCTTCGCGTTGTCACAGAGTTGTGGCTAGTCGGCGTTCTAAAAACTCTGGATGACACTGCTCGGCCAGATGATGGGATCAAGGGCACAGGGCCCAAGACCGACCTCAAGGCGAAAAACGGCGTTACTGCCAAACTTGGGGCGGGCGAACCCTTTCCACTCGAAGTTCTGAAAGACATCCTCGGACATGATCGTGAGCATGCAAGTCTGCCCTTGCTTGTCACGTTTGTCAAGACCTTCAGTTGGGATATTTTGGGAGTCCAGTCGACAGGCACCGAGGGGCGCAGGGTTATCGAGGAGGATGCTAGTTCAAAAGATCTCGTCACCCCAAAAGCTCCCCCTAGCGAGTCTGAAGCCTCTTCGGACATTCGTGGAGAAGGCCCCTTCTCTCCCCCAGAACTTCGCGACGCGTTTAGGTCTGTGCTACTGAAGTATTTTGAAGACGTCAAGCGCCATCTCGTCCGTGACCACAAATTCCTTCAGGAACAAGCCAGGAAGAATGCCGAGGTTTACGTCAAGTCGGGAGAAGTGTTTGAGGATCGACAGGCTGCCTACGAGAAGCATGCCAAAGCCCAGGAGCGCTTATTGTCTAATGCTCAGGTCATTGCAGACGTGATTGGCTGCGAAATGCCAAATCTCAAGGATCGGGAAGAAGGGGGCCAAACCATGTCTGGATCTATCGGTCTTGTAAAGGCCGGTGAATATCTTCGGTCTCTCGGGGATGGTGCTGGTATCTGGTATGACGAGGATGAGCGGCGCTTCTACGAAAATTTAGTCGACTTGAAAGGGAAGGTCCCTGCCATTCTTCTCGAGGATGTTAAGAAAAAGCGACCTGATTCAGACGAGACAGTCATCAAGAAAGCGGACCAATGTGAGGTCACCGGTTCGACTAAGTCCACCGATGGTGCGGATGAACAGTCGACGACTATCGGAAACAAGACGATTGGCGCCCAAGTTGATGCTCTCCTGGGCCGCCTTCCTGACTTGACGAGTAAAGATCTTGTCGACCAGTCTGCCATAGATTTCTGCTTTTTGAACTCGAAGGCCTCGAGGAACCGTCTGGTCAAAGCTTTAACAGAGGTCCCGAAGGGACGTAATGACCTTTTGGCATGCTGGTCAAGACTGATTGCAACTCTGGGCCAGTACATGCCAGACATTCCGAAGGGAGTTGTCGATTATCTCGATGCTGAGTTCCGCAGCCTTCAACGTCGTAAGGAGAAGGACTTCCTAGGCCAGGTTCGGCTTAACAACATCAGATACCTTGCGGAGCTCACTAAATTCGGCATCGTACCCGAGCATGTCATCTTTCACTGCCTCAAAGTGAGCCTCGACGATTTCTCCCGCATGAATATCGAGATAATGTGCAACCTGCTTGAGCACTGCGGTCGGTATCTCTTTCTCAATCCCGATACAGCGCCGCGGATGGCGAGTTTCCTCGAGACGTTGCAGCGGAAGAAGTCGGCGCAACATCTTGGCCAGCCCGAACGCATGCTCATTGAAAACGCCATGTACCACGTCAACCCCCCTGTCCGGCCAGCTATAGAGCAAAAGGAAAGGACGCCCATGGAGCTGTTTATTCGAAAATTGGTTTATGTTGATATGACGAGAAGAAATTACACAAAAGTTTTGAAGCAGATTCGACGACTGCATTGGGAAGAGCCCGAGGTACGCATGATTTCCACGCCGACAGCTAAGCTTATCTAACAGCTCCCACTTCACAGGTCGTACATATCCTCGAGAAAGTCTTCTCCAAACCTGGAAAGATAAAATATGGAAATATCCATCTTCTTGCCATCCTCCTAAGCGCCCTTTATCGATACCACCCTTCATTTGTCATACGGGTGGTAAACCTGGTCCTGGAATCCATTTCCTTCGGTCTTGAGCAGAATGATTTCAAATTTTACCAGAGACGAATTGCCGATGTTAGGTTTCTTGGGGAGCTGTACAACTACCGCATGCTCGAACATCCAGTAATCTTCGACACTATGTATCGGATTTTAACTTTTGGGCATGGTGAGTTATTTTTTTTTTCTCCCCTTCTTATGTTCGGTTGGACGGCGCGGTTGGCGAGGCTGTGCCACCATCATTTCGGGTTTCTAGCAAGAAATTGACATGCTTTGGCTAGGGGGTGTCCCCATCACAGGAAAAGTTAATCCCTATGACCTGCCGGGTGATTTTTTCCGTATTAGGCTGATCACTACTCTTCTTGAAACCTGCGGAATGTTCTTCAACCGCGGAGCTGCTGGGAAGAGGCTAGATATCTTCCTATCAATGTTCCAGGTTCGTGTTTAATCTTTGCCTACCCATCTCGGAATTCAGAGCTAACGTAGGCTTCCCTGCAGTATTATATTTACACCAAAGACACTCTGCCGATGGATATTGAGTTCATGGTGCAAGATATATTTGCGTTGACTCGTCCCCAGTGGAGGCTGGCCGCTAATCTTGAAGATGCCGTAGCCACTCTCCAGTCGGCTTTGTCTGACCAGCAGAAGATGCTAGCGACTGATAGAATCACTGAAATTGAAGAGCGCAGCTCAACCTACGACTCCGAGGATGATAATGCAGACGGCGACATTTACTCCTCATCCAGTGAGGAGGAAGACCTTGAAGTAGGATATGATGCACTCCCCTCACCTCAACCATCAGGATACTTTAGATAAAACTAACGCGCTAGCAGAACCCCCTAGAGGGACTTGATTCTCCCCAGGAATCGGATTTCCAGGAAGAAGCAATTGTTGTGACCCGTCAAGCAGAAGAGGTCGACCCAGAAGATGCTGCAGACTTCGAACGGGAATTCAGCCGAATGATGGCAGAGAGCCTAGAGTCTCGGAAATTCGAAAGAAAACCTCAGTTCGACGTGCCCGTCCCGATTCGTGCCAAGAATCGTGATCTTACGAAGTTGGACGAAGGCACCGCGGTCAACTCAGAATCGACCTCTGGAACAATGGCATTCTCTCTTCTTACCAAAAAGGGAAAGGGCCAACAGGTGAGTCGGGAGGTTGCCGCCGATATTGGCCATCTTGTCATTCATTTAGCACGCTGACGACCACCCGCCTTTGCAAGACTCGCACCGTGGAACTCCCCTCCAACTCAGGGTTTGCCGTGGCAATGCGAAACCAGCAGCAGGCCGAGCGAGAAGAGCAGCAGCGTATCAAAAATCTCGTGCTGAACTATGAAATCCGAGAGAACGAGGACCAAGATAGTATTAAGCTCCTCTCTACACACTAAGCGTACCTAATGAACGACCTTGCTAACGAGTCTTAGCCGCAGACGATAAACCATCAACGTATCATCAAATTGCCGCTAGGAAGCAGGGGAAAGAAAAGGTCGGCCAGAGGACCCGAAAACTCCAGCTCAGTGACGTGGAATGGTAGCAGCCTAAGTATGACGATTAATGGGGTTATCCCTTATCAAAGGTTATGATACTTGTTTCGTCCACTGGCCCTCTCGCCCAACATTTTCACGATCTGTACCGCTACCGGCTCACACAATGCCGATCTCAGACATCGTCGACTGGCGCCTTTCCTCTCAGTAGAGCGCGTAGGTTTGGGTCTGCAGACTACCGGTTACCGATAACAACCTCCGTCTATAGACGCACCATCCTCGTATTACCGTGGCGCCGGGCCTGTCGAAGTTTCTTTAGCAACAACGGATAGTTAATTGTTTTGGTGCGTGTGCTTCGGGGCCTTTTGTCTTGATCTTGGGGATGGGGGGGGGGGAATTGCTGACAATCGCTGACCCCTGTTCTTCTTAGCCGGTAGTTTCGTTCGCAGAATATAAAACGGTGGCTCCAACCCGCCCGCAAGACACGGTACCTTTATTCATGAGGCCTATCTTCCTGCGTGGTCCAAGGTCGCCTTGTGAGAAGAGTAGTCTGTCTGTCAGGGTCGCGGAAATTGAGGCCTGTGGCGGAGATTAGTGGATGACGGCCCGTCTTCGTTTCGGGGTTCTGTTTTCTTTACACCACGTGAGAGATATACTGAACATGAATGTGGCAACAGTCCCTGGGCATGGCCTCCATCCATAAATCAGAAGTCTGTTTTGCAGATAAACCCCGTGGCAGTTGCTACCACTGCGGTCTCCATTCTGCATGTGCATAGAACCTCCTGAGACAGACGAGTAGTTACTAGTGGAAGCCACATCATCACCCTTTCGAACCCATGCAAGCTGTACTGATTTGCCTGCTTCTTTTGGTCGCCCGTTTCTCTTCCCGACCCTGGGACATGTTGTTACAGAGAGCAGTCTGTGTGTCACCTTGCGGAGACTTCTGTAGTATCTACTGGGTAGGTGCATTCTCTTCTATGTCTAAGCCCAAAAATGGACCGGAATGTCCAAAATCACGCCCTATATCAACTGTCCTCTGGTATCCTCGCCATAGAAAAGGGGCCTCGGGACTTGCCTACGTACATCTCACTTCTACCCTGACAACCTTCCATTCTGTGAAACTGTGGGAAGAAGACCATGTCTTTATATTGTACCGCCGATCGTTCAAGGCCATGGCCAACAACTGGATCAAGAGACAATTTTAAAACCTCCCTCCCCGGCTAGATCGAAGGGACTTCCGAAACAATGAGAGAATGCACTGATAACGGACGATCAGTGATAGCTGTCGCCGAGTCGGGGCCGGGGAGGGACATTCGGCGTTCCTCGGCATGGTCGGGTCGGGAGTGTGGCTGAAACTGGGGGTCGTTGTTGAATTATATATACAGATGAGCCATGGGTGCAGCCCACCATGGAGGGGGTTCCTTCATGTTGAGTGTTCCGCGCTGTGCTCTGCCCAGGTGTTCAATAACAAAGTCCCTGGCTTTTGATAGTAGGCGATTTAAGGGGATAGCATGATCGATATTTAGTCTTAAACGCCATCATTTGCGCATTCGGATTTACCCACTCGAGAAGCTGGTAGTATACACAGATATCTGGGTTCAAATGGCAAATCTAAGGTGTACTCGAATGGAGCAACCGACTAGTTGTATACAGGTCTTCGTTGGTTAATTGAGCTTGGGAGTCAAGTCAGTCATCGCAAGTCATTCATGGAAATGTGAGCGAGGACTCTTCCAATCTCCTAATTCGAACAACCTTGTGCCGAGATCATAGCCAACGTTGAAGTCATTTGATAGTTAATGCTGACAGGTGCCAGGCTGCAAAACTGGTGGCGACACTTGCACACTTGTTGGCATGGTCAGAGGAACGATGAGGATGGGAAGGAATGCAAGGAAAGTCGCATGGTATCAGGAAGAATCCGGAAAGTTCGGTTCGATTCTAGATCCTCTGGCCAGAAAATTGGCAGAGACAAATCGGCGTTCGTTATTTGGTAAAAATGCAAATGCTTTTTCTCCCTGGTTTTCGCAAAACGCAGCACTTGAGCTCAGCGTTATTTGGGTGGCGGCTCATGCGTTGCACATTACAACCACATGTCGAGGCGAACGGTCCCTTGCGTCTCCTGCGTTTCCAAACGTTGGTAACGCGCTGGCAGCGTTTTCCCTCTAGCGTTTTGTTCCAGCGTCAGTCAATAGCCCATAATAAATCAATAGCAAGAACACCAAGACACCAAGACGCCTCGCCCTTGCTATTATGGCATTACCCCGCTGCCCCGCCAGGTCAGTCGCAGACTTGGATCGAACCCAATTTTTTTTCCTCTATATTTTCCACCGTTCGCCATCCGCCAAGAGAACATCATTCTGCCCCCCATTCTTCTCTGTCTTTGAGTTTTCTGCCCCCTAGAAACCTCGAATTTTGTCGCATTCGATAGGAAACACAAATTGCGTATGTCCTGGCTATGTCCTTCCTCTCTGGCCCTTCCCCTCCATGAACGCTTCTCCGGCCTTCATACCGCCCTTTGATACGAACTACTAACCTGAGTAAATGCTCGCAGACATCTTCGTTTCTTGAGAGTTCAAGGCTCCCAAAATGAGTGTCGTAGGTAAGTAGAATATCATATTGCAACTAGGTCTCCCCGTCACCTGGTTACGAAGACTAACCACTCACAGGCATCGATTTCGGTACTCTGAAGACCGTCATTGCGGTGGCTAGGAATCGGGGTGTTGATGTCGTGAGTAGCTCATACCTACCCTCATCCCACCCGGCGCCAAACAAGCAGAGCCAGAAAAAAAGGCCCCCCTCTTCTCTGCTACCGAAGACACAGAGGTTCTGACATTCTGACACACTGACACACCCTTGGCCCTAGATATCTAATGAGGTCTCTAACCGGTCGACGCCGTAAGTTTTGCTTCCTTCGATGTCTTTCTTTCCTCTATGCTCCTCTAAGCATGGCGAGTTCTTTGGTCGATGGCCACTAGCTGATTATATATACAACACCGTTAGATCGCTTGTTGCTTTCGGTCCAAAAGCACGATACCTCGGAGAGCCAGCTAAGACTCAGGAGATCACGAACCTAAAGAACACAGTTGCTTGTCTCAAGCGCCTTGCTGGTCGGTCTGCCAAGGATCCCGACCTTGAAATCGAGCAGCAGTTCATCACGCCCCCCATCATTGATATCAATGGACAGGCAGGTGTTGAGGTCACATACCGTGGCGAGAAGGAAAAGTTTACCGCCACCCAGCTTATCGCTATGTTTCTCGGCAAGATAAAGCAGACTGCGGCCTCCGAGTTGAAGCTTCCGGTCTCCGATGTCGTCATCAGCGTACCCGCCTGGTTTACCGATATCCAGCGCCGAAGCCTAATTGATGCTGCTGAAATCGCAGGGCTTAAACTCCTCCGACTCATCAATGATACAACGGCCGCTGCCCTGGGCTATGGCATCACCAAGCTTGACCTCCCCGCTGCGGAGGAGAAGCCTCGACGAGTGGCCTTTGTGGATGTTGGAGACAGCACTTATACATGTTCGATTGTCGAGTTCCGGAAGGGAGAGCTCGCCGTAAAGTCCACAGCATACGATCGCCACTTTGGCGGGCGTGACTTCGACAAGGCTCTCGTTGACCATCTTGCGAAGGAGTTCAAAGGCAAGTATAAGCTTGATATCTTCAGCAATCCCCGTGCAGTAGCACGAGTCCTGGCCGCCGCCGAAAAGACGAAGAAGATCCTGTCTGCCAACCAAGCAGCCCCTGTCAACATTGAATCCCTGATGAATGATATCGATGTGTCGGCCCTCATCACTCGTCAGGAGTTCGAGGCAATGGTCGACCATCTCCTTAACCGGGTTCACATTCCACTCGAGCAGGCCTTGGCCGATGCCAAACTTAAAAAGGAAGACGTCGACTTCGTTGAGATGTTGGGCGGTGGTAGTCGAGTCCCTGCTCTGAAGGAACGGATCCAATCCTTCTTTGGCAAACCTCTATCCTTCACCTTGAATCAGGATGAGGCTGTTGCCCGGGGCTGCGCCTTCAATTGTGCCATCCTCTCTCCTGCTTTCCGCGTCCGTGACTTCGCCGTTCAGGACATTGTCAATTACCCTATCGAATTTGCATGGGAAAAGGCTCCTGATATCCCCGACGAAGACACCAGTCTTACTGTCTTTGGTAAGGGCAACGTTTTGCCATCGACCAAGATTCTCACCTTCTATCGGAAGCAGCCCTTCGATCTGGAGGCACGCTATGCCAAGCCAGACGAACTTCCTGGAAAGATATCGCCTTGGATCGGCCGGTTCTCTGTTAAGGGTGTGAGGGCTGATGAGAAGGATGATTTCATGATCTGTAAGCTGAAGGCGCGGGTCAACATTCATGGTGTCCTCAATGTTGAGAGTGGCTATTACGTTGAAGATCAAGAAGTCGAGGAAGAGGTCAAGGATGAAGAGAAGAAGGATGAAGAGAAGAGCCCAGACGTAAGTAACCCTGGCGGTCACTCAACCGCCGACTCCCCCCCCCCCTTTTCTCCACCTACATAATTTTCCCCACCACATACCCAACTTCCATGTCCCCATGTCGACCTTGGTATATTTATCTTTCGGAGGTCCTGACTAGTTTTATAGGCCATGGAGACGGACACGACTAAGGATGAACCCCCGAAGAAGACTCGAAAGGTCAAGAAGCAAGTCCGCAAGGGTGATCTTCCGATTGTCAGCGGCACAAACTCCCTCGATTCGACTGTTTTGGAGGCTTTCGTGGAGAAGGAGGCACAGATGGCTTCGGAAGACAAGCTGGTTGCCGACACTGAGGAGAAGAAGAACGAGCTCGAAACATACATCTACGAGTTAAGAAACAAACTTGACGACCAGTACGCCGATTTTGCGAGTGATGAGGAGAAGACGAAGATACGCGCCAAGCTTGATGCTGCCGAGGTGAATCCCGAAACCCCCCCCCCCCCCCCCCCCCGCGCGGGCACCTCTCCCTCCCCTTACCCCTCCCAGCGGGCCATCCTCTTCTACCTTGGATTCTATTCGATTTCCATAACTAACCTAATCATGCTAGGACTGGCTGTACGACGAGGGCGATGATACTACCAAGGGTGTTTACATTGCCAAGATCGATGAAATCCGTGCCTTGGCCGGCCCAATAGTTCAGCGTCACTTTGAAAAGCTCGAGGCAGAGCGACTTGCCGAGCAAGAACGAATTGAAGCTAAGCGGCTAGCCGAGGAGGAAGTCCGCAAAGCTGCTGAGGCTGAACGAGCGGCTAACGGTAAAGATGAGGAGATGACGGATGCGGAGGCACCGAGGCCGGATGGAGAGGCCTAATGGAGAGGGGTATTCTGGCATCAGATAGAAGTCGCCTGGTATCAGGAAGATCTGTGGGACTTGACCGTTTGTCCGGAAATACAGGGTGCAAGGTGTTGGCTTCCCTGGGGCAGGTTAAGCCCCGGGCCGATTGCCAAGTTTAGCGAGGGAATCTCTTAGAGAAGAAAGCTTCTGAATGAAATGCCAGGGAAAAGAAATGCACCTTGAATTAGAGAAAAGCACACTGGACCTAGAGCAAGGAAGGGATGGATGGGTTGAAATAAAAAGAGAAGAATGAACTCTCAAGGACTTAAAAAAAACAGTTACTTTTAGAGAGAATCCCGCCATCGGCTATCTGGAATGGCAAGATGGAAGCCTATCTACCGAGAGTCGAATGGTCGATCGAGCACCGTCCCTTCAATCCGCTGCGAATAGGGAGGTGACGAATTTCGACCACAAGATCCAATGCGTCCTCATGAGAGTAAACTTATCTGTTGTAATAAATGAAGATGCATTAAAAAAAGGAGGATAAGAAACTCCAGTCGCCCTTCAAGAAGGAAAAAGGGAGCGAAGGGGGGTGGGGGAGATCGAGGCAAAACCACCTAGATGAGTCGAACTCCGCTGTGGGCTTCTACTGTACATCGAAGACAGGTTTTAACTTGATGATTAACTGCCACTCGTCTGGAGATACCTCCTTCCGATAAAAGTCCTTCAGGCAGTTGATGCTGGCTCGCGATATAGCACTGTAGAGGGTGTCCTTCTCCTCGAGTTGACGTCCGTATGTTGGTTGATGGCCGCCCATCTCAATCTTGACGGCAACCGAGGGCTGACCCTTCTTGCAGACAGGTATCTGCTTGTGGTCGCGTTCGATAGACGTGCTATGAAAGGTTAGGTGAGCTATGATTTCAATCCACAGGGTGGCAAGAAAGGGGGGGGGGTCGGTATGGCACTTACACTCTTCCAAGTTGGATGATTTCTTTCGCATTCGTAGTAGGGTTAGGTTTTACCACCGCGATAGGTGTATTTAGTCGCAATTGGCCTTCGACAACGTCGACTCCGACAACGATCGGGTTCGTCTTGTTAAAGACCGCCACGGGATTCAAGACGCATGGGAAAACGGCCAATAACTTGGATTCCTCCTTCTTCTTCTCTAGTAGGTCGTCCATGTGCTTCGTGAAAGCGTCGAACAAGTGGTAGATGATGTCTGCCGTGAAGATCTTGATGCCATTATCCTCCGCGTACGCTTGCGCCTCTTTGTCCACCTTGACGTCGAAGCATAGCATTACCGCGTAATCTGGAGCACGGTCGAGCATGATTCCACATTGCATGACATCGCGCTTATAGACAGGCCCAATACCAACGTTGGCAACTGGAATCTTGCATGACTTGAGGAAGTCAAGTAAAGCCTCGAGGGAACCAAGGGTAGAAGCTTGTACACTGACTCCCTTTCCATTCTTCTCGACCCTGCTGAAGAGAAGGGCGAGGTCTGATTCAACCTCATCCTCGAGGTCGGACTCGTCATCGTCGGGACCGACGACGAGAAGACGAGAACCTGCGATTGCGCCTTCCAGTCCGGAGGCGCTAATCTTGACACCCATGGCCGCCTTCACCTCTTTGTTGTGGATGTAGGCGGACTTGACTCGGAGCTCTCGCATTGGTGCCGGCGTTAGAAGAGCGCGAATGTTGGTCTTGATAACGCCCTCAACGCCGCATAAGATAATGCGATCCCCTTCCCTGAGAATACCGTTGGAAAGGATGACATCAATGGTCATTCCAAAGCCTTCGATGGCCTTGACTTCAAGTACGGTTGCCTGAACCTCGGAAAGATACATGAGAGAACCGACCATGCGTTCTTGCGTGAGCTGGACGATAAGCTTCAGAAGGTCGGGAACACCCTCTCCGGTGTGTGCTGACGTGGGGATGAGAGAGACGTATTTGGCCATAGACTTGTTCTCATAATAGAGTTCAGCATTGAAACCCTGTTCCGCGAAAGCAAGTTTAGTCTCCTCCAGGCGGTTCCTGAACTCGTTTTGAACCCCTCGGCTCTGAAGGGACAGGCTCTCTTGGAATCCATTGTTATCCACCTTCTTCCAGCCATACAACCTATCAATCTTGTTGAGCGCAACCACGAAGGGGGTCTTGCGATCACGAAGCAGTTTCATCGACTCCAGGGTCTGCGGTTCCAGGCCATGCATGATGTCGACGACCAGAATGGCAATATTGCAAAGGGAAGAACCTCGAGAGCGAAGATTAGAGAAGGATTCGTGGCCAGGAGTATCGATGACCAGGAGACCTGGGACTTTCAGCTCGAACGCGCCGTCCCTGTTCACAACAGCAGTCTTCAGCTTGATAGCTTCTGCTGGGAAGTAAGTGGCGCCAATCTGCTGAGTGATGCCACCGGCCTCGCCCTCCTGCACATTGGTTTGCCGAATCTTATCGAGAAGCTTTGTTTTGCCAGTATCGACATGGCCGAGAATACAGCAAATTGGTGAACGGAGGTTATCCTTGGATCTTGCCGCCAGGGCAGCTTGATGTGCTTTCTCGCGCCTCTCGCTCGCTTCCTTCTTTCGCTGCAAGTCCGCAAGCTGTTTCTGCGTAACAACTTCGTCCTCTTCGGATGAGGAATCCTCGTCTTCGCCGGCACTCTCAGCCTTCTGCCCTTTGGGGCCTTCGTTTGCCTCTGCCTCTTCATCGGTGGCGGCATCCCAGCTTTCCTTGACATCCCCATCGCTGGCGACAGCCGCCTCCCAGTCATCTTCAACGTCACTGTGCACTATGGCTTTAGCAGCCTCGGCCTCGGCGCGTTCCTTGGCTTCCCTTTCCTTTGCAGCCTTCTCCTCGGCCTCCTTTGCCGCCTGCTCGGCCTGTTGCCTGGCCCGCTCCGCTGCCTCAGCCAATGCTTTCTCTTCGTCGATCTGGGATGAGGAGAGATTGTTAGTGAGTAAATGGCAAAAGATTGTAAAGGGTAGCTCACCTTGCTCTCATTCTTTCGCCCACCTCGTTTCCTGCTATCATAAACAACCTTCTTTTTCTTTTCCTGCCCGTCACCCCCTTCATCAAGCGGCCCGACTTTCACTCCTGCCGCGATCATCTGCTGTAGCTTTCTCTCATTGCGAGCCTTCTCTTCCCTCTGAGCTTTTGTTAAGAATTTCCCTTCCTTCTTGAGTTGCTCTATCCTTTCCTTCTCCTTTTGCTTTTTCAAAGCCTTTTGCTCTTCCTTTTTCTTCTGCTCTTCGGCCAGCCTCCGCTCTTCCTCCTCAAATCTAGCCTTCTCTTCGGCTTGACGCCGGGCTTCCTCTTCTTGCTTACGCCGGAGCTCTTCCTGTTGTTTCTGAATCAAAGCCAGGTGGGCAGGAATCTTTCTCTTCTTTCCTGTCGAGGCAGCCGGGGCAGTCGTCTCCGCTGCAGGGGCAGGGGCAGGGGCGACAGGTTCAGCAGGCTTTACCACGGCCGCACTCGGTTGTGTAGGCTGCACAGAGCCTCCAGCCTTCTTCTTAGCGGCCTAAACCACAGTAGACATATTAGCTAGAAATGAAGGGCAATTACAAGGGCCGGGGAATGCGGCGGGGGAACTAAGCAAGGAAAAGCAAAACCACAGAACTGACCTGTTCCTTCTTTCTCTGCTTCTCCCTTTCCTTCCTCAGCTTTTCTTTCTCTGCCTTAGTAAGGATCCGGCCCGAATTGTCGGCATCGTCCACATTAGACTTGGTCGCGGGTGCCTTTTGCGCCTGCTTGCCCTTGCTTTGGCTCTTAGAGCTTTTGTTGGGGAGAGCAAACTCATCCTCGATCGAGGCCTCCTGCGCACCTTTGTCCGAGATATCAACTTGAGACGCTTGTGGTTGCTCTACACCGGGCGGATCTTCACCCTGAACGAAGTCATCGTTCAGGCCTTTCTTCTTCCTTTTCTCCTTGTTCTTCCGCATAAGCGCCATGAGACCCCCAGCGCCAGAATTGTCGTCATCAACACCGTCTTGATCATTGGGCTGGGTAGGCGCGGAAATGGACTCCCCTAACTGGGATTCCCAGTCATTGTTGGCCTTTTTGTTTCCTTTCTTCTTGGGTGGCATCGTATCGTATGAGTCCTGCTGAGGAGTGGCTGGTGGCGAAAAAAGGTGCTCAGATATCGTGTGTGGATTTGACGCGGCAACTGTAGACGCCTACTCCTAGTATCGTAGACCTGTAGTTGTGTGGGCAGGTGTGGATGAATGTAGAGCACCAGACTGATTGCGGTTGCTGTGTAAACCCTGTGATGCTGGGATGGTGGGGGAAGTCAAGATCAATTGTAAAGGTTTTCGTGGGAGATTTCGTTCTGCGAAGGCTGTCAAGTGAACCAGTAGTGGCACGGGTGGGGCAAAGGCTCTGCTCTAACAATATTGAGAAGACTAACAGCTACCAACGACCACGCCCTCAATAGCGGTTTAGCACCTTAGGCAGTGAAGTGGCAGTGGAGTGGCAGTGGCTAAAATCGAGTTGGGTCAAGCTACTTCGTGGCGGGGAGTTGTATCCGTAGTCTTTGGGGGGGGAGGGGGTCCCTTTTGGGGCGTTGGGGGCAAATCCGGGCAGTAATTGTGTGCATAGATGTACTTCAAAAACGAGTTTTACTTTGTACCTGGATTGCAATGCAGTGCAGCCAGGACGTCTAGACAATTGGACCAGACGACAAATGTAAAAGTGGCTGATCAAGTGGCGGCGATATTGTAATTTCCTAATTATTCTCCCCTCAAATCGAGCCAGGAAACACCCACACCTACGAAGCCTTCCTCGTTGACGTTGCACACATGTACAAGCAGACCACGAAGGATGGGAGCACCTTTCAATGTTGCGCAGAATCGGCCTCGATCGACGAACTTTTTCGCATTCCAACATTGAAGTAATGCCTTGCCTCGATTGTCGTATACTTTTGGCAGCAAATTGTCTTCAGTCTCGACTGCTCAGCTTAGTAATCTAACAGCTGAATTCAATAATTTTGGGTTTGGATCAATTGATGATGTGTGCATTTGTGCGTGTTGTGTGTGCGCATGTGCGTTACTGCCTGATGTAGAGAAGGAAAAGAGGGGGGGGGGGGGGGGGGGGGGGGAGGAGGAGAGAGAGGGAGAGGAAGGGAGGGAGAAGGTAAGTGCCTCGTAGTTAATAGAAACAATAATGGCCTTTCGGTTTTTTTCAAACAGCCTCATACGAAGGTAAACCTAACATCAATCCGTCTACAGGTCGGGACCGAAGCAAAAGAAAATGCGGATAACTTCAGTCAAATTCCTGTTTTACCAAGGCTTTCTGTCATTGGGAGTGCCACAAGGATAGCAAGAAGAGGACTTGGAGGGGCAAGGGATGGCGGGGTAAATGAGTCGGACCCCTACGTCATTATCATTCCCCAAGGGGGCGAATGAGAAGCACAGAAGAAGCACACTTGCAATGGTCACCATTTGGACAGATTTGAATGGTTTCAATGTTGATCTCCACCCTCCGCTTTGCTCAGCTCTACAGCGGGTACTGCGTCCTGTAAGTGCTGAAGCTGGATGGCAGGCTGCGCCCGTCTGAAAGCAGCTTTACGTGTTGGCTCGGCCTCGATGGACTCACCACATCTGTTTTCATAGCTTCTATTCGCTGAGATGTCCCCCTTTTTTTATTTGGCCTACTACAGGTGGTATTTTTGCAAAAACGGGGAATAGCCCTTGTTCAAGCCCGATAGATCGTCTCGGGCTGGTTTTCCATGTAACACCTCGCTAAAGAACCGGACTCATGTAATAGTCCAGGACGTCGTAGCCGAGCTCCAGGTACTTTTTCAATTCCTCATCCGATGTCCCGCAATCAATGGCTCCGCTCCCCTCGCTGTCGTCGTCGCCGCTGTCCTCGCCCTTGTCCTCGCCGATACCGGGAGAGACTTTGTTCCTGTGCCGATCCCCTTGTTCCATAATCGTGTGACCCTCCACACCGTGATCCCTAGCACCCTGCTCTTTAAAACCTCTGGTCCACTGGCCCCCATCCAATTCGTCAAGGCATCGCTTGAAAATCTGACTCGCCGTTCGGCCTCGAAAGAGCGCCTCCAGTTCCCTTTTTTGCCAGCACCAATATAGAACATCGCCATTCACGTGGAGCTGCAATTTAGGATCCAGCGTAGGCTCCAGAAGTTCCACACTTTGTCTCTTGGAAATGTCCATTTCTCGAGTTGCTGCCATCTGGACCAGCTTCAGGAATCTCCAGGCTTCGATAGTTAACAATGTGAAGTGATGTATCGAGCCATCCAGGCACACGCCCAACACGTCAGCATCGTCAGGAGTGCTTGGAATTCTCCCGTATTGCTTTTGCCTCAGCCTCGACCGCCACAAAGTTGGTCGCGTGTGGCCGCGCCGAAACCTCCTCACTGAGGCTGGAAGCTCCGCTTCGAACACAACATGGATCCCACCACCCTCTCTTTCTTCACCCCTTGGCATCCAAACCCCAGTGATGCCGCACTCTCGGTCAGAGAGTAACGTGATGGGCCATGACCCGGAGGCATCGGGAGCATCACCAACGTCGATCATGTGCATGGTCGGCCGTGTTCGCTGCTCCATGAGACTATCACCAACTCCGTGGTTGTCCCGCCGCCTCTCCTCTGCTGGATCCAGATTGACAACCTCGAGGGAGTGCGTTTGCGTTAAAGCATAAAGTCTGCCGCCCGAAATATTCATGGCCGTGGCAGGAGAAACCAATTCTATCTTGGCATGCTCCCTGATCTTTCGTTCGGCTACGTCGAGTATCTCCCAGTGGATCGTTGTTCCGACGCAGAAAAATATGTTATCGGCAAGAGCAGACACTGAGTAAATTGGCGAGCCGGAACTATTCTTTTTGTGTCTGGTCCAGAATCGCACTCGGCCATCGACTCTTTCAGCTGAGATGATAAGAAGCCGCCCAGAATTCGTCGTGACGAGTATGAAGGAGAACGTTTTACCATCCTTTTTGAAAGCCCACTCATCCAGGCAATGGACCCAATCGTCCGGACGGCCAAGTCCAGAAATGAATTCCTGATCTTTCTTGTTCCGATCGGTCGGCCATGACAAGTTCTCGCCAGTGTCGGGGTCCAGGAAGACGAGTGTAGGACGGTTGCCGATATTGACCGCTACCACAAGGCACTCCAACAGATGAGAATATATCAGCCGAGATGGAGTGCCCCTAAGTGGCATTTTTCTCGGTATAATTGTGGGTTGCTCCCCCAACCGCGTAACCAGGAGTCGAGTTCCTGTTATCATCAATAATGAGAGAGGGCCGTCTGCCTCTGACGGTATTCTCGCAACGGATGCGACTGGGGAACTGTCCGGACATGCCGAACTTCCGTCGACCGGCACTAATCTGGTGCGCACTCTAAAACCCTTGGCATTCTGCACGTCGTACTTGTCGAGGAGGGCTACGGAAGTGCCGCAACAGACAAATACCGACCGTCCTAAAGCGTCCGGAGATCCGCGAGCCGGGAGGACCTCGATCGGAAGAGTCCCGAGTTTCTCTAGCCGATGCGTTATTCGGGGGGACGATGCGGATTCTATCTCCAACTGCAAGAAGTAGCCACCCCGCGTCCCCCCAACGATTATGCTCTTCTTCGAGCACTCAAGGACGACTACGATATTCGTGACGGCACCTACAGATGATATGCCCCCACGCGCCGGGATACTCGCCATCGAGCTCTCCTGGCTCCTGTCCATGTCCAAAGCTACCGACGAGTCAGACGTGAAAATTCGACGCTAGCTAAAGAAAGGGTTATGTACTGACCTGAGTGTAAATCTAAGGTGAGTGCCGGCTTCTCGTCAGGCGAATCGACGGCGTAGAGGAGAAGTGAAGTCCTCGTAGGCTGCCAAACGGCCACTATTAAGAACACTCTGCCCTCTACAGTGCATAACTGCACACAAGTAACTTCTTGCTCCATACTGTATCGCTTGAGGATTTTGGTAGGGTCGTTAGAGGCTACTAGGTAAACCTCGAAACCAGAGCTAGACTGCATCGCAAGGGACGAGAAGGCGACGACGCCATCTCTGACACATGCGCTCTCTGCTCTCGCGTCAGGAGAGCCCAATATGTGGGTTATCGTGTGCCGTGACCTAACCGGTTAGCATATTTGGCGGTTCGACTTTAGCAATGGATCTTCACATACAAACCTTTTCAAAGGCCCGAGGAGGGTAATGGATGCCTCGGTCACCTGACAAATCCCCTGGTCGAGTCCCTGCGACGCTGCCAGAGTTCTAGACGACAGATCAAACCATAGATCCGAGGGGCTAGGTTCTCTGAGGTCGCTGAGGCCAAGTGTAAGCTCCGCAGCTACGGTTCTGTTGTGTAGGCCCAGTAGCACGTTGAAGACCTTAGGCTCAGTTGTATGAAGACCGGGAAACACCCAAACATGCCTGAGTGGAGAGGAGTACTCTACATCGAGTGTAATGTGTGCTATCGTGCCATGAACAAGCTCGGTTACACTTCCGTTGATGCCGCAGCAGGATGTCAAAAACAAGCGATCGTGTTGTGTATGGGTTTGGCCGACAAGACCCCTCCCAGGCGTGGCTGGAACACTGCTGCTACTAACCGCTTGGTCCCAGTCCGAACACTCATCGGTGGTCGCAAAATCTAGGACAGGCGACCAATTTGGGATAACGCCAATCTGCTCCGGTCGCTCCCGAGCGGGGAGCTATCCTGCGAGTAAGTAATAGGGATTGGGGTCGGAGAGGGCGACAGAGGCATGAAAGGAGAAGATGGAATAAGGGGACACGGGGACCTACCGCCCAGATGGAGCCATCTCCACAGCTTCCTCCTAATATGAGTATATCACTAAAAGTATCCGCGACCGTAGCGAACGCGGTGGAAATACTTGTGCTGTAGTCTCCGACGTCCAGACTTGACTCAAGGATCTCGTCGGAATCAATCTCGAAGAAGAATATGATGCCATCTTCACGTGCAAGATAGATGTTATCCTTCGACTGGTAGAATGCTTTTCTCCGCAAAGGTCTGGTCCAGGCAGTCCATAGCGGCTTCCCAGAACCATGGTGATAGGCCGTCTTTTCTCGCGTCGTGGTATTGACCAATTCGGGGTTAGAAGAACCATGCAAGGTATCTCGGAACACTGCGATGGAGCTCTCGGAAACGGAAAGGAATGATGTCTTTACTGTTAATGGAATCAAAAGTAGAGGCATCCTGTGCTCGGGGGGGAGTCTGAAACCAGCCACTTCCTCCGAAAGCACAGAGTTTAGATCGTCGCCTAGAACCCATTCGTACGTGATCATCCTCGACACTCCATTCCGAACCACGAGCAGGACAAGGATAACTGTCTCAAAATCACCAGGCGACGGGAATAGAAATTCTACTTTGTGGATGACACCCATGACGGTTTTGGGGCGGTAGGCGGTGACTGGGCTAAGGATTGAACCGGCTATCCGATACTGCTGCCTGAGAGTGCCAAAATCCTCCAGTTCGTAGACGACAAACAGGCCCTCACTCGTAGCAGTTACCATGTATCTAGAGCTGGGATCAATGGCGAAGTGGAACCCGGGATGAATGACCAAGTCTTTCCGGGGCGAGTCCACTGTCGAGCTTATGAACTCGACGGTACCGTCGCCATGCTGGCGAAGGAAAAGAAAGACGAGCCCACCCGACTCAAGAACGAGAACAAGTAGTTGCGGAGGAAGCGGAAGCGGGGACTTTTCGCTCCCCTGCAGTTGCGCCTGAGAGGGGGAGGCTGAGCACGAGACGTCGGCGTTGTTTGTTCCATCTCGGAAGCCTCCATCTGCAGATGAGTCCTCGTAGAATGAACCGAGAACCTTCGCATTCAGTATACGAGATCCGAAGTCCGTCTTCCGAGCCACATCATGCAATTGTCCGTCTCCTCTGAGCTCCTTGATCTGGAGAAACCGATCCTAGCCCTCGTCAATGTCATGCACTAATAAAGCAAGGGAAATCATAGTCTCTTTCAAGATCTTGCTGGCATATGCTGAAGAGAGATTCACAACAAGACGTGTTATACTTACTCCAATGAATGCAACATCGTTATGCTCAGCAGATCTCAGCCGGGCAGGAAATATCCACTGCACAACAGGGCTTTCGACAATAGTCCTTGTCAACAGCCCGCAGGTAGGAGAAGAACGTTTCGTGGGCTCGGTCTTGGTGGAACCTTGAGCAGATAGAAAGGCGTGCACGTTTACATTCTCCGTTATCCACGTGCCGTCCCTCAAAACATTTGTCTGAAACGCCATTCTCCAAGATCATGATGATATCGAAACAGTTTGAGAGCGGGGGGAGACCTAGGTCGAGACAACGTTGACGGTGGGCAGGCCGTGGTAGTTTTAGCAAGTTAAAGTTGAGGGTGGTGGGGCCACAAAAGGTGGCGGTTCTGGGGGGACAACGTTAAGTCAGAGGTGGAAGGAGTAGTTGAGGCGATTGCGACAATTATTGATCATTGATGCAGCTGGGTACCTAAGGAGCCTGACAACGTTGATACGCTCGTCACCATAGCCATGCGAAGGGTATTGGTATTACTACTTCCTACTTCGCAGGTGCAGGATTAAAATCAATCCCAAATGGTGGTGGTGGGGTTCCGTTCCGATCTCCTTCATAACCCTCCCTCTCCATCGAATGATGGCTTCGTCTTCTTACATTGCTAGCATATTATTCTGTAAAAGTAAGTACTGCAGGGATAATCCTGCGTCCCAAAGGAGTTGAAAGTGCCATTGCCGACATCGTTTCACCTCCGATTTGCATTCATGTTTTCCCGGGGTTGCTGAGTTCCCCGTCGGCTGACCGCAGCAGAGGATGGCGCCGGTCCTCGTTTTGCCAGGCGAAGGGACAGTTCGTGATAGAGGTGGCATGCGCAGGATCTATGGCCATCAGTTGATTATTGAATTCAGTTACAGTACAACGCAGAAATATCGGACGCCGGCTAGGCCATTCTTGTCATTACTTCGTACGAAGTATAGTAGCGTGTTCCGCACAGCAGTAGCCAGGCTAAGTCAGGCGGTGCGATACACCCCGATCCTGAGCATCCTGCGAGCTAAGGAAGGAAGGGAAAGGGCGAAAGAGGAATCCGAAAAGCCCCTTTCCCGCACCCCAAGCCATACTGACGCAGAAGAGATCGCCGCATGGAATGAAAGTCCTTCATCCACTACCACTAATACAATCAAAATACCAATAGAATAGATTTCCCGTGCACCACATCTTCAGATAGAAGGGGGCTGCAGATGACGTGTCACATATGCTCGGGAGCCGTGCCTTGTGGCATCTATTATGCTCTGCATTAGTGGAGGCGAGTGCTCTAGTGTATGTGCTCGAACGACGGAGTCTCGTACGCTTGGCGGGATGTTGGTCTGCGATCTGGCTGCCGTCTAGTTGGGCTGAAATTGTCTTCATCTTAGAGGAAGAGACGACAATCCGTGGCTCACTTTTGACTCCTGGTTCAGTCGCAACCATGGAGATACACGTCAAGTTATTGCATGGGGCAGATATATTTCGCGGCGTCTGGTGAAAGACACCCATTGCGTTGATCACCCAAATTAGTTTACACCAATCCAAGCGGTCTGGCCAGTCCAATGACCGTCCAACTCCAAGCATCTGTTGATCTATTGATGGGCAAACATCTTGGTCGAGAGCGAGGAGACGATGGGAACATGGAGGGGAGGAGGTAGGGCCGCTTGAGGCAAGTAAGTCACTGGCTCGACAAACCAGACGCCTGCAACAACAAGAACGTCATGGTTGTTCATTGTTCCTTTTGGTTACAGCGATCAATCTGTAGACATGACATGTTGTGTTGAAGTTACCATCCATCCATACTTCGTCCCAATACGAAGGTACTTGGGAAGTAATATTGGGATTGGTCAATGGATCCAAAGGTCAACGATAGAAACGCGAAAGCACACAGTTTCCATGGGTTGAAGTATTAATTCTCTGCAAAGAAACTATTGACGTTTATCTGTTCGAGGAATGAAAGAATGTTGGTTTGATCAATTGGTGTACTTCATAATAGTACCAAGTAACTCAGGCTCCAAAACTGGGCCAATGAACTATTGAAATTAACCAAGCACCATTTCAAACCGCCCTCGAACCCAACATCATCCAGTATCGAGCTGCCTCATCTCTCACCCACCCCATTTCCCTTCGAAAACCAGGTCTCCACGGTCATTTTCAAACTAATTATCGTCCAAGCATCCCGTGGACCATTTTCGAATTGGAGTCTCTTGCTCTCGCCTCTCCCAAACCGTGTTGTGCTAGATGGAGTGTCCAGAACCAAGTGCTGAGCATCCAGAACCCACGCCGAGCTACGAGACCGACTGCTCCCATATACGCAAGAGGCGAGAAGTTCAAGATGCGTGCCTGAAGCAGGATATAGAGCGTTTGAAATTTCTCGCTGCATCGGAGGGCGGGTTCCTTACCGATGACCTGAGACGAGGAGCGTGTATGTTCTCCCAACCAATCTACGCTTCCAACCTCCCAAGGCTGATCGCTCGAGTGCGGGCTAACACATGAATCACGTCTCTTATGTGCGACAGGGCCCATCCTCCTTGGCCTACCTGCCGATGCGATGGTGACATCTAGTCAACCTGATGCGAGCCCTGTGGATGATGCTGAACTTTCCTGGCGTCACCTCCCCCGCCACCCCGACGAGGACCAAGTCCAGCTCGACGTCAATCGATCCTTCATATACTACCCGAACGGTACTGCTCTCGTTGCTCTTCGACTTATCACAGATAGCCGCTCCACGTGTGTCTCCGGCGGTACTAACTCTAGAGTTCTCATAGACTTGACAGAAGCGGATTTAACGAGACGCAAGGCGGAACTGTCCGATCTGATAATCGAGGTCCTTCGACGGTACCCATTCCTCTGCTACTTTCAAGGCTACCATGACATCTGCCAAGTCTTTCTTCTTGTCCTCGATCCCGCGGTGCGGGCACCGCTCGTTGCTCGCCTTTCCCTACTCCGCATTCGCGACTTCATGCTCCCAACCCTTGCCCCAACGGTTGCCCAGCTTCGCCTTATACCCGATATCCTTGACGCTGCGGATCCGAGCCTTCGAAGGCATTTGGCTGGAACCGAGCCGTTCTACGCCCTCTCGGGCACACTTACCATGTATGCCCACAATATCGAGGCGTATGGAGACATTTCTAGGTTGTTTGATGTTCTCCTCGCTAGAGAGGCCGTCTTTAGTATATATCTATTTGCCCAGATTGTTCTTAGCCGTCGAGAAGAACTCTTTGATACCCCGGACGACGATCCTTCTATGCTCCACCTTATACTGTCCAAGGTTCCTAAAAAGCTCGACTTAGAGACGCTGATAGCACAGGCGATTAGCCTCTTTGACAAGTATCCACCAAAGTCCTTACGCTCCTGGAGACGCGTTTCCTCCTCTAGCTGCCTTAAGACAGCGGGGTGTGTCGAGGTTTGTGCTGGCCAATCCCTAGCAGAAGGCCGCGGCTATTTCGAGGCACAGCTGAGGGAGCTTCGCTGTACGGAGAGGTGGAATGAACTGATAAAGAAGGCTCGGCTATACCGACGGCCTGCAAAGGCTATTGGTCTTGCTATTGTCGTAGGCCTTGCAGCTATGTATCTGCGGAAACATCCGGCGCCTGTCAACTTCCTTTGCATGGCCTTTTGGCGGTTAACTGGAAGAGCGATGAGCTAAGGCAGGGCAATTTCCCAAAGATGACTGCTTGTTACCAGTTTCCTCCTCATTTCTCATCTTTCCCTCCGGCCTCCCCTTAGTCGTCTGCTTGGCTCCTCACGGGCTATGTCTACGACTAGCCACGCAAGGCATTACTTCCTAGTTTTTGATTGTGATTGTTTATTTATGCACAAGATGATACCCGAAAGTTAGATGTAATTAGGGCAAACGATCCTAAACGAAGACATATAGATTGCTTATGGCCCTGTGATACTTTCATCCTTGTCCGGGAAGGGATGGGGTATTTATTCTTGTAATCCAGTCCCAGCAATACTCATGAGGCCAATGCCTCTTGAAACGAATCCCTCAGGGTCTCAAAGTACCTCTGCTGTTCCATCGCCATTCTACCCTCCGTGTCACTAATAATGGTGACGATGAGAGAGTAGTTATTATAAAGAAAACGCTCCTGTTTTCGCTTGTCACTGTACAGCCTCGTCTGCTTTGCAAGAAACGCCTCGACCTCGGCCCTCAGACGGCGAATGCTAGACATGAGAGGTTCATCATCTCCACCTTCTGCGCATAGCAACAAAATGCTCTGGAGGAGCTGTCCGAAGCGCTGAGTGACGACGTGCGGAGCTACCGAGAGCTTCGCTTGTTCGCTGGCGGAGCGCACAACCGGCCGAGAGGTGGTAGAGTCCGTCAATTGCCGAACAGATTCGCAATGATGATCCATAACAAGCTGCAGCCTAGGCCACAGAAGCATATTTGTGCCGTTGATGTAGCCGTCCATAGTAGGCACTTTGCGACGCTGTAATTCGAAAGCAAAATGCTGGTTGAGTCGAATGCAGAGGAGAAGACCTAACGCATCATACGTGTCACCGGCGATGGTCCTTGTCAATGCTTGGCCAAGTGCGAATGTTGGGTGGAAAATGTAGTCGAAATGTTTTGCGATCTTAGATAGCGTCATTGGTGGGGAGAAGAAGTTCGAAAGAAAGGTGTACTCGGTCGTGGCGTTATCTATCAACGCGAGGTTGAAGTTACGGAACGGGACTTCAAGGTAATTGGTCGTCTTGCTCTCTTCAGCGAGATAGGACGGCAGTGCCGTTTGGGTTCGCATCTTGAGAATGTCTATGCGGCGAGCGAGGTTGAAAGCATCATGTTGTGGGCCGGCTGGTTTTGCCGTCGCTAAAAGTGATGGCTTTCGAGAAGCATCTTCATGCCCAAGAACGTCGTACTTGTCCAACACATGAAGCTTGATTTTGTCTAGCGCCTGGTGGTAGCGCGAGAACTGGCTCAGGTAGTACCAGCGAATAGTGTTCATATATGCCAGGCAAATTTCATCCCCAAGGGTCGGATGATGCCTATAGAGGAAGCCGTATGCGTCTTTAACACGTAGGAAGTTTTGTTGTTGGATAACTTGGGCGTTGATATTAGGAGACCGAAGAGCTTTGATTTGAGCAACTAAATGGTCCCGGATCCTTTCAATAGCCTAACAACTGTCAGATATAGCATACTAAATTGGTAGCTGGACTGAATACCTTGACAACCAGTTTATCCAGCAACGGGCCTAAATCAGACCAGGCCTTGCTTTGCCTGGTGCCACTCGTATCCCTCCGATAGGCGAGGACCCTCTTATCTACTTCCTGGAGCGCTTTAATCCAGTGTTCGTCTATTGGGCCCTCGACAACTTTAGCTACGATAGCCGGAGAGACACTTAGTTCCTCTATAACTGGACCAAGAGCACTTTCGATTCCTTTTCTGTTTTCTAATCGAACGTTTAGTGCCGCTGACCGGCACTGTAACGTCTCAATATCCGCAGAGACGGCGGCGAGGTCGTTCCGAAAGCTAGTAAAGTTTGCTTCCACTGAGCCGAGGACATCATCGCACTCTGCAATAGAACGGCGTAGCGTCTCAAGAGCTCCACTATCGCTTTCAACTGCAAGGGAGAGTCAGCAAGAATTGACACTGAGACCGTAGGTGGGCGACCTACACTCTTGGGTGATCCGCGGCGTGCTGCCCAAATCCGACCCTTGCGGACGTCCCGCCGCAATATCTCGCAGAGGTAGGTCTCCGAAGTCAAAGGCAGAGTTGAGATCACCTTGCGTAATGGAATGCAAAGCGCAACTGTCAAAGACATCTTTCGTAACTGTGGCCTCGAGTAACTTTTGTAATATTTCCTCGGGCGGAGAACGAGAGGCGCTGGGGCCCGAGGGCTTTGGGAAAGAGCTGTTGGATTTTTTGCCACAGCCGAGAAGAGATGTCGTCGAAGCATCCGAGATTAGCGAGAGTGTCGAGCCTCTGGGAGTTTGGCCGGGCCTTTGGGATGTTATGTAGGGATTGAGACTCCCAGAGGTTCGTCGTGGCATTGGCGAGTAGGACCGGGCAGGCTGTGACGATGATCCCGGAGTACTCGTTTGTGACGTTAACCTGTCGAGCCACATGGCGAAAGAGGGTTTTGAACTCGTTGAACGTTGACCACTATGTCTCCAGCATGTAATATTTGCATATCGCAACCATTTTCGTCAGACGCGTTGAAATGATAGCTGAAGGTGGTGGAAATACCGCCTGTCGTGTACTCATGTCAGTATGCCATCACCGTCTAGCAGGTGAACTTTCAAAGTTGGTGGCGAAACGACATCGATAGTATTGCTGCTTGGGGCCTGCTGAGCTAACTTCTCGCAACAACAATTGATGCTCCAAGTGTCTGGCTGAGAGCCGTCGACTCGGGAATCCACGACAATAGACACAAGGACGACGGAGCTTGTGGATGCCTCCTTAGACTTCATTAGGTAATACAATCCCTGACAATCCTGAATTGTCACGTAAGCTAATAATGCTTGTGTCTCGTCCGTCCTCTAATAACAAGTGTCTCGGTGCAATTGGATATCGAACAGGGAAAGCTTACGAAGGTGCTGCATTGGGAAGTTTGGGGACAAAGGAGTAAATAGTCATGTGATTCGGCGACACAGGTCACTTCCATGATAAAAAGCTGCCAAGTGCATTATCCGATGTCAATAAGGATTTACGAAGTAGTTTAGAACAAGAGGATACAATTGTATGTCGACGACACCCATGCAAGAAATTTCCCCAGTGACACGGTGAACATTGCAAAACATGAAGCGTGTTGAGTGGGAATTATTTGATGCAGGGAGGTATGCGGGTTCGTGCCCATAATGACTTGCCTCCACATTAATGGCTCACCCGCGTTTCCTACTCCATACCTCTGGCCGTTTTCTGAAAGTTCAATGTCAGCCCTGGAGCTGAAACATACTGATTTGATGAACTTCGTAGGCAGAAATCCTCGCAGGGGTGGAGTTTCTGACTGGATGAAGTATGGAGAAATTGAGACGCCGAGTTCCAAGAAAGAATATCACAGATGAGGGGGATGGGCAGAACTGGAGCAGGAAAATGACGAGGAGAAGAAAAGAAACGAAAAAGAAGGAAAGAGGGGGCAAAGGGGAAAAAATTGGGAAAAAAAGGATGAAAAAAAGTCGCGGAGGGGAGAAAAAAGAGTGAATCAACGGGGAAAGCTAGTAGCACACTAGATTCGGCTTTTTATTTTCTCGTTCCCGTCTATTTTCGTTATTGTGCTTCCCACCCCGCCCTTCCACAAGATAAAACCTTGCCTCCCAAAACCAACCCAAGGCCAAGCAATTCTCCTCCCGAGGAGTCTACAACTTTCTTCTTACCTGCTTTCCTGCTGTTTTCCAGTTCCACTCGCCCTCTTGTCTCCCTTTCCCCTCCTACCGGATATTCTAACATCTTTCAATTTGTACTATCACCATGGCTGACGAGGTAAGTCTATTACCCATTGCCCCTCCTGGTCGCGCAAAAAAATCTCACCCCGCATTCACCATTCATTTCCCCGCGACGCCTTTCTTGTTCCTTCGACCCAATTATGCCCTGGGAGACAAAGGCCGATGCTTCACCAGTATTGCCCAAGGATTTCCTACATCGGGGGATCGAGAAAGCTATCGATACACGGATGACTCGACCCTATTTCTGAACGTGGCTGACAAGATGGATCGCGATGTTTAGCATGAGCATACGTTCGAATCCGCCGACGCTGGCGCTTCGGCCACCTTCCCCATGCAGTGCTCTGCATTGAGGAAGAACGGGCACGTTGTCATCAAGGGCCGTCCTTGCAAGATTGTCGACATGTCCACCTCTAAAACCGGAAAGCACGGGCATGCCAAGGTCCATCTCGTCGCTCTCGACATCTTCACGGGCAAGAAGCTGGAGGATCTGTGCCCTTCCACCCACAACATGGACGTCCCCAACGTCAAGCGACGCGAGTACCAGCTTGTAAGTCAGGATAGCTAGGATCAGTTTCATCCTGTCCTTTCCTGCCTACACAAATGTGTTGAGTGGATGTTAATTATCTTTGGTAGCTCGATATTTCCGATGACGGCTTCCTTTCTCTGATGAGCGAGGATGGCGACACCAAGGATGACGTCCGTATGCCTGATGGCGAGATTGGCGAGAAGATTACCCGTCTTTTCAAGGTCGAGGAGAAGGACACCAGTGAGTTAACCTGTCCAGTTTTGCCTTTGAGAAACTTCTTCCTATCAGATGCATTCCATTTCCATGATTGGATTCATTCTCTTTATCTATGCACATTCGTAAATGCTAACATACCTCTTTATAGACATCGTTATTCTTACTGCCATGGGTGAGGAGGCTGCCATTGAAGCCAAGGAGGCCCCCAAATAATTAATGCAGCGTGACTCTACCCGGGACATTCCATGGCATCTTAATTGCCTGACTGGTTGATCTGAGCCCTCCCTGGCTCCCATCTCTCAGTTCACAGGATGCAACTTTCGATACTGCTTGTCTGCATATGCTGATGGTTATCGGCTGTCTCATTTGGGGGTCTATTAACGTGTTCATTTTTATTTCCTTCATGGTAGGAGGGTTTGAAAAATCCTTAGTTGGTCTTGAGCTGGGGTGGATGAACACAGAGACAGTTCGGTGTTTTTGTCCATAGACGATAACCTCTCAGAAGGTGATCTGGTCTTAATTCATACCATCCTACCATCAACGGTATCTGGCTGATGGAGTGGTGGGTGGCGATGATGATCGCATTGCGCGTTGCGATAAGTTAAAAAATGGAAAATATTCAGAGTTCAGTTGCAAAATATCCAATTGAGAGCGTCTGTGAACTTCACATATGCCGTTATCGTAGATCAACTAATAATACCTACTTGTTTGCACTCCAATGCAAGGGTCATGTTGACATTGACTTCATGGGAACAGGGTCAGTGTTTTTGCACAATTCAAGGGGATAACTTGAAGCCTCGAGGTGGTTGAAGTTTGACTAATTGAGGTGTAAATATTTATGGAATTAGAACAGTATTTAGACACTACCGTCTGAACAATCCCTCATCAAATGCTTTTTTTTTTCCTTTTCTTCTTTTCTATTTCTACGCGTCGCCCTAGGTTGCCACCTTGCTCTTTTGCCTTGTTTCTATTTAAACGTTTCTACCCTCGTCTTCTTGTAGGAACCTGATGACCATTCTACAGATGAGCAACAGATCGATCTATACCGTGAAGGAATACAGTGCTCGACGGAAATCTCACTCCTTCCCGGCTTTCTCATATCATTCTTCGGAAATCGGGCCTGGCAAACTGCAGCGATTGCCGTAAATGATGGATGCTAGCCGCGAATTGAAGCGCTTTCCTCGGGGAGAAGGCTGCTCAGAGTGCAGGGCTAAGAAATGGTATGTAGAAAGCGGGTTCAGATACTGTCAAAACGGGCATCGAGTTCAATCTTGGGTTGAGTATGATGCGACAGAAGAGGACGCGCTAGGGCTTGGGCAAGTCTCGCGGCGCAAGACAGACGAACAAGTCTCGGAAGGTGATGATCTGAATGCAAAACAACGACTTACTGGGCCAACGGCCCGCACTCTTTTTCACGAATGTCTCCAGATAATCCTGCGAAGGCAGGTGATCTGGATGATAGAACAGAGGCATCATCCTTGGGCATTGGAGGCGACTGTGAAGGATCTATGGGACCTCCGATTAAGAAGTTGTACCGACGATGACACTTACAGAAGGGAAGAACGAATAGGACCGACATTCCACAGCTCACAGGATGGAATATCCCTGCATGACAATGGATCTCTCGGGGCCGAGGCGAACAGCTGGGATGCTGACGTAGGGGTTGATTGGCGAGGGCCTCGAGTCCTGGACACTCTGTCGGTCTGCTACCTCGGATGTCTCCTCCTGCGTCTCCCAACAACAGTCGGGGATATAGTCTCCTGGGCCAATTCGGGAGATATGCCATACAAACAAGCGGTATCTACCCACCTACACTCCGCGGCGTGTATGGATGTGGCTGCTAACTATCCCGTAGTACGAGATTCTCCCTCCGGTGGCGCATTACAAGCTTCCGATGCCCTTTATTACGACCTTCCGGAGACTGGAACGGACGGGTGTGAGACAAGACAAGATTCACTTGAATATATTTGATCTTGCTCTTATGTATCGTGCCCAATATCGCCTCGAATTTCCACCGGTAAACCCTTCTCCAGTATGGGTCCGTTTCGTGAAGCAATTTAACTTACCTGGTGCGTTCTTGACTACCCCCGGCCTCGCCTAACTTATTGTCTAACTGTCCATAGCTGAGATTGTTCAACTTGCGGGTACGATGTTGCGGATGATGGGCATTAGGCTCTCATTTCCAGTCCGGAGCTCTAGGCTACGACTAATAGACCTGCCAGAGGTCTGCTTGATGGCTGCTGTCGTGGTGGCGGTTAAGTATTTCGTGCCGTTTCCCACACAATGTGCGACGCCTTTTCGAATCTTCAACCGCCATCTGCCACACATGGATTGGGTAAAATGGAACAACTCGATGGGGCCGGTTACCCTATTTCGGGCAGCCCGCCATCTCGAGCCCGAGGTTGTTGACGGAGAGGCTCCCACCAACATCGAGGATGGATCGTTTGATTCCCTTGTTTCCTCACCGATTGTAGACCGGGGCCTAGACAACGAAACCCAATGTGAGTCTTAGTATATTTAGCATATTTCTCCGATGAGCATGATACGATGAGCCTTGAGATTGACACAACTCTTATGAAGTATCACAAAAAGGCATGCGTATAATTGGCTCATCTAGCCAAATGGAGATCACACCACCTCCGCAGTACCAAACGTCTAATAAGCCCAATGCCACCACCAGCTTCGATAGGTTACACACAGAATGCGTCAGTTTTGCTGTAGACCTTGGAGGCAGTGAACAAGATGATCAGCATTCGCGGCACTACCATGCGTGGCGCTCTGTGAACGACCTTCCCGAGATCGCCGCGCCCTTCTACGAACTCGCAGGTAGGTTTTGCTTTGGATCCCGCCAAGAGGATTTATAAATACTAATATCGTCATTAGCTATTAATGCAGGCTTAACGTTAGACATGATGGTCAAGGCTGCTGATATGTTTGAGGTGAGAGTTGTGAACTGGCAGAGAAACATTGGTCCTCCTCAGCAAGACTCGGTACACACTGGCATGGGACATCATTTTGGGGCCGATAAGAAGGGGGCCCATAATACATAATACACATGTATCTCATTGCTCTTAAACTGCCCCACGGCAATGGGATTAAATGCGGTCTCGTGCAGCTGGTGGAGCAATGGTTGGTACTTAAGTACTTAGCTCCGAGCCCGCGTCCACGTGACATAGGGCTTTCTGCTACATCTTGGTACAAGACGACTTCTCACTCATCAACTCCCAAACCCCGTGGATTTTTCATCTACACCTAATTCAGTGCGTCGGGTCAAGAAATCGTTGACAAGAGTGAGTATAGTTCCTTTCGGCGACTGGACAAAATATAGAATGATCTGGTATACTGACATCTTTATTTTTTAGTGCAGATGTGAGCCCACCCGTTTATCGCCTGCGACCGTTGTACGGACGAGCACTGATTGCATTCGAATGTAGTTTCGTCAAGACCCTCACGGGTAAGACCATCACCCTTGAGGTCGAGTCCTCGGACACGATCGACAATGTGAAGTCCAAGATTCAGGACAAGGAGGGAATCCCTCCCGATCAACAGCGTCTTATTTTCGCCGGAAAGCAGCTCGAGGATGGCCGCACCCTTTCTGATTACAATATTCAGAAGGTTCGTTCTTAGTATCACTGCCGCACTCTACTAGTGCTACGGCGACAAGGCCCCTAGTTATTTGATGCTAATTTCGAAACAGGAATCTACTCTCCATCTTGTTCTCCGTCTCCGTGGTGGTATTATTGAGCCCTCGCTGAAGGCCCTCGCCTCCAAGTACAACTGCGATAAGATGATCTGCCGAAAGTGCTACGTAGGTTTCATTGAGCTCCTCGGGAGAGCGTCCCGCCTAGCTTTGAAGTGAGCTGACATTCTTTTGATAGGCCCGTCTTCCTCCCCGAGCGACCAACTGCCGAAAGCGAAAGTGCGGTCATACGAACCAGCTCCGGCCGAAGAAGAAGCTCAAGTAAATGTGGAATGGGAAGGAAATCCTGAGGTGGACGCGGCGTCTGGAATTCGTTTTCTCCTTTTTCTGGCATTTGGTGGCGACTGGGGAAAATAGGGCACGATTTTTTAACGCCTAGCTCATATTGTCATTCGACCACCTACGGACGACTCATAGTGGAGCGAGTGTTAGATCGGTAAAAGAAACGAAAAAAAAAAAAGATGATTGATTCCAACGCTGGATTACCCGGACATCGTCTGCTTGATGTCTCATGACGTGAGCCATAGCAGCATTTTGGATATGCTTGGCGAAGGATATACTCCGTACGGGGTATAAATGGAACCTCCATGCAGCACCAGGGTACTTTGCCTCCAATCATCGAGTATAATGATGTCGGCTTTTGGACGCTTTCTTCTTCCCGGGACGGCCATAGGGATACTCGCGTAATTACTTCGTAGCTCCAGTTTGCGTTGCCTATTGCGCAGCTCAGTTGCGCTTGACGCTGGCGGCCCGGCCTTTTGCACGCCAGCTGGCCGGGAGCTCCTGCCGAACCTAGAACCAAGTTCACATCTGTCCCCAGTCCAACTGACACGAGCTCAATGGGTAATTCTCGGCAATATAGCCGGAACAACTCCCTTACCAATAAAAATGAGCAGGGCGTCGTGCAGTGAGCTTCGTCATCCGCAAAGCCGGAACACCGTTAAACTGTTCACCTAGCAGACGAGGCGACTATCATGGCAAGTTCAGGATATGATGTTGTGGTAGATGTGGATGATGAGGTGTGTGCGACATCCCGATATCGCGCCAACATGTTAGGTGCGCAGAACGGCTCCTTCAGACTAACCACTCTATAGGGCGACCTTGGCCGCACCGATCTTCAAGATGACCTTGAATTTCATACCTCCACATTCGCCGAGACATCCACTGCGGGACGAAAGGGCAGGTCCTCGCCTGGTTTGCTACCACCTCCTGCTACCGCGTCGTCAACCGGGGGCAAGCGCATGCTGTGGACTATAGGATTTTATCAACAATTCTTTGATGTGGACACGACTGCAGTGCTCTCAAGATGCTGGGCCTCGCTCTTTCCTCGGGCAAACTTCCTGGATGTTCTAGAAGGAAACCCGGACCTCTACGGACCGTTTTGGATTGCAACGACAGTAGTATTGATTCTGTTCTTGGGAGGGACGATTGGCGACTACATGTCTACCGAGAAGGGCACCCCGTTTGCCTACAATTTCAGGCTGCTGAGTGGTAGGCGCTTCCCGTTTTCTACTCCAACGCTCCCAATGAATCGTTCGCTAATATCAGCTGCGTAGGCGCTGCTGGACTGATCTACGGCTATACCCTCTTCGTTCCTATCGGTCTCTTCCTCATTCTCCGCTATTTTGGATCCGAGGCCGCCAATCTTCTAGAATGTTGGGCCCTCTACGGCTATGCAAATCTAATATGGGTGCCTGTTGCGCTCATAAGCTGGTCCCCAATCGACATCCTGAATTGGACCTTTGTTGCGATTGGCTTTGGGATGAGCACAACCTTCCTCCTTCGTAACCTCTATCCCGTACTCAGCGCAACGGACCGGCAGATTAGCAAGGGCTTGCTAATTGTTGTCGTGGCCCTCCACTTCGGCTTGGCCCTCACCGTCAAGTTTCTGTTCTTTGCGCACAAGAGTCCGCTGCATCCAGATAATCCGACTCCGATTGGTGGCGGGGGTGAGGGAGACTCTTAAGAATTTGTAACACGCGGGTGACATCCATATCCCTGGGGGACAGTGAAATTAGGTGCCTGGGGAGTATTGGCCGGCGTCGAATGAGGCAGTGTATAATCTAGATATCTTTATGCGTCCTATTTACTAAGAGCCTCGAGTTGGTTGTTCAAGAGAGCGTCCCACTACTGGTGATCGAAATCTCCAACACGTCTCACGTACCATTCCCCAACCCCCAAATCCCAAGTCCTTGATGTAGACGATGTGGCATATGGTTGCAAGTCAACTTTACTATGCGTCTCCCCCTTCAAAAGGTTCCACCTTGCCGCCTTTGGCTGACCAGTCCAGCCAGCTCCCAGCATAATCCCCAACTTTGTTATATCCTGCGCTCCTTGCAAGTTCTGCAGCGGCACGCGCTCTCACGCCGGCTTTGCAGAAGACGACTAGTTCGGGGGCATCGGGACCGTCGGTTGCGGGCTTCTCGAAACCGAAGAGGTGGCGGAATTGCTCTGCGGGGAGATGGAAGGCATTGGGGTGGCTTGTGATCGGGATGTTTAGCGAAGTGGGAATTGTGCCCGTAGACTGAAGTTCGTTGGGTTCGCGGACATCTAAAGGTCGAGCGTCCTCATTAGCTCACGCAGGACCTTGGGATTGGGGAGGCAAGCGGCGCACCTATTAGGAGGAGGTTCTTAGGTTTGGACTGGGAGATCTCCTTGATCTGGAATGGATTAGTTTCTGGCATGGCGTGCAACTAGGTTGGAGACTCACCGACTCAAAATCCCACTGGCGTCCCTCATCTGCCTTTTGTGTCGGTTCATTTTTCTCCCAACGGGAGTTCGTGATAGAAAAGCTCCGTGTAGCTCTAACAGCATGGTTACCAGCCAACTGGGCTGGTCGAATGCGGAGGGAGGGCCTGTACCAAGGTTGCGAGCGAGCCAATTGCGCTCCGCACTGGATCGCTAATTGGGTCGCACGAGTTCTGGTCATCATGATGTCTTGGTAGGAATAAGCTAGGCTGGTTAAATACTTATTCCTGGGTAATGGGTAATGGTGAGAATTGATTGTGAGGGAAGCAGGACGAGCTTCTTCCGCTAGCGTCGGGGATTTTGCAAGTACTTCGTAAAGATGGCTGTGCTGCCGCCACGGAACTGTGGTGTGAAATTTGATATCAATCCTTTTGACTTTTGAAATTCAGCGTTTCCATATGGCAAGATTTTATACCTTTACAATTGAGCTCCTGTCATTTCAGTGTGTTGACAATACCGAGGAATAGATATACACACACACACACATATATATATATATATGAAAAACGAAAGAAGAAATGCTCGCCATCCAAAGTCTGAGGCAATCCTTCAGTATTGGACGAAGTGGTAGAGGACTTTTCACCCCAGGATGCTGACGCCACGCAGCACTGGACATAATTGTGGCTTAACAGGCATTGTCTACTTCGTACTTGGTTGTGATATGGGTTATATACAATCGAATGGATGGGCAGATTAAAGATTACATGTAGTTGCATTGCTGCGGTCGGATCGCCATGGCGCTTGCGGTTGCACCATTCAGTATGTTTAGCACTTCTCTTCGTGGGTCGTATGCATTCAAGGGTACAAGAGAACCCATCCGGCTGGAGTCTATACCCTGAAAACCGGCCAGTCTATCCGCAGACCCGTGCTTACTCGCGCTGGCGAGGTGCGCGGGGCCTGCTTACTTTTATTCCCTGGCCTCAAAGGTCAGCGGGCAATCATCCTATCGTGTTGTTAGCTTCTTCCGTGTCTAAACGTCGAGGGTTCATAATGTGCATGCACTGACTTGGGGGAAAATAGTCGCAAACACTTTGATTTCCTCAGATTTGGGAGTGGGATGGTGTTTCCAGTCAAGGAGCACCGACGCCTTCCCGACAAAGAGCGCTAGGTTCAACTGAGCGTACGTTTGCCCGAGACAGTAATGCGGGCCGACACCGAACACCAGGTAGTTTTTGGCACCCTTGGCCTCAGCATCGCCCGAATAGTAACGGTCGGGATCGAATACATCAGGGTTTTCGTAAACCTCGGGGTCTCGGAGAGCCATGTACGTGGTTGGGATAATCATGGCACCTGAAAGTACGTGTTAGCTCGGCTCAAGTTTCCATACGCCATTAGTTCTTGCCATTACTACCGTGAAACTTACCCTTCGGGACAGTGTAGGTATCCGTAATGGGGAATGCCTTCTTGGCCATGTACGGCACCATGAGGACGGGTGGCCGATAACGAAGCAGCTCCTTGACGACGGCACGAGTATACTTGAGAGATTCAAGCTGGTCCATGTTGATCTCTGCGTGGATATCGCCATTTCGGACCTCGAGGTTTTCCTCTCGAACTCGGTCTAGAACATCGGGTCGTTGCGCCATGATTTGGAAAAGCCAGGTAGCCGCACTGCTCGTAGCATCTTGAGAAGCGAACAAGAAGGTGAAGACAGTCTGGGAGATTTCGTAATCGCTGAACCACCGTAATAGGGGAGAGGGTTTTTCCATCCCTTCTGTCGACAATCCCTCCTCTTGAGCTTCACGCCACTTCTTGGATTCTAACATTGATTTCACCCAGGCGTCCATAATACACGTTATCTCACCCCCCGCGGCCATCCGGATTTTGCTCTTTGCGGCGCAGATGGAAAACTCCCTCAGAACCATATCGGCTGCTTTCTTTCCGTACCACGTCTTGGTGTAGGGAATGATGATAGGGAAGTTGACGAGCTCAAGGGCAGCGGTGATAAGGTAATAATCGTCGGCGATCTTCTTCACGGCCTCATCGGAGATGTAATGTCCCACGAAGGTTCGGCAGGATACGGCGCACATTACTTCGCGGAATTCGGGCATAAAAGGAACCGGCTTGCCGTCGTTATCTTTCGTGATCTGCACGAACTTCTTAAAGTATGCCTGGTACACCTCTTCTTGCCCCGGAAGATAACTCTCAAGCGCTTTTCTAGTGAACAGGCCATTGAGGCCTTTTCGGAAGTCGACATGAGCACGGCCGTCCAGGAACACCCAGTTATCGGCACCGAGGAGCTTGTGGGCGACATCCACGACACAGGGCTTGACGTAGGCCGGAGAATTGAAGATTTTGCGGGACATGTCTCGAGTCGAAGCGATGACGACAAACCTACATGGCGGGTTAGTGAGGGCTATCAGGAAATGCTGGTCATCTCGGGCGGAGGAGGGCTTGCATACTTGTGAAAGACGGAAACGCAACTCAGCGGGCCGCTTAACCATTTCGCATAATACTCCTCGAACTTGGGATTGACCGATTGAAGGAAAGGCCCCATGAATGGTAGTTTCCAGGAAGGGCCCACGATCGAGCCTTTCCTCACGATATACATTACTGAAAATTCATCACGTCAGTAAGGTTCCCACCGCTTCTCCACGCGCGTCGCAGGTTTGAATGGCCGTGGGACGTCTTTCTTACTCTGGTCATAGGCGACCAAGATAGCCAGCACAGTAAAGAGGATGGTCCATGGTCCAGAGTTGACGACGGCGTCAACAACATAGTCGACTTGGGGCGGGACGGGCACTCCGCCGTATTTTGCGCTGGCCAGCACGGAGGTGAAGTTGGAATTGGATTCCATGTTAGGCCAGGGAAACAGGGGCGGAACTGAGATGGTTCAAGTTGTCAATGCCTGCCGAGCAGGTTTAGTACGACGTGCCCGAGGGTCTTGACGGAGGCGCTACTACGAACCTGGCTTCGAGGTTCAAGTGCACCTCAACCGTGACAGAACCGCTTCGAGGTTTTGGGGAGAGAAGTTTAACTGTCTTCGGGGAGGTGCGGTTTGGGGGGGTGGGGCGGATATGGTATTTGATTTATGAACGCGCTTTCAGAATTTCTATCGAGCTCGTCGCCCGCAACGGCACCCACGGAACATGCGCAAAGCTGCAAACTGCAGTCGTCGACTGATAATACTTCGGAGTGCGAAGTACGTACAGGTATAAGTACATGTAATAATTGGTGGTGTGCATGGAGGTACTTCCCGCATATGTACATCATTTCGAGAAAAAAAAAAGAACTAATGTTCAATTGATCAATAGAAGTGTTTCTTGGTCTCGTCCTTGTTAACACAAACGTGGTAATTTTCGATTTTGTTGGGAACCTCTACCCCTGAGAAAAATAAAAGATACCTGGCAATGATGTATATCTTCGAAATTATCAAGACCCGTGCATGCTCCAAGGATGTTTCTCGGCCGGCCGTGGGTGGGTTCTGGGACGGTTTGGAAAATCAGTTCCAGAACAAAGACGGGTTTGATAAAAAAAAAGAAAAAAAAAAAAAAAAAAATTAATAATAATAATAATAAAAATAAAATAAAAAAGAGGGGGAGAAAGAAAACGGATTTCACAATGGCACCATCACTTGCTCGCCAACTCTGTCTCGCAATGTTCTTAGTAAAAAGGAGGCGTCCATTGTTGCTGTCATTCTCTTTTACGCTATGAAATAGTTACATCGCCCGACGTTTCGGATCCACTCCCGCCCTTCCAATTGTACCAACTGCCAAGTACAAAGGTAGGCAAAGTAGCACTACTTCGATGTTGACTTGTCCTTCCCAAGCCTGCCAAAGGTTCCGAATTGTGCCCCCAAACCACCACACCTCTCTCCTCGTGCAGTTAATTAGATCCTCTACACTACACTAGAATATGCGTATGCGGAGACACTGCGTTCCTCGCTCCTCTTCGATGACTAGGAACAGATTCGGTGCACCAATTCGGCGTTGGGGTTTCGGAGAGAGGGAGGCAGGCAAAAGCCACCTCGATTATCATCGATTGATCCCTTGTCGCATCTCCCACCCTCACCCCTGACCATGATATCACACCTCACTGGTTAGTAATAACTACCTGGCCGAGAGCTCATTTATTGGTCAATCGAAGTGGCGCACTTTCCCTGTCGAGAGTCTGCCCTATTGCTTCATCTCTACTTCGTACGTTGGATATAAAAATTGAAAATACTTCAGCTCACTTCTCACGATTGAGACGCTTAGATCACAAAGAGCCTTTCGCCTTTCGTTTTCGGTCCCAGCAGATTCGCATGCGGTGTATTAGTACTATGTGGGTGCAGGAATTGTGGTGGACTTCCTTTTCAGGTTGAAGGCATTCGCCCGAACTTCCCTCCGGCATACATTGCCAGGAAATGCAAAGCTGGTTGGTTGTCTAACTGTACTTCGCACATTGACAATTCAAAACCTGTTCGTTTAGAGGTCCAGTGTACCAATTAATATCTTGAGCGTTGCTTCGTTCGGGTCTGTCGGTTGTGCATGTGGTGTTCAATTTTGACGCGGAACAGCGGTGGTTCTTTGTTCTCGCGAATACGAATACGAGAGCCAATCAAGTTGACGCAAATGGCGATGAGGAAATTATTTCCAGGTACTACATCAGAGCATCTACTTGCTTGGGGGACTTTCCTTATCATGACGTTTGCGAAAATTACCTTCTTGGACGTGATGAATGCCGGTGTCAAGCCTCGGACAGCGCTCTCGAAGCCATCTCCGTGCCCCGGTCAGGCCGCTCAACTTCTGCATTCTTGACAACGTCGTCCCTGCACCGACGTCGGCCAGATCAAAGGCTCCGGTTCCGTCGTCTCAAGGCCAAATCCGGACCGCCTTCGACCAGCTCCTACTGTGACAAGACATCCGTACAAACCGCACACGAGAAACAAATCCTCAGGTGGCTGTTGTGATTTGTAGTGGAGAGGGTCAATTATGTTTAAGCTCCAGCCGCTATTGCGGCTTAGATCATATGAAACAAGCAGTCTTCTTACTCCTTGAAAGCCTTCTCGATTGGAAGAGCCTTTTCGTATATAGAAATGTGAGCCTTCCCTTTGTAGTGACTGCGTTGCTATTGCCATTTAATTTTATGCCCTGTTGCGGCGAGCTCCAACTACGAGGGCTTAGTTGACTCGGTCAACTTGGCCTGCGCTAAGTAGGGGAGGCAATGGGACTTAATTTCTGCTTGTTCGGCAGCTTCTTTTGAGCCAAATTCATCCAATTCCTCTTTCCCTTCTTCCTCTCTCGTGTGATAGTCACTCTACAATTACAACCCGACAACCGAAGATGTCCCCTTACCGCGCACAGCGCCTGTGGCAGACCTTTCGGTCGGTTTGGTGTCCAAGGTGCGTTGGGCCAGGCAATCCGTGTCTGTTGTTGATGATCTTATCCTCTGTCGTCTCACTATGACAGATTCAGCGTATCCCCGCTCGACCAGCTCCGACAGCAGAACTGAGGAAGCCCAGAGGTGGTAGCTGAACGGCGGTCGACCGTCCGAGCCCTCAATTCGACAGGTCCAACGTCATCAGAGACGGAGGGTACGGCGAGGCGTAGGGCGGCACTCGCCACATAGCGGTGCTGGACCGTCACCGTCCGCGAAAACATTCTTGCTACTTTGCGTCTCCCCGGACGGATACGTCTGGTCACAACTTCAAGTAGTTTATAAGGGTCGATCATGATATACACAGAATTAAATTGCGTTGCTGTCTGACTTCGAGGCGATGACCCAACGTATTCTGTGTTCATTTGAGGGCTAAGGTCAGTCCGGGCAGGGACCGACTCTTGGACTCGCCCAACTGATAAGCTCTTATGACGTTGCGAAAACTCGTACGAAATTAGCCAGCTTCTCTGCACCCCTAAGGGGAATCGAATTGTAGTTGCTTGGGCGAATCCCCTTTCTTGAACAATGTCCCTTGAACCCGGTTAGTCCCTGGCCAATACCCTCCTCTAGAAAGGCTTCTCTCGGCGGCATCAATATCGTCACCTTGGTAACTCTGAAGCAAATATTGATACGAAACTGTACTGCCTTATTGGGGATGAGCATATAGGTCCTCGGGAAAGGCCTCAAGGGATCATAAATAAGCTGAGCCTTCTTGCTTGATACACCTTGCTGTCCTTCAACTGTAGTAGGGTATGTCTGCAGCAGCTTCTTGAAAATCTTGGCTGCAATGTATACACTAGTGATATTATCATCATCTTAAATCAGGGATATCAAATGAACTACGGGAATGAGAGAATCGCAAAATAGAATAACAAGAAGACGAAGAGAAGAAAAGGGAATGTGATCGTACGAAGTACATCGTTGTCGAGGATGATAATACCAGAGTAACGAACAACAACATACCAGCCTAACAGAACATATATTAAAAAGAAGACATTCACTCGTTCAACCACATCAATTTGTTAACCAGCTGACAGGTATGCCTACGAAGTAGGCAACTAGGATCTATTACTTTGTGTCAAAGATGGACATAGACTGTTACCGAAGCCGTCTCTTGTGTGCTGGGATCCTGCCAAGGAGCAAGGAATTATCCATCCAGCAGATCAACGCCAACCATTTTAAGTGCGGCCACCGCCCAGTCCGGGTAGGACGTCTTATTCGGATACAACCGGCCGAAGAAATCCTTAACATATTCGGGGAACCTGTCCGCGATGATGGCCTCTCTTACCTCCCTCATCAGGTTCAATTGGTAGTACACATTATGGATCGTTAAGAGATGAGCCGAAACCGTTTCCTTACCAACATTGTGGTGAACAAAAGCCCTTGTGACGCCTAGTCCATCCCCATCCGTTCTACAGCAAATGCAGCCGCAACCTTCTTCAATGGGCGAAAAGTCCGTGGCGAAGCTTGCCTGCCGTAACTTAAGCATGCCTTGTTTCGTGATGGCGTTGCCGAAGCGCGCCGTTCTCGTCGGCCAAACACAATCGAACATATCAGCTCCTAATGCGACGCTGACAACTAGATCTTCTGGATACCCAATCCCCATCACGTAGCGGGGCTTCAACTCGGGTAGGAGGGCGGTGCAGGTTTCGACTACTCTGCAATAGTCGTGTTTCGCCTCGCCGCCACTCAATCCTCCAATGGCGATACCGGGGGTGTTGCGCGCAAGCATCTCGTGGCAGCATTCTCGCCTCATGTCTAAATCCAGGCCTCCTTGTATGATGCAAAAGAGATTCTGTGTGGAAGGGTTCTTGTGTGCCGCAATACAACGATCAAGCCACCGAACGCTCCGTTCCATAGCTTCCCGCATTCGTTCTTTGTCTGGGGATGTTGTCACAATCACATCGTCCAACTGCATTATTATATCACTCCCGATAGTGTTCTGCAGGCTGATAGAGTGTTCGGGGGTGAGAAGCATTGGGGTGCCATCGTGGGGGCTCAAAAACTCTACACCCTCCTCGGTGACTTTGGCAAGTTTAAGTAAACTGACCATTTGAAACCTAAGGAGAGTCAGTGGAACCGCATAGCACCCTCCGGGACAGTAAAGGTTAGCAGAAAAGATGTTTCGTACCCGCCGCTGTCCGTTAGGATATTGTGCTCCCAGCCTTGGAGTTTGTGAGCACCGCCGATGGCGGCAAGTGCCCCCTGCCCAGGTTTTAGGCCGAGATGATAGGTGTTGTTGAGACACAGGCGACAACCTGTCTCTTCTAGCTGCTCTGGTGTTAAGCCTTTGAGTGATGCTTGAGTAGCCACGGGCATGAAGATGGGCAGCTGGACCGGACCATGAGGCAGGGTCAAAAGAGATGCGCGAGCTCTCGTTGTCTGTTGAGACCGTCAGTCCGCTATCTAAAACAATATCCATCGAGAACCAAACGAAGAGAACTAATAGAATCTAACCGAACAACGAGCAACTAGCTCAAATGTGAGTGCCCCCGACGAGGCGACGTTTGCTGAAAGGGACGCCATGCGTCTAACAAGCGACATTCCCCTAGCTTACGTGCTACAGTGGGCAAAGACCTTATATACAGCACACAGTATGGTTATCGTCGGGGGAAATGTCTGGGCGCGGGGGGGTTTCCGGCGTCAGGATTAGAGAAGAGCATGGAAACCTGCCACCGATGATTTATGTAGTATCTCACTGCACTTTCAAGCGACGTAGTCAATAATGTTGGCGATAGTGATGGGACGCTGTCGGGGACATGCGAAAAAAAATCTAATTTGTTTGTCACATGGTTACACCTGGCAGCTAAGTGACATCTTATTCAGCAATGCTCCGTCCAGCACCGACGAAATGAGGGATCCTCGCGTCTAAAAATTTGCAACATGGTAACGAACCACTCAGCTGTCCAACCCGTTTTCTAGCTGCTGGTTGAGCCAACAACGCCTGACTCTTCGAACGTGAAGATGGCGGCGAGACCTTCACGAGGGGCCTCTCTCCTGAGGACCTCACGTATGTTTTCTATGCCCCAACCCCTACGGGTTCCTGATTCTGGATTGGGTTTGCATAAACTCTCGGACAGCGCGACCACTCCATTTCCGCTCCATCTTTCGATCACAACTCCGGAAACTTCTCGAATTGTAGGAGATTGGGGCCTCAAGAGGCCACTTCCTCTGCGACAAACGACCAAATCATCGACTCCCGTTGTTCGTGTCAAGCAAGTGGACTCAATCGAATCTGTCACAGACTACGCCTCCGCCTCCGATCATGCTTTGACGGTCGAGAAGTTTCACGAAATGAACATCGCCGTATCTACCCCGGTCTTGAGACACGAGAAGCAAAAGGAAGGGAAAAGGTCGGTTTTTGAAGACGCCAGCGACCAGACCACACCACAGTCGACCGCGGATGGCAATGCCAATTCAAAGCGATGGCAATTCGCTGGGCCATGGCTAGCGAGCATGTCCGAGGAACAGTTCAATAATTATATCAAGAAGAGGGTGAGGTCGAGAAGGGCGGAGTTCCGGGAGTTTCTGCGCCAGCGTCGAGCAGACGAGTTATCGCACGCCGCATCTCAGAAGGCCCTGGACCAGGGAGAAGCGCCCCCACCTCGCACATCTTCCAGCGATATCAGCGATTCGGATCTGACCGATTACATACGATCTCTTCGCGCTGACCGGTCGACTCTCTACTGGCTAGTCAGCCAGTTCCTTGATCTAGCCCCCATTGCCCCACCACAGAGCTCAACCAATGTCTGGGCTAATGGCGTCAATGGATCGCTTCATCCGGTTAACCCCTACGCCCAGGAAGGACCCCCTGTTTGCCACCCTTCTGCGGGAATATCATATTTGCGAACATCAGCATTTGTCGAAAACCACGCACTCTATGGACCACAGAAACAGCATAGCCCTGTCCTTTCCCGAATTCTTACCCCCCAGAGAGGTCCCGAAGGTCCTAAGCTGGGCATCGGTGGTTTTGTCGCGAACGTACCACCGGGATCGACGTCGTTCATCCACCGTTTCCGAGATTATGATGCTCGTAACAAGGTCCAGGGTCTTTCCGTCTTTGACCCGTCAATTCCAGGTGGCGCCTCGGTTTATCTGATTCCTCAGGCCGCGAGAGTCCTCTGGAATGGTAGCGTGGTTATCAAGGTTGATGAGGCGACAGCAGAAACACAATTGGTCAAGAAGGAGCTCTCCGGGAATGCAGAGATATACATGGAGCCCCGTCGAGCACCTGCCTCCCACGAGCCTTCAAAGGGGAGGGATAACCGCGTCCAACGCCTTCTCGAGCCAAGGCAAGCTAATAAACGGCCGTACTTTGGTGATCGAAGCGTCTTGGGGAGCTCCAAGAGTTATGGCTTGAGACCTTGAGGTCTCAATCATGGGAGAGTAATTGTAAAGTTAGATGATATAAATGTACTATCAAGTTAGCTTGTCAACCAGCCTTCTCTAGATTACCGTATCGTGCAGCGCTTCGTTTTCAAAATTCTCTACGAGAATGACTGATTGGGTTCTAATTAGAGCCTAGCTGGTCCTCGGTTACACGGCGCGAAGTATGAATGTGAATATGCTTCTCCCAGTGGCAATATGAGTCAAGCACCTCCCTTGTGCTCACACAGATTTGCGTCAAATATTGTAGAACTCGTATAAGTAGGTACTTTTTGCTTCAGGAGCATCTGCTCTTCTGCCACCACCTTAATGGACCAACTGCATATTGATTCCCTTCTCCGAAGGACGACAGCTTCTTATTCTGCAAGACGTTGGATGGTGTTGTCTCGTCGCTGATCTTTCAACACGGGAACCCTTCAACATTGACGTGGGAAGAAAAAAAGTGGGAGTAAAAATGGGTCTTGGTTGAGATGAGGGCTGCCAGCTGTTACCGGATATTTGCGGGTGTCGAATCACGTGATTCCACATCATTTGCGTGGGTGTCGGTGGTAGGGCACAATTTGAAGTTTCTCAGCTCAGTCTCCAAACTCCCCCACATCTCACAAAGAATTTCAAGTCCTCCATCGACAACCTCAACACCGATTCCTTTCTCCTCTCAACACCGAGTTAAAACCAGCCACCGTCACAATGGGTCGTGTTCGAACGAAGACTGTCAAGAAGTCCGCCAAGGTCATCATTGAGCGGTACTACCCCAAACTTACGCTCGACTTCGAGACCAACAAGAGGATCTGCGATGAAATCGCCATCATCTCCTCCAAGCGTCTTCGCAACAAGGTCAGCCGGGAAGAAATAGTTGGTGGTATGGCTAACGTAACTAACAATGTTTTATTTTCACAGATCGCTGGTTTTACCACGCACTTGATGAAGCGCATTCAGCGGGGTCCTGTCCGAGGCATTTCTTTCAAGCTCCAGGAGGAGGAGCGTGAGCGCAAGGATCAATACGTTCCCGAGGTGTCCGCCCTTGACTTCACTCAGAACTCTGAGAGCGGCCAACTTGATGTCGATGTAGAGACTAAGGACCTTCTCAAGTCTCTCGGCGTACGTGCCCCTCGCTCCCCTGTCCTCTTCTCTGCTCGTCTCTGTAGCATGGTCCCTCGCTAATGCTCTAGGTCTCTTTTCATAGTTTGATTCGATCCCCGTCAATGTCATTCCTGTCACCCAGACCCAGGCACAGGACCGCGGTGGCCGCAGATTCGGCGACCGACGACGAGATTAAAGGAACAGGAAGTGGGCGATGGGAATGGTTTACAAAAGATACTGGGATCGGATTAGTGCTATACGGCGTCTTGAAGGACTCTAGTGTGAGTTCGCATTGCATTACATCGGAAAATTTATCGTTTCCCCTGCAAGGTGTCGCCGACTCTCTGGGCCCAACGCCTGAGATGACGCTTGATCGCCAAGAGCAATACCCTTTCTTCCCAGCGTGCAGTGACCGTGACGCATTAACTCGCTCAGCCTGGCGAGCCGGGACTCGTACTGGGGCTTGGACTAGCATGTACATGCTATAACATGCGCCGGTGGCAACGCTATTGCTCCGTGCATACTCCCGAACCCTCAGAGATATGGCGTGCTGTTGCAATTGGTGCCATCTAAAATCCAGCCGCAGGCTTAGCTGACGTCGAGTGGCTTCAATGATCTACCCTAGTAGGTAGGCTTGCAAGCACATTCTCAGATCCCAGGCCTTGACTTCGGTGTGTATCCCTCTAGCCTAAGATGTGCTTCCTCATCATCCTCGGCGCTCGCTAAATCCATGTCCTTGGGCGGCCCGGTAATCTCCTTCGGTCTCAATGTGACCGATAGTGTGGTGCCGCCTCCGGTATCCCCCCGCTCGGTAGCGAGTAATGTGGCATCCCTAGCAGCCTTGGCTTGAGACTGTCCCTCCGCCTTGCCTTTGCTCCCTGATGTTGATTGCCCGTTCATACTCGTCCTCCCTTCATTTAAAATTTCGATGTCTATGTCTGGAATACCGACTCGCTCCCAGGCCGCAGTTTCATTTAGTTGGACCTTGACGTAGAAGGCATGCCGTGCACAGGATTGCGAGCACCATTGCTCATGTTCTCTGCGGTGGACAATATCGATACTCTTCCCGCCGTTATTAACCAGTTTCCAAGGGCCTCCGGATGTTGCCTTCAGCTTCGGCTTGGCGCACAGGACGTACCCGCACAAGCCGTTGGCGTTTCTCTCGGCAATGAGATCGTCATAGTCTGATGGTTGGAAGAGGCGAATAAGCTGCTTGAAGTCTGCAACGTCGGAGGGCGCAGGAGACGCTGACGAATGCGGAGGTGTTCGAATGCGTGGGTATTCTGAAAGCGTTATCAGGTTTCGCAGAATTATGGCCTCAATTTCCTTGCGTTGCTGGAGGATGCGAGCGTGCTGAAGGGCAATTTCTTTCGGGTTGCGAGGTGATCGTAGCGAATTATTTTCCGAGTTTTCTGAGCATTGACCTGGGTTGTGGGCCTCGGTCTGAGACTTCGAGTTTGCAGGCAGGCGGTTGTTCATCCCCTTCACGGAATTAAAGGGAGAGGCCATGATGGTAGATTGGCGAGACGGAACTGTCCTAACTTCCTCGGGGTTTCGTGTTCTTCCTTCCTTCCCCCCTTTGGCTGGAACTGTACGAGGTAGGTTCAAAGAAGAACGTCATCAGACGAGATTGAGATGTGGAACATCCCACAATTGCAACGCCACTCCATTATAAAACGGTGAGAGTAGAAGGCGGTTTTATTACGTAATCAGTAAGACGCTGCCATGATTTGAAACCAACGTTTTAACCAAGTCCAAGTCAAGGCCAGCAAATCAAGTCTTAGTTTCGAAGACGTTGTGGGCTTCGTAATCACACGGGACCGAGATAGTCACCGCCTTAGCTCTGCTCCTTTCTTCCCTCCTCACAGCAACGACGAACGGTCCAACGGTAGGAAATGGCCCCAGTTTAATTTCCATCAAGTGCAGAATACCCTCCTCCACGTCAATCTTTCTAGAGCACCCGAGGAATAAGTGAGGGGAAATCGATGCTCTAAGGCCCCGTTGTTTTCAACGATCCCTCAAGACAAGCTGGTTCTGGCCTCGCCTCTGGCTTTCCTTCAGTGGCAAGGTTTATTGGTATCAGAAGTACGTCCATCACCTTATCTTCACCTCGACGACCTCGCCAGCACTAAACTTACCTCCGTTTTATTTTCTTATTCATGCACTGACGTCGTTGCCTCGAGCTGCAGATCACAGCCTCCTTCGATGCTACGACTTGTTTGAGATTCGTGATTCTCTCCCCCATGTCGAGGGAAGCGTTTGCCGCTCCTTCCTCAAGATCTCGACCCTGAAACATATCATTGCTGTCAAATCATTGTCAACGATTGTCAACTTGTCAACAAACACCAATTATCAGACAAGCACGCCACCCACCAACCAACCCCGAGCCTCCGCAGACTACGAATACGCCCAACCAAAGACAAAGATCTAGCATCACCACTCACAACATCACCTCTAGGCAACCAAAACTGCATCCTCGTCCATCCACCTGCACTCAAAATTACATATTCACATAATAGAAAATGTCCACTGGGCTTTTCTTTGTGAAGGCCCTCTTTGAATACTCCTCACCTCATGAGGATGATTTACAATTCAATGCGGGCCAAATCATCACAGTAACTGACCAGGACGATGATGAGTGGTATACTGGTGAATATGTTGATGAGACTGGTGGGAAGCAGGAAGGTATCTTCCCCCGCAACTTCGTGGAGAGGTATGAACCAACAGCTCCTCCACGACCAACAAGGCGGGTGAAGAGAGACTCGGTACCCCCTCCGCCTCCTCCCCCTCGAGAAGATGTAGCGCCGCCCCCTTCGGCACCGCCGGTATTAACCTCTCCAATCACCGAGAGACAGCTACCGCCGCCTCTACCTTTCGAAACCGAGCAAGAAGAAAAGGCCACTGTCCCATCGCCCGCCACTCTTGAACCGCCTCCGCCGACGGTGCCGATTCCTCAGCAAGTCAGGGCTCCCGAACCCAAACCAAGTCCGCCCACGGGTACGGTGCACCGGAATAATCCCCCTCCCATTGCGGAAAAGCCCGCAAGCAGTTCAATCAGGGACCGCATTGCTGCCTTCAATAAATCGGGGGGGGGTCCAATTACCCCGTTCAAGCCGAGCTCTCTTAATTACGTCAAGAAACCGTTTGTTCCCCCGCCTCCAAGCAGAGATGCATACGTCCCACCGCCGCGCGCTGAGCTCCCTCCGCGGATGTACATCCGCGAGGAAGATCCCAATATCAGGAAAGAGGAGCCCTCAAGCAAGGAGCTTGCGGAACCAGCCGGGACGGGCTCGGTTTCCATCTCCCAGAACGTCGACGACCGCGAGGAAGATCAGCCGAAACCTACTAGTCTTCAAGAACGCATAGCACTCCTGCAGAAGCAACAGGCTGAAGCAGCCCAACGGCATGCCGAAGCCCTAGCCAAGAAAGAAAAGCCAAAACGTCCGCAGAAGAAGCGTGCGGATATTTCTGAAACGTCGGAACATACTCCCGCCTTGGATCACGGCGAACTGGACAATATTGAAGGCAGAGTTTCATTAGATGAACACCATGCTATCCCTGCCGCCAGGCGCAGGTCAACCAGGGATGCCTTATCCCTCAACCCAAATGATGGCAATGAGGCAGACATGTCAGGCGCCGGCGATACAACCGAAGGCGCAGAGGATCTCACGGAAAGGGAGGAAGCCGATGACAAGCCAAGACCCGTTTCTCACCCTAACCAAGACGATGAAATGGACGAAGAAGATGATGATCAGGAAGAGGATGACGACATCGATCCAGAAATCCGTCGAAAGGAGGAACTTCGGGCGCGTATGGCGAAGATGAGTGGCGGCATGGGAATGCCTGGCATGTTCATGCCAGTGGCTGCTCCTACATTACCAAAGAAGAAGCGGCGTTCCATCGTACCAAAGGACCAAAGCTACACCGATAACATCGACGAGTCATCCCCGGTCTCGCGAGTCGCACCCCCAGTTCCAACATTGATGGCTTTGCCAGGTATGTCGACCAGGCAGTCGGTGGACCATCCACGTGTAGATATCTCCGAGGAGGAAAGCGCTCCCAAATTGCCGCCGCATCCCATTAGTGATGATTCTGAGGAATACCCAGACTATGACCAGACTCGTAAGTCACCATTGACTCTCTTCCCACTTCATTCTTTCCCGCTTGCTTACTGAGAGAGGTGAAGCTCGAGCCCCAGCTAGCCCACCTCCAATTCCTGGAGGCCGGCCTGCACCGCCTCCGGAGTCCGCATATGGTAAGTGGCCCGAGAAGAGTACTGTTCGTTCCATAATTAACGTTCTCGTAGCCGGGGCGCCGCTTCCCCCTCACTCAACCGTAATATCGCCTAGTACAGGGTCGGAGTCTGATGACGAACTCTCAGAACACCCCCGACGGCCGACTAAAGATGAGGAGCAGAACAGCGAAACGGCCCCGCCAGTTGCCATGCGTTCGCCGCCGCCGCCGCCTCCTTCTCTCCCGTCACCTACCCTACCGACCTCGCCCCGGATTCCCTCAATCCCTATAGTTCCACCTACGTCTAGCGGGATGGAGAACAAGGAACTCACCTCGCCTACCAGCCCTACCACGGCAGCTCATAGCAAGAGGAATAGCCGGCCTCCGCCACCAATTCCAGGGTCAGCTCCGACACTTCCGGCATCCCACACTAGACCCCCACCGCCATTACCACCGAGCTTAAGTCAGAGTTCTACTGCAGATGAATATATTGTCCCCACGGCCCGGCCTCCTCGACACTCGAAGGACGATGACGAGGAGGTTACAGAATACGAAGGCGATTATGATACAGACATTGCGTCTTCAGTACCTCACAAAGATGCTTTGAAATCGACGGCCCGTGAATCCAGTTTTGAGGACGAACGGACGCCAGTAGGATCACCCGTTGCTAGTGCGCCCCCTACTTCACCGCCGCCCATCCCGAGCACGGCTGCTCCGAGGGCTATCCCACCTCCCATCCCAGGCCAGCCGCTTCCGGGCTCCCGGGCGTCGGTAGATGCGCCGCGATCTGCCCCGCCGCCACCTCCGCCGCCGCCGCCGCCAAGGGATCTGGACGTGAACCCAGCATTCCAACCTCACAGCTATACTAGTCCGAAAATTGGAGGCTATCAATATAACGAGGAATCGGGTCTTGCTGGTCCATCAATTCCATCCTCTCCACCACTGGATCGGAGGATGCCGCCGGCGACCGCTCTTCCAATCCGACCTGGCCCGAGACAATCGTTTGACGTTCAACGTTCGGCTGGCAGACCCTCTGCTGACGTTGGGCGACCCTCTCTGGACACGGGTTTCATAGCCGAGGAGCTGGATCCCGCTCTACAAAGCGGTTGGTGGAAGCAATCTAACCAAGTCCCGCCATCACTCCAGGAAAGGAAGGATATTCTCTTTGAGAGCGAGGAATCTACTTCGACAAACCGTGGTGCCAAGACGGTCATCACAAGGACTGTTCGGATCCTTTTCATCGATTACTCCCAAACAACGCTCATTGTGCAGTACGATCCCTATAACCCTGCGGATGTGGAGGTCGATCAGCACCATGAAGGACCTCCCCGGACTCTCCGCCAGGATCAGTTGGAGCAGTCACATGAGCGCTTCGGCCGTGCCATTGCCGATATGGTAACATCTAAGAAGGACTCCGTGGTTGGGGACGGCACGCCACAAGGCCTGGTCTTGGACCTTCTTCGGCCGTTCAAGGAAGCCTTACATCCTGTGGGGATGCGGGCATACGGGGCCCTTGTCTATGCGAATATGGCCAACGCTTCTACGCTTCAGAACGACGAAATTCGGCCCGGTGATATTATTTCATTCCGCAACGCGCGCTTTCAAGGGAAGCACGGTCCGATGCATGCGAAATACTCGGCCGAGGTTGGCAAGCCGGATCATGTTGCAGTCGTCGCAGAATGGGATGGTACCAAAAAGAAGGTGAGAGCTTGGGGCCAAGGGCGCGAGAGCAAGAAGGTCAAGTTGGAGAGCTTTAAGCTTGATGACTTGCGATCCGGCGAAGTGAAGATATGGAGGGTGATGCCGAGGAGTTGGGTGGGATGGAGTTCTCAGCACTAGAGAGAGAGAGGGAGAGAGTTTGTGGGGGGGAGAGGAGTGATGGAAGAAGAGCCATATTGTTGAGTATTGTTGGGGAGCTATAGAGCTTAAACCGAACGTGAGTGATCTCGACGGGCGTATATGAAGGTCACGATTGTATCCACTCCTATTTAATAGTATGTTATTCAAAGTGGATACGAGGCTTTCGGGCCCAGTGTTTATATTCCCGTCAGTTAAACCCTCTTTTCCAGAGCAGAGACGCTTTTAGTCCTCAAGAACAATTCACACTCAAGTCAAGGTGACAAGAGTCTCTGCTCAGTCAATCTGAAGCGAAGAGGCCCCTCTGGGGTTAACCGCGGAATCCCACTTGATGTAAATAGTCTAGATACTGAGAAGCTGACCTTGGAACATTGATGTGTTCCAGTTTTGAAAGCCACACCTCCTCAGATGCCGTGATCGAGTCAGGGAGTTTGAAGATGCCGGATCTAACTTGGGCGACAACTTGCTAGGTTGGAGATCTTTTGGCTCTTTTTCTTCTTGGTTCTGTGGATAGACGTGGATGGCCTACCTGACTCTTGGGGCGAAATCAAGGCACGCGTATAGTACGTGATGGCATGGATTGCAAACCCCCACGTCACGCTTATCACTTGAGTTGATATTTTACATGCTCTGCTTGTCACGGACGTGGGTGTGTGTCTATGTTTGCGGGACCACAGTGGGGAGGCGGGCAGTTCTCCACGTTATGTTCTGTCGTTTTTCTTCTTCTTTCCTTTCGTTCTTAACAGGGCCTTGCAGAGGTGGCGACATATAGCCGTCGATCGAAAGCGACAGGAATTTATACTGATATGTCGTACGCATGAGGGGGTGTTGGCCAAGAGGATCACACCATACTCGGTGAATGGCTAAGGGTGCTCTAGGAGACACGGTTCGACACCCATCAAATGCGGGAGAACAAGACAGTAATGGCGATGCGATGCCCGCAGCGGTATCTCTCTCCTGGAAGTTGCTCCTGCATATTCTTGAACGTGTGAAGGGGGTGGAGGGTCTCACTATCTTGCTTCTTTTAGTATGTCCAGTCGTCGCAAATGCGTGGGCTAGCACCTAGTCTGCGCTAAGGGGTACAGGCTGGGTCTTTCATCTCAAGGGCGGGTGAGAGATAAGGTAAAGCATTGCAACTGGGAGGATGGCAGAGAGGCATTGCGGCACGTACGGAGTACAGCCGAGTAACAGGAAGTCTGCAAAAGGTCGCGGGAAAGGGGTGGGATGAATGGGGATTAGATATCATAAGAAACGCATCACTCAAAGCGTGACCGTAAGCCCTCGTCCCACAACTGCCCCCGCACAGGAGGACGGACAAGAAAGTCGAACCGAATACAAAAAAAGAAATGCCTCGGTGCCGGAGGAAGTGGAACAACGCGAGCAGACTCAGAGTAACCAATCGGCTAGGGTAGCAATATACTAAGAGTTCAAGATCAGATTGGCAGCGGAGTTCGTGGCCAGGGTATACGTATCCATGCCGTGTTACCAAGACCGTTTGAACTCTAAGCACTGATGATCTGGGGTAAGTGAGACAACAGCTCGAGGACATAAAATTCTGCCTAGCATAACAGGCATGTATGTCACAACCAGGTCAACTAGGTACCCGTGACAGCAGCACCATAGATTGTGATAGAGGGAGACCCCATCCTCAACTTCTTGTGGATCTCAAACTGAATAGGCGATGGAGAAACGTGGCCCAGCCGGGACTGCTGGATTAACTTAGTGATGAGGACCTCAGGGTTACATCTACAGAGGAAGATTGAGGCGTGATCCCTTTCCGGTGTCTCCCGGAGGTTCGAAGGTAGGACCCAACTTTCAACGTTCGACGCATAGCCAGTGTTCGCTGTGGTTTGTGTGTCAGAATCAGCCTTCAATCCCTGGGGTCCTTAGGGACTCGGATGTGGAGGGCTTCGTGGGCATGGGTGGAACGGCAACGAGGGAATATATTCATCTCGTTAGGCAGCATGGCGCCAATGCGGCGTGGCAAGGATCAACTCGGTTCCCCGTGAGTGAGTGGTTGTTCTTTTTCCGCTTGGGGTAAAGGAGCACGCAGAGAATAGGCCGGGGAGGCGTACGAGAAGCAGGTACATGTGCTTCGGGTTGGGGCCTGCCCGTGTGTGTAAAGAGGAAGGGAATGCAAAAAAAGATCCGACGTGCCAGTCAAACATCGTCGAAGATGAACAACGGAGCGCTTGATGGAGAGAGAGAGAGGGAGAGGGGCATATGCCTAATTCGCCAGGCATAGCTACTTGGCCTAAGGCTTTAGAGATGTTAAACGGAACTAAGAATGCTCAAGTTGCCATTGATGGTTTTGGTGCGTGCAGGCGAACACCAGAGATGAGGAGGAGCCGAATCAACGAAGAGAGCGTCGCACGTGGTTTCTCGACTCCAGGCACCAATGGCGTAGGGTAAAGCAGAAAATAGGCGAATGGGAGGCTGACACGGTGGCAAGTCGTCGAGACGGTCGATTTTCTTTCCTGTTGTCGAGATGCAATGGGACGCACAGGAGTCGGGTTTTGAGCAAATGGAGCTCTGCAGAGAGATGGGCCGAGAACGAGGGATATCCGCCCCAACCCAACGGTGATAGGCTCAAATGCAGTGGAAAAAAGGCCTTGGACTGGACAGTATGAGTGGCATCATTTTTCTTGACTACGGCATTAACAGCCAATGGGTTCAGTTGTGGTGTGTGGAGAGCAAGCCAAGCACTGATGGGGTGAGGCATTACTTTGTAAACTAGTTGGGCATCAGCACCGCATTCGCAGAGGTCGCAGGAGACTAAGTTGGGTCTTCTTCGCCCGTCGGAAAAAAGAAAAAAAGAAAGAAAGAACGAAGAGCTTCTTGTGCAGACTCCATGAAGAGACAGTCTGGGAATGAGAGCTGAGAGATGGCCCGCCCGCGACTCGAGCTTCCACCGAGGTTGTCGGGAGGAAAAAAGGGAACAAGAGATGCTGGGCAGAGCGATGTGTTCGAGCTGGCAGGGAGCCCTCATGAGATGATATCAGGCGAGCACAGGCCTCTGGCAGGTCTCTGATACTAGAGTCTCTGCATCATCGATCTACCGAGGTAGGATCAATTGATTAATTTCGATTCTCAGACTTTTGGCATCGCTGGCGGGTGATAATTCGCTATTCGCAGCCAGGCATGGAGGACGGTCATAAAGACGGACGGAGGCGGACGGAGACGCAGGTTATACCTGTAGATCAGATGCAACTCCATCAATACTGGTGGGATTCTTGGCTCTCAGGTCCGGGTTTCCAAAGTTTACGAAGTAATACATACTTCACGGGCTAGACGAGGGGTCCATATGATGAGAGGAGTTTTGGGTGCATAGGGCTTCAAGGACAATTCAGCCCGCAACGGTTGTTCGCAGCTCGCAACTCGCCACTCGCCGGATTTCTCTCCCTCAGTACCGTGGATGGATGGACGTAGTGTACTTCGTACATCGTATCCACGAAGAGATGGATGAGGAGCAGACATTAAGAGATGGGATTAATGTTAGATGTACAAATGTACCCTGCCGAGCCTGAACCAGAACGGACATGGAATTGACTCAAAGAGAAGCTGAGTTGGCAGGCGCGGGTCTGGTGCGGGCGGTCCCCCCAAAAAGTGCGCAAAAAACACCGAGAAGGATTCAAGGAGGGAATGAAAGTGAGGAAAGGGGGGAAATAAAACCCTCAACCATCTTGCCAGCAGAGACATCAGTCAATTCTAATGATCGATAATGGGTACCCTCGATAATTCCTAGGCTGGTCAAGGTCGTCGACGTACTCTGTTTCGTCACTACGAAGTACGAAGTAGTGGATGCGACAATTGTAACGGCGGGACAACGGCAACGGCAACAGCAACAGCAACGCAGCAACAGCAACGTGGGTGGGGTGGGTGCAATTGCACTTGTACCATTGTCCTTTCCTCGTGCTTGTGGTGCACATGGATTTTGAATTTGAAAGCGGACATGCGGTGGTACACACATGTACACACATGTACAGAGGTGCAGTGCAGTGGCTGCAGCGGTACAGTTCAAATGTTGTGTGTACGAGTCCAGTTGTGCAACCGCCCCAACTGCTGATCCACTGTGTTTTCACGGTTCGTTCCTTCCGGTGGAGGGGGAGGTCGGCGCGTGCCGTCGTGGCTTGGAATTAATCTGGATCGGTGGATCAATTTGACGGACTCAAACTGCGCTCATCAACTTTTTAAGGACCAACTTGGTCAATTCCCTTCTTCGATCGTTTGAAACACCCCATTGAAGATTGATCTTGGCCAAACCCTTTAAGACATCGATTGTAAACTAAACTAGTTTACGTAAATAGTTTAGCGCTGCCGTTCTTACGCCACTGCTCCCGATCCGGAACTACCAAGTACGGAGTAATCTGCCTGTGTAGACTGGTACGGAGCAGTTAATGTCCCTCAGCGATCGACGATTGCCATTGCTGTCAAAATATTAACCTCAATCCGTTAATCAGCCACTGCCAGAGTCGAGAAAACCGTGCCACAACACCTCGGCCCATACTTATTATCGTGCGACTCTCCCCAATAACCTACCGTTTCCTCTCGTTTCGTGGTTCCACAGTTGCACACCATCATCCATCGTCCACCATCCACCACCATCCACCATCCACTAGCAATCTGCAACGGTTACGGGTCGCAGGCAGTCGCAGCACGGCCCATCACCATCACCATCACCATGGGCACCACCATGCAAAGCCCATCGTTTCCTCCCGCACCAGGCCCATGACGCCAGGCAGCTCCACACCCCTCCATCCCAAGCCCCTCCAACCCCAAGCTGTCCCTCGAGTCCCTTGACCCCGAGGACGGAGCTCTCAATGTACAAAGTACCTTTATTCCTCCCGGCTCCTCGGGCTGGCCAGGGTGAGCCGCAATACTTCCTCATTGGGACTGGGCGAGTGGAGAGATGTACGAATCGATACGGCGATGGATGGAAGCGGAAGGCGTCCTGGAAATGCGTGGAAAACGAAGCATCACCTCGCTAACGCCACCACCACTAGCGGAGGATAATTTTAACTGCTCACCTTTAAACTCGTACGGGGCCCAAGGACAACAGGGACACCATGGACCCGTCTGGGAAAGCTGGCTACTATCGCCTGCATGGGGGTTGCATATCGGCAACATGGCAAGCTCGCTGACCATCTGCTTGATCCTTGTTGCTGTCAGTCACGTCGCTCTCTGTGTATAATAAAAGTTGAATCCTCTCTCGTCAGACCTTGCACACCCACCCGCTCCCGTCTGAATCAATCATGTATCTCAACTCTGGACCTGGACTAGCATGATCAAGGAGTCTAAATCATCACTCGCAGATATCCCCTACACCTTTCCAACAATTGATCCTTCCCGCTCTTACACAGTCCTACCCTAGCACCAGTTGGGCGTCGACGCTCACTACCCTATTCCGAGCAAATCCCAAGCAAATCAAGAACCCGCCCCGGTGCACACTACCTCTACTTCTGCCATTGCCAGTTCCCAACCTCGACCTTCTAAAGTGCAAGCTTTCCGTCCCAACTACTCTTCTGCACTTTCAATTGATCCCCCTTCCTTTCGTCCACAGGCGCAACATTGAGCCTGCTGCACGTTGACGTTAATGACCGAACCGCAAGCACGCTTTCGTCTTCTCGAGAATCCGCTGCACAGAAACACCCGTATAGTGATAGCAAGAACCGCCAGCTCAGCCTTGTTTACTCTCTCTATCCGAACTCGGCACGACGAGTAGGAAATGAAGACTTCATCTTCGAAACAACGCCCGAGGGACTGGACGAGCAGTCATAGCACCGATAGGACCAGCGACGCGCTCACTTCATCCAGCACAGCTCCTACTTCTGCCAACAGCTCTCGGAGCGGAACGAAGCTCTCCCGTAATGCATCCAGGAGCGCTCGAAGTCGCCAACAGGACGCCTTGTCGCCCTCGAGCTACTACGAGGAGTCTTCCACAGATACCTTTAACTCCTCCCTCGACTCTGACGATGGCTCGTCCCAAGACAGCAACGAAGATCACCACAGAATCCCCCCACTTCCGATATACCGCAAGGCTATCGTAGGCCCTTCGGTCCAACCCTCTAACTACAGAATCTTTCCGGAGCTCTTCCCTTCCCTAGATAAGATGTACATACGCCATGACGAATACACATCGGACGGGAACATGAATCTCCGCGTTGACACCCAACTCCCCCACAGGCCGCACAGGCTTGTCCAACTCTTCCATTTACGCATGTATGATCTCGACAGCCGCATCTTCTCCCTCCGCCGGTACTGTCGTGAGTCGGGACGCGAAGTATGTCGCACGAAGCGAGAGTATTCCTCCACTGGGTCCGATGGCGGTCGCCAATCCCTCCAGCGCTCGGTGTCGAGCGTCTTTCGATCGCTTGGCGCACGACCACAGTTCCGCCGATCAACTTCTAGCAGCACTCTATTCAGCTTCAAGAACGCCCACGCTGGCAAACGCCCAGACTCCGGCCTCTCAATGCGGAGCGAGAAGCATAACGGCTCCATCCTCCTCGACTCGTGTGATGAGCCGGGACAAAAATCAAAGACCATGCCTACGAATACGATCAAGTTGATGTTTACGAACTACGCCTCCATCGACGTCATTAGAAGAGGGAGTGGCCCATCTCCGAAGCGCTACGACTTCTCATGGTGGGGTGGAAAGTACTCGTGGAAGAGGATATACAACACGAATCTGGGCACCACCTCATTCCACTTAATCCGCGAAGGCCAACCCGAGTCCTTCCTCGCCAACATCGTGGCTGAGGTACGCTCCCCGAACGAGCTGACATCTGACGAGATGGATGGTGGTTGGATGCCCCCTTGCACCATGTGGTTTAGCCACGAACTGGACGCCGCTCTCGCCGAGTAAGTCTTCCTTTTAAAGGCTCTTAAAAAATGAACTTTAACTCCGGTCTAACAAATTTGGAAATTTAGGGTCTTCGTTGCTACCGGACTAATCAGTCTCGTCGATGACTGTATCAGGGATCGATGGGATCTAAAGAGAGAAAGCCGATTCCATGCTCTCCGCATATGAGAAGCCCTTGCTTGTCATGGCTACACTTTCTCTTTTATCCTCGTCACACATCCCGCGTGGAATCTCCTACTTTTTCCCTCTCATCTTCTTCTTCCCCCCTCTCCTCTCAACCCCCCCTTTTTGATTCTTTAACGGGGTATTAGTTAAGCTTTCCGTCTCCTTCAGGATATGGGAATGGATGGAGGGTATCAAGATTGGACACTCGCCCGAGGTCCACGAACAACACTGTGGCGGACCGGGGCGGTCGTTTAACAAAGGGCGGCACTCCACGCAGGCCCAAGATAAAACGGAAGCACCCTCTCCCTACCTGTACAATTTTTTTTTTTTTTTTTACTTCTTCTTCTTCTTCTTTTCTTGTTGTTGGTAAACTGGGAATAGTAAAGCAAGGTTGCATGCGCGGCGCTATAGTCAGGGTTTTCGACGTCATGAAGGGTCTGGAGTTTTCCCATTTGTGTCTGGTTTTGAACGCGCGTTCTAGGGTAGATGTTGCCATGTATAACGAATATCAAATGATGAATACAGATATGCCATGTTCTTGGATCACACCTCCCGGAACGCCAAACCGCCGAACCATGTCCGATGCATGCATTCGCAACGTCACGCCACACATTAAAAATTCAGAGAGAGTCGGTGAGCCATCAAGAGCTCATCTATGACCAGCAGGCGCTATATCTCGTAATTCTTCAATCCCCCCCCCCCCCCCCCCCCCCCCCCCAAACCATCCCCATCTTCCAAAGCTCCCCAATCGTAGCGTCGTATCGTCGTAGGCTTTTTGTAACCTTGTAACCTCTCCGCCAGATCAAAAAAAAAAAAGCAGGGCCGCCTCAGAATTCAGCACCCGCTTCATCGAACCCATCCACCTTCGGGCCACCAATCCAGCCCCCAAAATCCAACTTCATCAAAAGACGATTAATGCCCCCGATTCTCCTCGGCACAAATGCCGTATCACCATCAACTTCACCGACGTGCTGATCGGCCTCCGCATCATCTTCGCCCTCGAGCTCGGCAGCAAACACCGGGTCCATTTCTAAGGCCCTCAACGCGGTGATGACCTCGGATATGGACGTGCGCACGTTCACCTCGAGATCTCTGACGGCAGGGATCACCTCTCGCTCGTCACGCTCGAGGTCGGCGAAGGCGTCTACCACGCCGGCATCGGTTTCGAGATCCATTGATTCCCAAATAGAGTGAAGGCGGCGGATGAGGGCGACGAGGTGGTCGATGTGCACGAGGAGAGAGTAGAGGGGTTCGGTGTAAGATGGTTGCGTAAGGAGGAGGTGGCGGCAGAGCGATCGGAGGTAGGTTCTATGGGCGGTGGCTAGGGATTCGGGATCGTACTGCTGGGAGGGCGTTATGCGGGGCTTATCGGGCGAGGAGGGTGGCCGCGTCTCGGTAGATGTTTCGAGCCAGATGTCCTCGAAATCGGCGCTTTCGGTCTCTCTCGTAACAGTGGATAAATTGACTGTCGCGGACCTAGTTGGCGCGACGGCTGGTACAGTTGTTGTAACCTCTCCGGAAAGCCATCTCTGGAAATCCTCCCACATACCGGCGAGCACCTCGGATTGCATGTAAGCTTCCGTCTCCGCGAGGAAAAAGACGGCTGCGCTACAAGCCACCCAAGCGCTTCGCATAATCAACGATCTAGACGTCTGCCTTTTGCGAAGAAGAACCACTCTTTCCCGACCCGCACGAGTACTTCCGAACGGCGGACCTGGGGGAGCGGGATAATGTCTTCGCAGAGATGTCATTTTCCAAAGGTCGGTAAGACGGATATGTGCTCTTCGAATCGAGAGCAAGTACGAATTGATCACGGTATAGATTTGCAAGTCCGCCGAGGCAAGAAACATGTCTAACGGCGACGGTATCTCCGAGAGTGTAAGTATGGTTGGGGCGGAAAAGAGTAGATTACGGAAGGGCGTCGCGGACACGACTGTAGAGGGGTGCTGAGAAGTGGTGGATCCGAGCGGTAAAGGCGTCACCGACTGGGATTTCCCGACTTGAAGACGCAAAAGATCGCGAGCAAGTTCCAAGCCTTCATCCTCATCAGCATGAAGACCCCGCATGGAGCCCATAGCTGCCCATGTCCTGGCTAGCACACTCGTCACCTCTCCCTGTTTCACAACGACATTCGTTAAGCCGTCTCGCTTCTCGTAGGCGAGGTTGTCCGCCCGTCTCCACCGGCTACGGTTCTTCTCATCAGCCTCCTGAGTTAGTGCCATAGCGAATTCGCCCTTGGCGAGGAGGAAATAATCCCGGAAGAGCGTGAGGATCTCCACAACTTTTTCGAGGGGAAGCAGCTTTTGCAGCGTGTTCCTAGACAGAGAGAGTCGGATGGACGTGATGGTCCTCGAGAAGGATGCGCGATCAAGTGGGAAGGTAAGGCCGGACAGCTCTTGCAACTGAGCTGCCACATGATTTCTACCCTCTAGGCCAGATTCTAATGTTGCCTTGACTCGGACATGATTCAAGCATCTGCCAATAAATAGCATGGACGCTGCAGTCGAGGGAGAGACAAAACTCGGTAGTTGGGACTGCTCCAAGAAGTATTCTAGCACCTAATTTCGAGTTAATAATACAGAGACAGGCAAATGCGTTACTTAGAAGAAGAATGTCCAGGACACACACGTACCTCGTTCTCGCCTTTAGAAGCCCGGATGAAGAAGGCATCTTGGCCAATGCTCGGCAGTCTCCCGTACAATATCCACGCAGACGCTTGTTTCAACCAGGCTGTTTCCGCGCTTTTCACCAAGCTCTGTGCAGTTTCTTCGACGTCTCTGAACCCACTCTGCAGCTCCTTACGCAGCCTGTCAATCAGCTGTGCTGCAGTACACCCTTTAACTGCGTCTGCTTTGAGCATAAATTGCACGGCATCCCACAGCCATTCCAGTTTCCTCCTCCACGGCGTGAACTCGGCCACGAGAGCCGTAAGTGACACAATATTATATGCACCCACGACTTCGGGATCCTCTCTTAGGATCTTGCTCTCAACCTCCAGCACGTGGCGCTGGAATGCCTCCAGATGGACGAGTTCAATGGTCGTCGCAACGGCGCGGCAGACCATGCTCGGGTGGCTCGCACATATTTGTGACGTATAGCTGAGAAGTTTGGTATGTATGTTGCTAAGGTGTGCCACCGAGGCTAAGAGATCGCGTTCGGCTGGGGTAATTCGATCGTGGATCTGGGTATGACCGTTTGCAGTGGCGCCGTTCTCTACGCGGAGAAGGGTCGATGAGTGGCCAGATAGGGACAGTAAGATTTCGTGTAGCATCGTTCTTCGTGTTCGCCTTTTCGGTGAAGTACTTAATCAGGTTTGGTTTTCCGGCGACGTGGGGCGTGAAGAGGACGGCGCGGCATGCGGCGCGAATTTTGTGGGTTCTTTGCGCCGAAAGGACTCCCGGATATCGCGCAGAAGGAGAAGAAACGAGCCAAGAAGTTCGAATCGGCACATAAGTCAAGGTGTTCTTTAGATGGTAAAGCGGTATGCTCGTTTGCGCTTACTAGAACGTGTTGTTCCTTGTTCCTGGTTTTCTCGCGTTTTACCCACAAGACATTAGTCTCCTGGCTATCGGGGATTGAAATCTTAAAAGCATTTGAACCTTGAAAAAATTCCGAACTGCTAAACGACGGGGATGTTCTCGATTTCTCACCAATGGTCTCTTGGACTTCCTGGAACTCGCAGGAGGTTGACGAACATCAAAATCACGTCGACGTCGTCGCGCCGTCATTCATGTCGCAGAGTCACGTGAGACCACCATGTTAGAATCAATTCTCAAAGTTCTTCCAACTCCCTTGCGCAACACAACGTGATATACCTTTGTATGAGGGCAGATTTATTTACTGGATGGGTAAAAGACTGATATTTTCAACAGGCGCCTCGTCAGACCAGGACGAAACCCTCTTTTTCTTCATTCCAATATAATAAAAACGAGACGGCGTATAACCCGACTTGAAGCGCGACTTCAATACCTCGAAGAACCACCCTCCACCCCAATGAAAGAAGGGAAAAAGACACGAAGAATTATGAGATACCCTATCCTACTCCTATATCAAGCGTACTTTGTCCCCAGAGGCTGCTTCCCATTGCCCTCGTAGTAGGACTCAGCAGCACCACCGGCCGTGTCCGGGGCATTAGTAGCCGTCCCGTCTTGGGCATTCTTGGCGTCGGGTGGGAGGATAACTGCTCCACCATCACCGCCTCCAACAACTAAATCTCCACCACCATTAGCTACTTTTCCTACAACCATGCCCTTGGCCACGCTCTTAAGGACGGCTCTTCTCGAGACGCCCGTGACGTCGATGTAGACCAGACCGACGTTCTTGAAACCATCAGTAAGATTCCTCGACACCTCCCCTGCCTCGGGACCCCAGCGATGGCTAACGACGGTAGTGACGCTTGAAGACGTTCCAGTCAAAAGGTTCCGGCCTGCCTGTTCAATGCCATCCACGACAGTGTTGAATGCCATCAAGCTCTTGTTCAGAACGCCGGGCTTGTATGAGTCAATCGGGTTGCCGTTGGCGTCGTAACCCCGAGCGCCGCCATCCTTTTTTTTCGTTAAGCTGGCCCCAACGTTCTGTGCGATCTTGCCAATGCGGCCTACCGTTGTTGCTGACAGATGAGCGGCTTTGGATGAAATGTGGTTGATCCTGCGAATATGTTCATGGGCGGCGGGTGTAAAAGTGACGGGCTGGGCGACGGGCTTCGTATTCTTCGCAAAGGAATCTGCTTGGGTCTGTAGGGCTTTGGTGACCATATCGGAGGTGGTCACGATAAGCCGGGATGCCTTGGATGCCGAGGACACCAAAGATGATTTTTTATATGAGGGGTGCATTTCCATCTCAACATACTCAGGTGACGCGGCTTGGACGGAAATTACCTGACCGCCATCAGCCGGCAGGGTGAGCTCCACCGGGTCTGAGGCGAGACGTTAGTATTATGGGACGGACAGCAGGCAGCGGACATTGCAGGCTCTTTCCTACCTTTCGATCCCGGCTTCACAGCGCCATCTTCAACGATTTGATAGGCTTCGCCCAGTTCGCCGATTACGCTTCCATCCTCTTCATCAATGAGGACGATTCTTCCGCCCGCATGGGAGCTACGACTTCCCTGAGCGTACGCCTCTCCGGGGGCATAATCTGCGGGATTGTACGGAGGCAGCTCTTCAGCGGCGGCTTCCCTGGCCTTCTCCGAGCTAGCTGTCGCTCCCTTGGCGGGCTTAGGAGGCGGGGCGCGCTCGAGAAAGGCCGTGCATTGAGCGAGGATGGTCTCGAAAGTGTCTACATCCTCCTGAAGACCGCTTCTGCTACCGGCACGTGGGAATTGGATGCGAGTAAAGGCGCCACTATCCGGGCCTAGATCCCAACGAGGAATCAGGTAACTGGAGGGCGGCTGATGATAGATTTGAGTGGTTGCTGGGAGGGGGAGATCCAGCTCGGGCGGGAGATGAAGGTGGAGATAGAAATCATTTTCGACGGCGCCGACTTGAGTTGCGTCTGCAAATGGGGAGGATGTCGGCACCATGAGAAGAGAGAGAGTTTGGGGACCCGACGCGGTCAAGGATTCCTCCTTGCCATTGGCGATGTGGTAGGCCTGGACGCCCTCGATAGCGTAGAGGAGCTTTGGATCCTAGCCCGCGCGTTAGAGGCAAGTTTTCTTGATGGCATGGCAGCTCTTGATTCCACAGGACCTACATGTTGCGCTCCAGACATGACGAATATCCCAGGTGAGTGTGAGTTGGATCAGTGATGCGATAGGGGCTCAGCCAGAACAGGCAATTTGGCGCGGGGCAGCGGGGTAATGGTGTTGAAGTGTACTTCGAAGTTTGGGGGGAGGGTTTGAGTGGTCTCAAAGAGTGCCTCGGATTGATTAATCAATGTGATCAATGCAAAAGGCTCAGCTCCAGTCGCGTACAATTTGTACAATTGTGGCGGGGCCGTAAAGGCAAAGGCAAAAGGCAAAGACAAAGGCGGGAGATGATAAGAACTTTAGAAGTCAAAGAAAGATATTGGGTCTCGCACGGTTTCTCGCGAGAAGGTGAACAAGTCAAATAGGAAAAGAGGACGAGTGATCACAGCGCCCAAAATAGTAGTTCGAGACGCAGATGGCCCGATGGCGTGCGTGTGTTTCTAAAGATAAAACGATGGCCGCACCAGGAGAAGCGGTCGTCGCTGCTGGTTGGAGGCGTCTGGTCAATGAAATGTTCTGTAAACTTGGCTTGGCGCTTAAGTATGTGAGAGGCAGTGAGACACATCAAATGTGCACTCTCGAGATGCAACGTCATTGGAGGCCGCCGTCCTCGAGACGCTGGCTTTGATTAGCGCGACAGGCTAGTTACCTTGCCAGGCACACACCATTACAGAGTACACGAAACAATGAATGTGCCTGATTGATATTCATACGAAGACGAAAGCAGTAAAGCACATACTATTTGATCCTGTTGCATTGTTTTCCCGCCCGCACGACCCCATCAAGGCGGGAAAGAAGAAACGATCGGATGGCTCTATCGAGATGGGATTATCGGGCAAGTCAGAGGCGCAGGATCCCGAGACGTCATGTCTGATCTTGTGCCAGTTTCAACTTTTAGGGTGGGGAGTCCGTGACTTTGGCGGGGGTGTGTCAAATGCGTTCTTTTCCGGGCACAGCCTCCTTCGTACTGAACATTTGCTGTTTGACGGTTCTTTCTTCGCTTATTTTTTTTCTCCAAGCTGGCCTCGCCATCGATGACGTCCGTACGTACGTCCGTCCGTACCAACAACTTGAAGCCAAACAAAGTCAGCTGGGGCACTTGAAAGAAGATCGATGGACGAGTGGCCGATCACAGCCCGCACTGATTGATTGACCAGGATCCATCATCTCTCCTTGAAGATCTTATAACCAACACCGAACCTTGGGCGCGAAGCCACTCGAGAGACAAAGACCAGACAGCCGTTGTATAATTACGCAGGCTGCTCGGGATGGAGGCAACAATTCACCCCCATGTCCCAAACTCATACGCCAAAAATATCCGGCCCGTATGAACTCGACCAAGCTGTAAGAGACTGTAAAAGTAGCACGGGTCGCGTGTAATGCCCTTAATCCTAATCGCCACTGCATAGTCTTTCCCGACCATAAAACCAAGCTTGTCTAAACCTTGCGTTCTGAGTCTCAAGAGTCGAGAAGACTGGCGAGGCTCTTTTTTTTTTTTTTTTTGTCTTTGAACGTCTCAGAGCTACCAAAACCATTTATGCCTCGCCTGTGATGCAGGAGAAGGTTCATGTTGCCCATGATGGCCCTTGAAGTCGGCCTTCTCCCAAGGTTGATTAGAGCGCCATTTCGATGCCGTACTTCTCATAATTAAAATGTTCAAGACTCGGTATCCTTTCAACGCAGCCGTCATCCATCTCTCCGACCTTACAGTCGTTTCCTACACCAGTTATTTCCGCCAACCCAGCTAGCACATCGCTTTGCCTGGCTTCATACTCGGCTGCCACATCTGCATGCGGCACCCAAATAACCTTCATACCAGCCCGTCTTCCAGCTTCCACCCCCACCAGGCTATCTTCGAAGACTAGACATTCATCAGGGGTGATGGGCTTCCTGTCAGAATCTGCCCCCTCCAGGTTCAACGACTCCAACGCTACTAAATATATATCAGGCGCAGGCTTTCTCCGTCGTACTCGCGGGTCATCACCCAAGACCCGCCTGTCGGCCCGGAAGAAACTAAGCAGCCGTTTTGTTTCCGGTGTCGACGTTTTCAATTCGTAGTTATGACGACTGGTGCTGGATGCCAATGCCAGTTCAATCCTCTCCCCGGAAGTAGCGCTTCGTGCACGGCTGAGATTGGATAATAGCTTCTCAGCGCCGGGAAGCGGCTTGCAATTCGGAAAACCCAGACGCATCTGTTCAGTCGCTTCTCGGGCGAATTGCTCTCGAGAGATGGGCAACTTGGCCCAGTTGTGGAATGTGTCGCTGTTTGTAGAGTCCGGGACACCCATTAGCTGAACCCGAATTGACCGAGTCAACACAGGCCTTCCATACTTTTCAAGAAGTTGGTTTATGCTGGAGGTGATTATATCTTCCGAGTTGATAAGAAGCCCGTCCATGTCGAAAATGCAGGCACGGATTGCCGGGAGGCTGATGGCATTCTTTGTTAGCTTTGGATAATCGATAGTGCTCTCACCCTGGCAGCCAGGAGTGCCGCTGATGGCAAAGGTCATTCTTCGATGCAGAGGCACTCAGCTCGAAGGAACTTACTCGGCCCCAAGGGGTGCCATGGTGAGCACTGAATGGCAATCAAGTGGGATTCGAATTGACGGAACCCCCGGTTGCCACGAACGAGGCCCTGAACCCAAAGCCGATTCGTGTAGGAATCACACAAAATCAACAGGAAAGTCGACTATGGGCCTATGACATGGCCGCCATGGAGGCTTAGATGATTTACCTCGCAGGTACGGCTGCACTGCAAGCCTGCATCTGGTCGTGGAGCTGCGTGATATCAAGCGCTTGGCCGGCCGTTGATGGCTAGCCGCCCTGTAATCGACTGCGGGACTTGCCTAACCCGTGTGCTCCCAAATTAGTACTATATATAGAAACTAGCCTGGCGGAAGCCTTCGAAGTAGTGTATAAAGCTGGTGGTCCGCACTCTGTCATCAATCTTACTAGAGTCTAGCGCCTGGCTACTTTCAACCCGCCCATTGCCCACAAAGCAACAAGAACCTGAAGATTCCAAGTGCCAATCTCGAGCAAGAAGGCGTCATTTTGCTCGACCTCGTGGACAGATTCGAAGGAATCTCTTTCTGTACGCCCACTCCACCCGTAATTATGTGAGCTGAGGGAATTGAGAATCAGCCTAACACCGCTGCGTCCAAGGCACCAAGTTCTCGTTGGTCAGTCGTGAGGTGAGGCTTGTTGTTGAACTCCCACTCCAATAGGAACAATTGATTTCTGTTTGCCGTTTGTGCTCTGTAGTGTACGAGTCCGTCCAATGTTCATAAGGCCAAGACATTCCCTGAGTTAGACTATCTGGGGAAGAATGGTGGGCTTTATTAGTATGGAAATCTGTAGCAGAGTTTCTAGGACCGTGAGTCTATTCCAGTCCGCTTCAAACACTCCGAGACTGGCTGCGCAGAAGGGAAAGGCATGATCGGCCATGTGCTAACAACAGCTCTCGGCTCATGTCGAAGATGGGAAACGGGTGAGGACTGGAACACATGCATGTGACGAGAATCAGAAAACGGCAGTCAAGGATCAGACAGCTTCGGACTTCGAAGGAGCCATTCTGGAGTGTAGCTCATGGAGGAATATTGCAGCCACTCGTAGCCGTTGAGGACTTTCTGCTAGAGCATCCTTGTCAAAACAGGGTTGCTGCTTAATTTGAAGCGCCACATCGCTCGAGAGTCGAAATGCCTTGGAAAAGAGGGGCGGAAAAAGCAATTGCTGGAATACTTAAAATCCTCAAGTAGAATCTGGTGAGACTTCATGAACATCAACATTGATTGCTTAAGGAAAGGCGCATTCCCCTTAATACTCTCCAGAAGGGGTCGTCTGGCCTAAAACTGCGAGTACGGAGCAGAGTACGTATACGAAGTAAATCCGGTTGAATTCATGCATCCAAGAGGCGTCAATGGAAGACGTTTGTATTCTCCTACGAAGCACACTATGAAGTGCGCATCTAAAAGTGATACGGGCCACTCCTCAAGGATGAGCAAACTTGAAGTTTCACGAAGTCGAATATTACCTCGTGCATGTACGGAGTACCTCGTAAGAATGGTTGGGAAGCCAACTTCGGCATCAGTGTTGAGACTTGGACTCGGATCAAATAAGACCAAGTCGAAGTACCGAAAGAGTCTTGAATGGACACAGGAAAGAACAAAGCAATCATCCTCGAGTACGAAGTATTGTTGATACAATTAATTGTATTGGCTAATAGATGGTCTGGCTTGCATTTGATCACTGATTGTTCCGCCCTAGGCTCCGTTCTCTGGGCCCTGCGAAGTGTGCAACATTTGAGCATGATGCCACCAAGGCCACCAAGACAAGGAAGGAGGAGTGGGTGGTGCCGATGAGATCTCGAAAACAGCACAGCTTGGCGCACACCAAAATGACGGAGTACGAAGTACCTCGACTAACCATGAATCGATAGATCAAGCAGAACGAACAACGAACAAAGCGGACAGATGAACAAACAAACGACGCACAAACCCCAACTTGTCGACAACCCTTCCTCTTTTGTCATCTGCACTGCATCGTCTGCAGCGCTGCACCCACCCACCGCCCGTCGGCGATCATCACCCTTGTCGATTCCCGAGCGTTAAAGATCATCAATCATTCATCGGTCTTCCCAACTCGGACTCGCATTCAGCACTTGGTACGACCCTGGGACAGTCCTGCAGCAAGAAATAGAAAGACGCCATCGGTCGATCAATTCTCATTAATCCCGCCGACACTCACAATTCGGTTCTACCAGACGTTTCCAATCAATCACTTTCACTTCGTCGGCGTCGTTGGAATTGTTCAGTCAAATGCGCCCCACTGCTCTTGTCAACTCCAAGCTTAAGTCGTCGCATCGGCGCTGGCGTGTGCTTCGGACAACTAGTAGCAATCACCGGTGCGTTAATAAAGATTGACGCCTGTTGAGCCTGTCGAAGCCGTGCTGCCTGTAAGTAATAGTGTACTCAGTAGGTCGCTAGGGCCCGGCGAGCTGGCCTGGCCTGGCCAACAAGCGGACTTCCGAGTGCTCCTTTTTCTCACTCACCTGCAGCCCCCACGACGACCTCAACCACTTTCTCCAAACATTGTTACTCGACTGCTCGTCGGCCTGCAAGCAAATAACAGCTAGATCAGCAGCGGCCATCAATTGATCTTCTTCGTCGGATGCCGCACCCATAGGCCCTTCAACTCCCACTGTCCCAGCCTTCTCACACCTCTGTCCTTATCCATCCATACTGAAATTGCCGGCTCACCATCGTTGTTGAGTGCCCAGGCCAGCCCTCCCGCGCTCCTCCACTTCTGTGCTCCTGTACTCACGCAGTCGTGCAAACATATTGATCCACCCTTCCTGCTTTCACCGCATCCCTCATCCCTCCGGCCAATCTCCTGCCAGCTTTTCGCCCTCCTACGAAGTACTTCATTTGTGCTTGCTTGCATTTGTTTCATTGGGCTGTAGCCACCGTCGAGGTATCGTCTGCCCTCCCACGACCCCTTCTGCACGACACTAGGCTCCCTTTGCCCCTCACCTCACCCGCCTGTGCTCACATCCTCGTCCATGGTGTTTCCTAACAGCGTTCGGGTGCTTGCAGTCCGATTGTATGATTGTGCATTCTTTGCTTCCTCTTAGCAGCTGTCTCTTCCTGGCCGAGTACAAGACCCAGCGCCTCGCCAACTGCAAACATTCTCCAGGCGCAGAAAATCTGTCACCTGCCTGCGCCTTGTATCACACTGAGCCTTCACGTACCCGGCAAGCGCGTCATCCGAAGTACACCTTCTCGTTCCCGCGCCTTCTCTCCCCCTTGCCGTTGTCATTACCATTGTCATTACCGCTGTCATTGCTGGCGCCCGCTTTCTCTTTGGGGGTTCTTCCTCTTTTTTTCCCTTTTTTTTTCTGCTTCGGTCCTCTTCTAGACTCCTCCTGTAGGCTGTTATCCGTACAAAGGTTACACTACGTATCGACGACTGCTTCTTGCTCCTTTCCGCTTTGCCTGGACCTAGGTCTTATTTTTTTTTCACTCTCCCCCCACCCCCCTTCTCACGGTTGGACTCAATATCTCAGCTTCACTGGGCCTATTAAGAGGTCCCCACCGCCACAATTTCTTCCCAACTTCGTATCCAGTCTATTCTCTCGCCTCCTGATCCGTCGGGTGCCGATGAGCTTCACAGTACTCCGTCTAATATATCCAGTCCGTATACAAAGCAGGAAGACCCGTGTGAGCAAACGCTTCTCAATGCTGCGTCTTCGCAGCTTCCGCTCTCCGAGCCGACTGCGACCCAGCAGCACTTCGGCCCCCCGTCTCAAGGCGACCGGGCTGATGTCGTGACCGATACTGGAATCGTCGAGGGCCGGCCCTCGCTGTCAGCCACACCGCGTCCCGACCCCAGAAAGCTCAAGATGGCGAGGCCTCCTCTCAGATCGAGTATTGCCTGCCTTCGATGCCGAAAATCCAAGATTAAGTGCGACAATGACGGCGGAACAAGCGCCTGTGAAACTTGCATCAAGGGCGGTCACAAGTGTCAGTATCCCGACACCATCACCTCTCCGGCGAAGCGGTCGGATTCGGTAGCAGCTCCAAAGCAAGAACGTGATGGTGGACCGGAGAGAAAGAGGAGGCGATTGGACGACCTCTCAAGCTGGGTCTCGCAGAGGGCCACCGCCTACGCCGAAGAAGTATTATCTTATCCGTTCTTGAGAGGGGAGCTGTGGGACCAAGTCTTCAACATTTACAGGCTTCACTTTTCGACCGAATTACCCTTCCTCCACCTGGCGACCCTGAAAGAGAAGATAGACTTGAGGCAGAAGGGCAATTTGAAGTCTGATCCCGACGTTAACCTAGTGCTCCTCGGCATTCTTACTTTAACCGCTCGATTCCATACCGACCTAGTAAAATACGTTGCGGCTATGACTCCTTCATCTAGTGGTCCACGGTCTCGCCAAGGTTCTACCCGCATTGACCCCAATTCCGCCTCGGAATTTTATGCTTCCTCGCTTACCACAGCTCTGGGATCTCTCCCGGATGCCGTCACCGTCGTTAGCGTTGAGAGGGTTCAGGCTTTCCTCATGTTAGGTCTGTATGAGTGGACTCGAAACGGCCCCCAAGGTGGAGTGCGAGCTTGGATGTATGTCGGCGTAGCCATCCGTATGGCCCAGGCTCTCAGACTCGGTTTTGGGGACACGGTGGCTCAAAACAACAACAGTACCAAGAGCAACAATAACCCTAACGACCGAGTGCGTTTGAGGAACAAGCGCATGAACAAACCGGATGGATCTACGTCGGATTGGATCATCGAACGAGAGATTCGGAGGCGTACGATGTTTAGCTGCTTCATCCTGGATAGGCTGTTGGCTGTCGGTGATGATCGTGCTTCGATGATTAGCTCTTCCGATCTTCACATCCAGCTCCCGTGCTCCGAAGTTGCTTTCGATCTCGCGTCCGATGTGTACACCGGTTTTCTCAACGATCCCGAAGACCTTTCGCAGCAAGGAAAACGAATGTCTGGGGATGACAGTGTCCTTAGTCGATTCGTAAAGCTTGTGGATCTGTGGGGGGAGATTACTCGTTATAGCTTCAGTGGTGGGCGTGCGACCGAGGGCGACAGACGCCCGTGGGATTCGGGGTCGACCTTTATGCGACTCAGGAAGCGGTTAGATGCCTTTTATGGCCACCTCCCGGATACGTTTACCCTTTCGCCAAAGAACTTTTACAGGCATGACAACCACCAAGCCACCAGCACGTACGTCTCACTCCATGTCCTTGGGGCAATCTGTCAAATTATGATTCATCGGGAATACATTCCTTTCATACCGATCCGATGTAACGGGCCGGTGGGACCGCTGGATCCTCCCCTAATTCTCGATGACAGCCCACCAGGGTTCTGGGAGGAGAGCGCGGAACATGTCTTCAAATCGGCGCGGGACATTGTGGATCTTGTCGAGTTATCGGGAGATAAACTACCACAGTCATCGCTAGTCCTATTTTCGATATGGACAGCTGCATTCTGCGGCCTCTACGCCATTCACTTTCCCCACATGGACACACATTACCATATGATCAACGAGGGAGACGTCCAGTCTCAGCACGATGACATTTTCGACCCGACGAAACGCAGCGCTACGGGAGTCACCTTTCGCACACTTACGAAGCTAGTGCCGTTCCTCCCGTTGGCGGGAACCTATCTCCGAATATTCAAGGACTGTGATCGCTACTTTACCCAAGTTACGAGCGACTTTTACAAGTACGGAGGTCGGAACAGTGCACCGGAAAACGTGGGTCGGCAAACCAGCGGAGACGGTGGAAGAGGCGTCCAGGGTGGCGGCGGCCGGGAGTGGAAAACGCACAAGGGGAAAATCACAAGCAACGGAAATATATTTCCTTCCGATGACCGGAATTCCGCCTACGAAGAGTCGGAAGCGTCCCATGCTCAATCGCCCGATCGAGATACATCTACAGGCGTCGAAGGATATGAGCAAAACATCTCGCTTGCGCCGACACCCTCTCTATCCGCTGCCACTCTCGACGAGAGTAACACCTCGCGGGCTACGCGAACCGAACCGTCGGCGTCATTTACTCCGATCAACAGCGCCGTGCAGGCTCCACGCGCCCCGGAAACGTCACAGGCCCCCCCGCTGCGGCCCCCGGAGACGCCTCCAGTCGAGACCTCGTACCGAGCTCCGCAATTAGCACAAGAGGCACTTGAGCAGTATTACCAGATGGATACGTCACCAATGATGCGGAGCGCGTTCATTTCGGCGGATGGAGAACTGTTCCCACACGATACGACCAACCCTCTTACGTACATTGAAGCCCACGAAAACACGCGCTTGAGCTGTGTTTTTGCAGACATGCCGCCTTTCTCGGGCAGCGGGGATTTTGTTTGTCCGTTCCCACCTCTTCAACCGGTACGGTGGGATGTGCAATGCTTCGAGGAGTAGACGCCTCTCACCGTACCGACTGCCATTGGCCACCCGGTATGAGGATGAGTTGTCTGTCTAGCAGTGCCTCCTCCAGCCCTGGTGGTTAAGCCAACTGCCTGGCGGATTCTCCCTTCCAACTATCTCGGCCGCGTGACAGCTGAATCTGCAGTCCTTCAGCCGCGCAATCCCTTGCATTTGGCCCAATCGTTTTCATCTCGAAATTCTAATGCCTCAATCGATGGGCGTTACGCCACAACCAGTATCTACATAGGCGGATATAATTTGGAGATTTCATCTGGCGCTCGAAGGCGCATAGGTTGTTCATACTGCCTTGGCTCAACCCTGACCACGATTATCAACTTAGCATTCACGGACTGTCAAATCCCCTTGATTCTTATTATCCCTGTCATTGTCGTTAGTATTATTATTTTATTTCTTTCTATTGGCGGCCGAAGAACCTTTTTTTTTCCCTTTTTTTTCTGGCTGCAGTTCAGGGGCACGAATATGGGTCTGGGGATGAGGGGTGGGTACCTGGCAAAGCTGGTTCGTGTATTGGTCTCTACTTAATGATGCATTATGATTTCGGTCTCTTCAATAGTATAGTACTACCTAATTCCACTTGCAGAGAACGATTCTTTCCAGGCATGGAGGCGAGTGTTTGGTACCCAGAGCTTTGCTTATTTTCTTCACAACTGAGGTTGAGATTCATAGCAGGCTAGCTTTGTCCTCTTGCCCTTCCTCTTACTCTTACTCTTGATCGGTGCAGCCTCAACGATTAAATCCTGCTGGTCTTGGAAAAGAAGCTCTGAAAGCTGGGCTGTAACTCCAAACACAAGTTGGAGTGGAGAGAAGAGCCGCCGGGAGCTGGGAAGGGTGATGGTGGGCACAAACCCATTAATGCAGTTTCAATGGGATCAATGGTGGACGGTGGGGTTGATGAGGGGTCGAAATTGATCAATTGAATATGTAATCACCCACAATGCTAGGTCGAGGAAGTCAAGGTTAAGCAGCACCTGTAGCTCAGGAACAGGCCAGAGCCAGGTCAACACTTGTACAGAAACCTGTACACTGCACTCCTTCGCTCACAGCGAAGTACTTGGCAGATTGCATTGCTGCTCCGTGGTTTACCCCCACTCTCGAGCAACATGGGATTGACAAATCTCGCGGGATGAAGATGCACGGGCTTGCACGAAGTAAAGTAAGTAATCTAGTAACGGCGAAGGAGAAGTTGGGAATGCGGGGGAGAGAGGCGATTCTGGAAGACAAAGGAATGAATAGTGGTAGTAAACCGGGGTTCAAGGCTTTGCTGGGTGTCGAAGCTCTTGGTCGAATCTGACATGAGGGTCTAATAATTAGCTGTACACTACACGTACAATTGTATCGTCCCCGTGTGGGGGGCGGGCAGTTGTGATGATGCGAGTGAAAAGGGAGCCGTTGAAGAGCGGAGATATTGCCCAGTACTTGAGACATGTGGGCGAACTATAGCTTCGAGGGGGGGATCAGGTTGCGTCGGACTTGAGCTAGAGGAACAGGGAAGGCATCCAAGGAATCGGTAAAGCAATTGGAATCTCAACTTCCCAGATTGGATCAGCGTGCTTTGTTCACGTCGCCGCGGCGAGGCAGAGCGACGTAATGGTGATGCGATGTATCATCAGGTACCTGCACCGAGAATCGCAGGGCGGCAAGTACGAAGTACGACACTTTTTCAACAACACTGACAGTAAGTTCATGAGATATCCAATGTTCCTTGTTGCTAGCTTGGCTCGAAGTCTCCTTCAGCTCCGGGTAGACACGGAGAGGGGCAGAGGGGCAGAGACAAGTTCCAAGTTTGGTCGGCATCACTGGCGCATCTCCTCGCATTGTGCACTACATTACCTCCGTTACTCTCCGCGTCGAAAGATCCCAGGTCTGCACGAGGGAGCCTAGTTATTCCAGCTCTGGACAGCTGCAGGCTGGCGACATCAATGATTTTGTGATCTTGATTAGTATGAACTAGGTGGGACAGTGAAGAAGCTGCGATTACAAATTGCAAATCCGCAAAGCCGCATTTCCCCGTTTGGTGTCCTGAAGCATGGTTGATCCACCCAGCTGTGCTCCGCCCGTTCCGTGATCTTGTCGGCTTGGGAGACGCAAGAGCAGTGAAGATCTCTTGGTGTTTTGCATACTAATATTCACACAGCTGGCAGGCCCGCTTCATATTCGTTTCCTAGGGACGCGCTTTCCGCCTATTGAACTCTAAGAAGTAAGCTTCGACCGCAGTTGGAGGACCTTAGGAGTACGTAAATGGGACATTGAACTTGGAGCTCGTGCACGTCTGCTACCTCGTACCTTTTATGTAGCTCATATGTAGTATGATGGATGTAGTACCATGTACCGTGTGTATCGTTGATCCTCTTAATCTACGAAGTAGTTCTGCCGGCTCGACCTGGGCCTGGTCATTGGACTCGGAATACCGGTGGGCGCGGTGGGCGCGGTGTGGGGAAAGAAAAACGGCCTGGCCGGGCCTGCATGATTCGTCACAACGTTGCACCTCAAGCAGCACCTCAACCAGAATCCACGCCGAAATGTCGAATCGTTGATGCCGATTCGAGTTCTGGGTTGCTTCTTCCCTTACCCTCCTGCAACTGCTCCCCGAAATCGCAACTTATCTGAGAACATTAAAGGCTGGATCGCACCCAGGGACGAACCACGTCAAGCCTTGATCATGTGGAGATGGCATCCCTGCCCACGCCCAGCCCTGCGACCTGCGAAGACTGAAACCGAAATAGCTTGGTACATTAGTGTACCTCGACAAAGCGCATATGCAGCTAGCTAGAGTTTCTGCCCTGGATATGACTTTTCGAAGCGATCCCCATCACGTCCGACTTCCAAAGCTACCCTTCGGCGGTTTAACATCCCGATGTAGTGTGCAGTTACCTACCTCCCACAAGTCCTGGTACCTCCCGGCTAGTCTGGATCTTACCACGGCGTCTCAGACACCGATGCCTTTCACACTGACGTCTTCCAGGGCGCGGAAAACGGCAATTGAAAAGTTTAAAGTATCAAAACCGCCCATTATCGACTCGAGTACCAGCGGAAGGGTTTCCTACCTCGAGATGTGTTCTCCGCGGTGCCTTCTTCACTGTCGAGAGGAGAATTGCCTGAGAATACCCAGGCCTAGAAAAGGTTTTTGACAAGACGGCAGCTAAGCTCAAGCGGCGGCCAGGTGATAGCTCCCAACGGGTTAGAGCTCCATCTTAGAAGCTCACTTACGACCATTGGAAGTACCACTACATGCGCAAGATCAGGTTTGAGCACGGCCTGGTGGCTCCTCCGTTGTCTGTATGCCGGAAGACGGAAGTGGATACATTATGCTACCATCCCACGCCCTTTGCCTGTGCCTCAGTGGATTGTCTCCATCGCAGCCGAGCTGTCTCCCGTCTACACTACATCATAGGACCCAGACACTTTGACAAGATCTACACTATCCAGATTGGGGTACTTAGCCTATGCCAGCAAGACCTTGTCAGCCTCTTTTTCTGTCTCGAAACCCCCTCCCCTGAGCTGTGGATGCTCCGGCTACATAAGCTGGTCCTTAGATGATTTGCCTCCCCTTCGATTATAAATCTTCCAACTTCATTTGAGATCCCTGCCTGAACCCGTAGTAGCTTTTAAAAAGCCTTCAGAAACCCCCTCTCTTAGTTGTATCGTTTTTGAGGCCTGTATCTATCAGGAAGAAGAAGAAGCAATTGCCGTCACCGAATGCACCAAGCGATGCCTGAGGCTGTATCTCTCAGTGTTATGCCGGCAGCTGCGCCGGTCCTCGAGCCGGTGGCACATGGCTCTGTCTCTAAGTCTCTTGGCCCAGCTTCCGCCGCCCTAGGGAACCCGATCCCAGACATTATCGACATTCGGCAGACCCTCGTTGAGACGAACCTCAAGGATGAGATCTTTTCTCTGTTCGACCCAGCTTCTGGCCCTCGGAAACTTCCAACCCTACTCCTCTACAACGAGAAGGGCTTGCAGCTTTTCGAGGAGGTAAGCGACCTGCGAGATTGTGTCCATGTTGTATGGAGGCTTGGAACTCTAACACGGGATCTAGATCACCTACCTCGAAGAGTATTACTTGACAAACTATGAAATTGATGTGCTCAAGCAATCTGCGCGAGATATAGCCAACAAAATCCCTGCGGGATCCATGGTAATCGAGCTGGGCAGCGGGTCCGTCGCAAATAATCCATACTCCATTACCAGTCCTGCGATAGACCTCTTTCTAACACCTTGAGAATCCAACGAAAAAGAAACTTGCGCAAAGTCTGCTTACTTTTGCAAGCCCTCGAAGACGCTGGGAAAGCCGTGGAATACTATGCGCTTGACCTCTCCAAGCAAGAGCTGGAAAGGACTCTCGCGCAAGTGCCTCAGTTCAAACATATCACTTGCCGAGGTCTTTTGGGGACTTACGACGATGGGCGGGAGTGGCTTCAGCAGCCCGGCATTGTCAGCCGCACCAAGTGCATTCTTAGTCTCGGTTCCAGTATAGGTATGGATGACAGCTCTCCTGTTCCCCCTATCATCAAGGAGTTTTTTGCGGGTGATTAAACCATCTCCCTCTAGGGAACTTTGATCGGAGCGAGGCTGCCAGTTTCCTGAGTAGCTTTTCAGCTATTCTGGGTCCATCTGATATGATGTTGATTGGTGTGGACGCATGTGCAGATCCAGCTAAAGTTTAGTATGTATAACCGTCATCATTTGCTGCCCTGCGCTTGCTAACAGTATTGGACAGCCATGCTTATAATGGTAAGCTAGCAGAAGGCCGCTTTTAGCCCATGTAGTTTGAGCAGAAACTGACATACCCACGCTTCAGACAGAGAGGGCCTTACTCACAGGTAAGATAATCGAGCAGCTAACGCGCCCTTTTATACACACCCCTGTTTTCCACATCTCTCATTTCTCCCCGACACCTACAGCTCTGCTTACCGTTAACCACAGATTCATCCTCAACGGCCTATCACAGGCCAATGCGGTCCTTGGAGATCACATCTTTGACGAGCATGACTGGAAGGTGATTGGTGAGTATGTATATGACGAGCAAGGTGGAGGCCATAGAGCCTTCTACTCGCCTCTCCAAGATACCGTCGTCCTGGGAAAGGTCGTTCGCAGCCATGAACGCATTCAGGTCGAACAGAGTCTCAAATATTCAGCCGAGGAGCGCCAAAAGCTATGGGCCCTAGCTAGACTTACCGAGATCGGCTATTGGGCTAAGGGGAAGGAGTATGGTGAGTCGGATTTCTAAACAAGTTTGATCACATATCACACCCAAGTTGGCCCCCTCACACCGCTGCGGTGTGCCGGGATGCACACCCATTGCCCAGGGGCAACGCAAAGCGCACATTCAACCCATATCAGCTGCTCCCCACACTTCCCCCGCAGGAGACGCCCTCGGTACTCTCCGCAGTCATCTGATGATGTAGAGGTACCAAAGCCTACTTTGGTACCTGTCTATCACTCCCTGGTCACGCCCTTCGGCGCGCCTTATCTTATAGAACTCACTACTACAGCTATACAAGAAGACCTCGCGCGTGCCCATTCTCTTTTCCTCTCTTCCCTCCATTACTAGAACTTAGAACTCAGCTGTGCCGGCTTGACCCTAACCTACAATAGGACTCCATTTGCTCCAAAAACAGCCTAGCATGCCATTCAGCTTGGTTCCACACGTCTATGCCCAGTCTGTCCTACCCTCCCTTGAGGATTGGGACTCACTCTGGGCAGCATGGGACGACCTCACTCAGAAGATGATTCCGAACGAAGAACTCCTCGAGAAGCCGATCAAGCTGAGGAATGCCTGCATCTTCTACTTGGGACATATCCCAACATTCCTAGATATTCAGTTGACCAAGACTACCAAGGATCCGGCTACCGAGCCGAAATTCTTCTGGGGCATCTTCGAGCGTGGAATTGACCCCGATGTGGACAATCCTGAGCTATGCCATTCTCACTCTGAGATACCTGACGAGTGGCCACCGCTTGAAGAGATTATGAAGTATCAGGACAATGTGCGGATGAGGCTCAAGTCTCTCTACAGAAATGGCCATGCGGCGATTCCAAGGCACGTCCAGAGAGCCATATGGGTTGGATTCGAGCATGAAGTAATGCACTTTGAAACTCTCCTCTACATGATGCTTCAGAGTGATAAGACTCGGCCTCCTTCCAATGCCCCGGCGCCTGATTTCGAGGAACTTTCTGAGAAGGCCCGTTTGGCTCGAGTTCCAAACGAATGGCATGACGTTCCTGAACAAATGATCGCAATTGGAATGGATGACCCGGAGGATGCAACCGATTTGGACTGCCACTTCGGATGGTATGTGTTTTGATCTTGGCATCACAAAGCCGTAGAGCACCGCCAAGGGTTAGATGTTAAAACTGACCACCATGATAAAGGGACAACGAGAAGCCAGTAAGGAAGGCAAAAGTCCCTGCTTTCCAGGCAAAGGGTCGCCCGATTACGAACGAAGAGGTAGGGTGCCGAGGTTCTATATCATCCCACGCACGAGAGCGCGCTAACAAGAACAGTACGCGACGTATCTCTACGAAAACAAGCTCGACAAAATCCCAGCGTCCTGGGCGAAGATTAGTGAACAGAATGGCCACACTAACGGCGATACCGGCGACAGACCTAATGGTGTAAGCAACGGACTGTCCAACGGACATTCGAACAGCGCGTCTTCCGACCTTATCGGAAGCCTCGCTGTCAAGACGGTGTACGGCCGAATCCCGCTCAAGTATGCTCTGGATTGGCCAGTCTTTGCGTCCTACGATGAGCTCTCGGGATGTGCCGCGTGGATGGGCGGACGGATCCCGACCTTTGAGGAAGCCCGGAGCATCTACACTTACACTGAGCGCATCGCGACGGAAAAGGCCGAGCGGACGCTAGGAAAGACAGTTCCGGCCGTGAACGGGTCAGTCTTGGATCCTTTCTTGAACTATATAGCATTGCTTATGTAGCTAACGCCATTTCTAGCCATTTAATCAACGATGGCGTTGAAGAAACCCCACCGAACAAGTCTTCCACCGATGTCGATAGCAGCGCGGCCGAGGAGCTGTTCATCGACCTCACAGGGGCCAATGTTGGTCTGCACCATTGGCACCCTGTCGCTGTCACCGACAAAGGTGACCACCTCGGCGGGCAGGCGGCGATGGGTGGCGTATGGGAATGGACAAGTTCCCCTCTGAGGAAGTATGAAGGATTCGAGCCCATCTCGCTGTACCCGGGATATACAGGTAAGCTTTCAGTTCTCCCCACTCCCCACTCCCCGCGGGCCCTCAGCCCAAGAACCACAATCTTTTTCCATCGTTAACCTTTCTTGTCCTCTTAGCCGATTTCTTCGACGAGAAGCATAACATCGTCCTCGGAGGTTCCTGGGCCACTCATCCTCGAATCGCCGGCCGCAAGTCCTTGTAAGTTTGCATCCTGCCTTGTCTCTTAAACACCACTGTGCGTGCTGGACTTCGGAAGCCTCCTTCTGACATTTGGCCTTTATAGCGTCAACTGGTACCAGCGAAATTACCTCTACGCGTGGGCCGGCGCCCGTCTTGTCCGAGATATGCCTTAAAGCCCTGGGATTTTGTCGTGGTTCCCAACTCTGCCAGCTCTCAACTCTGGCTGAGGTTCATGGAGAGGAGACAGGACGAATCAACTTCGCCTGCACATGGCGGTTAATGCTCTGAAATAGCCGGACTCAAATACATGTATATCTGGGAAAAGGGGAGCCTAGGAGATATATGTATTGGAGGGCTTCGTCTGATTTTCGGGTTGCCTTGGGAGTTATAATAACACTAGAATGGATATTGAATGAATTTAGGTGTTTCGATTAAAAGATAAATGATACGGACAAAAAAATGATGAGGACGTAAAATGCATTTCCCGTAAATAAGAAGAAAACGTTAAAGTACACATGGACGCCAAAGCGACGAGGAAACCCAACTCTCTCCAACGCCAGAGCTTTTATACTCATCCACCTTTTTGATTTTTTTCTTTTTTTGTTCTTGCAAGAGGCCCGGTTGCCCGGGACTTCAACACCTCTTCTCAAGTCTGAGAAAAAAATAGGGTAAATTTCTTCAGGCCCATCCACTCTCCACAGCCTCATACTTAAGCTGTCAGTAAAAGGTGCAATCAACACCTGCATATCCGAGAATTATCAGGGTAAATTGACCAGGGAGAACGCCAAGAACTCTCCTTTCCTTCTTCTTGATTTTCCATTCCCCATTAGGCCTCCTCCAACATGCCTTCCTCTTCTAAATCCGCATGGGCCTTGGTGAGGATGCGGTCGGGGACCATGGTGCCATAGGCATCCATGAGCTGAAGGAAAGGATACTCGGGTTTATGAATGCCAAACTCAGTGACAAGATTTGTGATCCACTCGGGGGGCTGCGTGAGCGCACAAAAGGCGGCGTTGTTAGCTTCGACATCCCGGTCATCGCAAAGGTGAGAGGCATGATATATCTATGCCAAACTTACAGTGTAATCAATCGGGTCCTCTGGCAACCGACTAGGCCCTTCCGTCGTAAAGTCCAGCAGACTCTGCGCAAAGCCCAAATCCTTATCCTTCTGCCCCGTAGGCAGCGTCGGCATCCTCACAAACTTATGCTCCTCGGTAGCGACGTAGAAAGGAATCTGCGGCTCATGCGCATAAGCCAACTTTGCAATCTGCGCCGTCCCCAGGCGCGAAATGATGCCCCCGCTCTGCGGCACGGCCTCGGCGCCAACGATGACCATGGTAATCCTGCGCTGGAGGCCCATGACGTGGGCGACGGCCGTCTCGGGGATCTCGGCGACGGGGATGCTCGCCTTTCGCAGCTCGGCGCAGACCTGGTCGCTTTCCTCGCGGCGACGTTCGTCCCGCACGTAGACGACCTGGAAGGTGACGCGACCCGTGCGGATGACCGCTTGCTCGGCGGCGCGCAGGATGAGGCCGGAGACGGCCCGAGACGCGCCGGATGTCAGCACCGTCGAGCCATCCTTTACGAGCTTCCAGCCGATGTTGGCGACGCTCTCACGGGCTTGGATGGCGCGGGTAGCGAAGACGGCTGAATTGGAGAGTAAGTGGTCGCGCGTGGCCGCGAAGCCTCCACTACGGCGCGACTCGTCGTCTTCGCGCTGCCTCAGAGACTGGACGATGAAGCGCTCGAAGAGGTCGGTGCCCGCCATGAGCGGCACGGGGTTCCTGACGGAGGCATGGAGGATGGCGACCTGGGACTTGATGAGGTCGAGGGTCTCGAAGACGGTGGAGGTGGGCTGGGCGTTTAGGAGTTCGATGAGGGCTTGGATGGCGGCGACGGGTTGGGTGTAGGCGGGGTTTGTGGAAAGGAGGTGGCGGTATGTGGAGACGATGTCGAAGGAGGAGGAGGTCGAGGGCGTTGGGCGGAGGGGGAGCGTCATTGTTGCTGAGGAGGATGAGGGTTGATCAGTGCCAGGGTTGGCATTCTCCGTTTTGACGGGAGCTAGACAAGGGCTTGGTTAGTTCGAGGCCATTGAGGGAATACAAAGAGAGGAGGCATACAGTTAGGGTCATCTGCTGCCATGGAGAGAGCAGGGCAAGTGGATTTTGTCTGTGCTGTTCCGTGGGTGCTACTTAAAGCGGAGGGATTCCTGTGACGATTCTCAGATTCAAGGTCGAACAATGGATTTGATAATTGCTACGATCAAGAATGTGAGTCAGTCACACAAATCCCAGAGGATGTGGGGCAATGGATTGTTTTATTGTACTCAATACCTATGATTATGCATAATTAGCTAGTGATCAATTGTACTAGATACCTCATCGCTAGTTGGCGGGCTTCCAACATGGTGTGTCCAAGTCGAGAAACCACCTTCGTCTACTGCTCTTTCCCATTTGACCGGACCAAACAGCCCCGATGTGGTAACTGACATCACCTTGAATTGCACCTATCAACTCCTTTGCTTTAGAGGCCCCGGACTGGCTGGCTGCCTGTATTATGGGGAAGCCACAGCATTGAACAGGCACGGGATGCCTGGAAGCAACCCTGAGAGCAGCCAGCGATGGGTGTAATTGTCTCTAATGAAACAGCATTGAGCGCAGGTTGAACCCCACCTCAAAGCTACCCCTCCTCCTTAAAACTCCCCGGAAGCTTCACCTCGCATGTTACAGGCTTCGCCTCAAAGACCCGAGGTCACATTCTACATTCCAGGAACCTCCTCGTATCTCGTCTTTCGTTTCAAGAATTCATCATCCAAATAAGCCCTCAGATCTCTATCTCTCCTTCTTCCGAGATATCCAGCCTAGCCCGCCAGAAACATCAAAAGAGATAATAATAAAAACAAAAAAAGCACAGCTAGCACAATGACATCCACCGACCCAGCAACTGGCCTCCCACTCCCCCCAGACGCCCTCCAACGCGTCCTCTTCATCGTCCACCCCGTCCACGTCTACGCCGTCCCACCCCTCGCCTCGACAAAAGGCTACTCGGCATCCTCCTGGACCGCCGACCCAGCCCGCCACATCTTCACCGCCCGCTGCCGCATCATCGAAACGTCCTACGAGCAGGACGACCGCGAAGTCCTCAAGGCCGACGTCGTTCTCGAGGACCCCAAGACGGGCGAACTTTTCGCCGCCGCGCCCTATACGGACGAGTCGGCCGTCGAACCCGTCGTCGACAGCTCGAGGTTCTTCGCCCTGAGCGTGAGGGATCCTTCGGGGAGGAAGGCCGTCTTGGGGATCGGCTTTGAGGATAGGAGCGAGGCTTTTGATTTTGGGGTCGCGCTTCAGGAGCTGAAGAAATCCGTTCTCGGAAGCACGGCTGCCTCTTCGCTGGGCGGAGCGAATGCGGCTGCGGCGGAAAAGAAGAAGAAGCCGACCGAGATGAGGGACCTCAGCTTGAAAGAGGGGGAGACCATCACCATAAATTTTGGCGGGTCCAAGTTCCAGAGGAAACAGCGGCCTAAGGAGGAGACGTCGACTCCTTCTGCCGGCGGAGATTTGTCGGCCTTCTCCTTACCGCCTCCTCCGGGTGCCCCTACCGGTTCTTCAAATGCCGGAAACGTGTTCCTGCCGCCTCCACCTCCGCCCAGCGGATCTAGAACGAGCAGGGCTCAGAAGAGGCTGTCGGCACAACAGCTCGGTTTTGACGATGGCCAGTTTGGCGAGTTTGCATAGATGTTTTCGTTTTTCTTTTTTCCTACCACCCCCCGTGGGGGTGTAATGATGTTTCGCGGCGTAAAAGGTTTATTCTCTTTTTCTTTCCTTTTTGGATCGGGGCGCTGGAGGTAATCAGTCTAGTCGCGACTGCGAATTTTGGATACAGATGAGATTTGGCCTGAATGATCAACTTAGTAGCTTCCGCTCTCGTCGTACAAGACATAGCATATCCAGGTGATATCATCCAATGTTGGTCGTCTCATGATGTACCGCGTTTCATTTCTCAGTTTGGGATATGCAAGAGATAATCCATGGATTTCTGTGCTAACAAATACTGGACGTATTCCAATTTCCAATTTGCTACTCTTACAAGATTCCTGGTTATCCAACCGCCTTGGCGCCCGTCCAATTGAGAAGCTATCAAAGTTACCAACCGTATCCTTCCGGAGGCGCAGACACATCTGGCATCGGCCAGGGATTATGGGTTTCCGAGTCAGGAGAGGACCACGAGGGTACGAAAACTGGAGACGTGGGGCTCAAACTCGTCGTTACCGACACAGCAGGACCGAGAGGATTCATCGAGTCAAAAGATGCGAGGGACAATGATTCATCCGCCGCTGCCGCTTCTGGTGGGGTATGGAAATACCCAACGGGAAGTGTGTGGCCATCCACGAGAAGTGAGTCGAGGCCCATGCCCTGCAGCTGCTGGGATTGTAGCCGAACCTGAGCCCACCGCTCCCTACTCTGCATCTCAACGTAAAGCTCACCGAGACGCACGATGATGGCCTTCTCCTGCTCCGCAGCCATAGCTATCTTGCTCTTGAGCAGGCTGATGTGCTTCCTCAACCGCCGGCGCTGGCGTGGGGTTCGTTCCGATGCGGTTTCAGGGGACTCAGCCGTGGCGGCTCCATATGAAGCCTCTTCTTGCTCCAAGGCCGACAGCCGGAGGAGGAACTCGTAAGATCGCCTACCTTGGGTGGAGAGGGAGTCCACGAGGTAGGTCCGCTCGATGAGGAGGTCTTGGATCGGGCGGGGTGACAGCACTGTCCGGGGGGCGAGAGATCCGATCTGGGGTTTGGGTAGTGCTGGGCGATGGTTGTGGTGCTGCTGCTGCTGCGGGTTCTTTTGTGTTCGTCCCTGTTTCGGTCGTTGAAACGCTGTGGTTGGAATCGGTAGACTCTTGGGGCACAATGGAGTACTTAGAGGAGACACCGTGGGCGGAGAAGAGGACGGAGCTGTGCTACTGCAATCACTTGCTGATCCCATCGTGATAGACGCCTCAAACTTGGAAGAAGTCATGGTGACTCTGCATAGTAAATTCAGATTACTGATCGACGTAGGTGGGAAGTAGGTTTTTGAGCCATCCTGGGAAAGGATCTCCTAGGGGAAAAGGGTTAAAATATGGAATGCTGCTCCTCGCCGCTTGGCTCGCTGTGACACTCGACGAGCATCCCTCATTTCGTCCGACGGGTTTCGATAAGAATCGTATCTTTGTCCCTTTTTGCATTCGATGTCGGTAACAAAGGTCGTTTGTTGCCCAAGTCAGTCTCCCGATGCAAGGGAGTCGATGGAAGTAGCCCGGTTCGGTCAAGCAAGCGATGCGCCCCGCTCGCCTCGGCGAACTTACACTTCCCGTCACGTATTAATGGCCCCCTCCTCCCTTTCCAATCCTCAAATGTTGAAACCTTCATGGCCTGGAGGGTCGCAAAAACGCCAAAGCCCAGCCTGCTCTGCTGCCCTGCGTGCGGAAGATATCTCCGACTCCGTCGCGGCGCGATTGATTTCGGCATAGCGGACGTCGTCCTGTGTTCCCGATTCCACTCCCTCTGCGGTGCTCCCTTCCCCTCCTCCCCTTCTAGTTCGTTTCGCCTTGCCAACGTGGGCATCGGGGTGGTACTGCTCCATAATGTTGACAAACATATCCTTGGAGATGTCGGTGGCGAGAAACTGCATGATCTTTTCCGCTTCTGATTCCTTACCCGGCATAACGAGGTGCCGAACAAGGACGCCTTTCTTGGCTATTCCGTCTGGGGTAAAGCACAGATCACCAACTTGCTTGTGCATCTCCCTGATGCTCTCCCTTGCTGTGGCAGCGTAATCATCTGCCTTAAGTAGCCTCTTTGAAGTGCTTGGCTCCCACACCTTGAAATCAGGAAGGTAGATATCGACTAGACCGTCCAGCAGCTGGAGAGATTCCGCCGAATCGAAGCTCGACGTGTTGTAGATGATGGGCAAGCGCAGACCCAGCTCCGCAGCGTGCAGGATGCTGAGCACGACTTGGGGTACCACATGTTCCGGAGTGATGAGATTGATGTTGTGCACCTTTCCCACTTCCTGAAGCTTGATGTACCACTCGCCTAGCTCCTCGGGGGTAAGATCCATGCCGTTGCGTTGATGCGAAATGTCGTGGTTCTGACAGAAGACGCAACGGAGGTTACACCCAGAGAAGAAGACGGCGCCACTTCCATTGTGGCCCTGGATGCAAGGTTCTAGAAAAGTAAACAAACGAAAAATACGTCTTAGGCACTGATTTGTGATCTAAGGCCGGACATTGAAAATATTACGGCTTGAAATGGAAGGGTGAAGGGATAGGTATATTAGGGAGAGGAGGGAAGGATAAGATCTAATTCTCGGTCCACATCTGCAACCACACTGACTAGATGAGGCTGGTAGGGAGTTTGATGCAGACTTAGGATATGGATATGAGTGTGAATATGGTGGGAGGTGGGAACGAGGGTGAAAAAAATACTGCAAGGGTTCGGCGCATATCCCTTACCTTCACCAAAGTGTGGCGCAATCACATTGACCTTGGCCTTGTCACCAATAAGGCACATTCCCGTCTTCTCATACCGGTTAACCCCGCACAATCGCGGGCAGAGGTTGCAGTTACTCAAATGGGCATAGGCGCGAGACCGCTTCTTCGCCGAGTCGACCGAGGAAAGGGTCATGTATCTCGGGATGTAGTCGTCGAGGAGGAACGGGGGCGCCAGATGGAGGTGACGACGCTGCGGGATGGTGGCATGGTTGGGGAGAGAAGTGAGCCGCCGGCATTTAAGCCACGGTCTTGCGAGGGCTCGCATTATCGGGGAAGGTTCATAACGTGGTAGGGCGTGAGTTTTCCATTCGCATCGATTCAAGGCAAAAATTGCGTCGTGATGGTGTCCCGTTGAGGTCGAATGAGTGTCGCGAGGGAAGTTGACGTCAAGTTTTGATGGATAAATGCATACGCTTCAATAAGCTCGAGAATTACTAATACCAGCTCAACCCGTTAACCCGGCAGGCCCGGATTTTGCCTGGTTCGGATCCGGCAACCGAGGATACAACTTAAGCTCTCCGGCACGAGACGGCATCCGGACGCCGGGGTCGTTGACGAGATCACAATACTAAAGGCTTGGGGTTTGAGCGCTTGAACATTATATATATAGAGGGGTGATATGACTCCCCCAAAAAATGAATTGCTAAATGATTTTCTTGGTCCTTTCTGTGAGTAATTTATCGAGGCAATTGACTATCCACATATCCCTAAACTCAGCAATGAAGCATTATTATGTCGAGAAAAAGTCGTCGTGCTATCTGCAAATTCTGATGCCACAAAAAAACATTTATGTCATATATCCCGATCTCGGCTGGACCTCATCACTGCGGGTATCATATCCAGCACCATCAACACCAATAATCCATCCAAGGTATAATATCCAAAACAAATCTACGTTTCCATTCCCCCCTAACCTCATCGTATTATCGGGAGCGCGATAAAATCACCGTCTCTAGTAGTGAGGTTTCTCCTCCCAAATGGGTGGCCTCGCCTCAATCTCGTCCCAAATAATCTTGTTCTTATCGTCGAGTGTGCATCCCTCATCCGTAATCGGGATCACACCCTCCGTATTCGCAATCTCGTGCTTTGACAACCCGGCGACATCCTGAGGGATCCAAAGCAGAGGAGGCCTGTCGTTGACTGACGGGGGATTATACGAGTTGGCCTCGGTGGCCTCTTCGAGGGTCTCGCCGGGGCCGTATTGGTGACGGGGGATAAGCTTGCGAAGTTGCGCGTACGACGAGTACTTCCACGGCTTGAAGAACTTGGTAAGGAAGTTGCCTTTGGGCGGGGCCGACGCAGAGGCCTTGACATTCTTGCCCCCGGCAGATGTGCTGCCCTCGCCGGCAGTGGCGTCCTCCTCGATGGCGTCGTCAGCCTCACCGTGTTCCATGAGGCTCTCCTCTTCAACCTCGAGACTGCGGGGCAGGTTGTAAAGCAGGGGGTTGAGAGCGCTCTGCACGGTAATGTGGAAGAATACCGTGAACACGAGGAAGACAATCATGACAATCATGGGCCAGAATGCCTTGGACACCGCGCACATGCCAACCATGCAAATTTCAGCGAGGTAAACACCGACGAGCAGCTGCTTCATGGCCCGCGGGTAGATGAGGCCCCTCGTATCGATGCCGGAATCATTGACGAAGAGGATGTTGTACCTGTACGCGAGATAGAAGAGTGCCATTCCGATGGTAGACCAGAACAACATCAGCGGAGCGATGACCGAGTACGTGATACCTAAGAAAAAAGTTTCCATGTTAGCCACTTGTATGCAAGACGAAGAAATAAATCTTATAAGCACTCACTGATAACGGCAATGTTAGTATAGATGGGAAGGACCTGGCCCCAAGAGATGGCCGACAGGGTTGTCCATTTGTTATACATGGCACGGGGCGTTCTGGCCAAGAACTTGTACGTCAGGCGGAAGATGACGTAGCCCGCAACCTGGGTCAAGACACTCGAAGCAATCGTGATACCCTGAACGATGAAAAAGGAAATGTAAAAGTTGGAGGATTTGGGGATGGCGGCCGATAGGGTCTCGAAAACCTTGCCGGGCCCTTCCTTCGCAAACGTGCCCAATACGCTGAATACCGAACCGGATATGGTCGTGACGAGGAAGACCTGGACGACCTGGAAGGCGAAGTAGACGGCCTGAGTGAAGAGTTCGACTTGCGAGTCGGTCGGCTCACCAGCAAACCTAGCGCAGAGCCTAATAACGACAGGGACGAGAGACATGAGAATGGAAAGAGCAACGGCGGGAAGGAGACCGGTGATGAAACCCATGACGACTTCCGGGACCTTGTCAAGGAACGACAGCCAGGACCACTTGGCGCGGAGGGTGTCGACCTGAGAAATAGAGGCGACGAAGGCGACGGGAATGGCCCAGAAGATGATCATGGCAGTCAGGAAGGCAAGGACAATGTATCGTCGGACAATCTTCTGCCACCACGGGACTCTAAGACTCTTCCAAATCACCTCCTCTGGACTGACTCCGATGTACCTGGGGCTCATTTGGAGAGGGTCGTGGTGAGTGAGGGACTGGACGGCGGACTGGGCGTCGGACTGGGTATAAAACTCGACAAAGACGGCAGGGATGGGCTTAGACTCCCCAGCGAGGTACTTGGCCTGTGCCTCTTCGATTTCCGGGGTGAGAGTGCTCAGCTTCTCCCTAGACCACTCGATGGTGTCGACCTTCTCACCGACAAGACCAAGGAGGCCCAGGCGATGAGTAGGCCGCTTGTCCTTAGGAACCCAGCGCGCTGCGAGGTCACCGCTCTCGAGCTCCTGGGGAGGCGATTGTTGCTTGGAAGTCTCGGAAGATCCGTCCTTGGACTTGACGCGATTAGCGTTGGCGAGCTTTAGGAGCTTTACCTCGGCAGCCTCGAGCTTCATGGCAACCTTTGTGCGCTCCTCGACGAGCTTATCGAGGTCGTCGGTATCGCCGGTGATCCAGATGTGCTTCGCAGTCTCCTTGAACATGAGCCGAATCTTATCAACGTTGAGGTAGGCCTGCGGAACGGAGGTGAAGAGAACGGTCCGAGACGAGATGCGGCGAGCAACCTGGGGAGTGAGAAGGAAAGCCTGTCGCAGGTAGATGTAAAAGATGCATTCCCGCATGATCATGTACAGCACGAAGCCGTAGAAGATCCAAGCCACCAAGACGTGGCCAAAGAGACGGTTCCGATTCGCAGAGTCCTGGATATTGATGTTGCTAATGGACAAGATATCGAGCTGCTCCGCATTGCCGCCGCCGGTAGCATTGATGGGGAAGAGCGTAGGCCAGGTCATGCAAAGACCAACGAAGCAGATCGTAGTACAGATGCGCAAGAATCGAAGGAACAGATAGCCATCGAGAGACTGGGTTCTGAGGGCATGCGCATCTGGAATCTTCCAAAATGAGCCAAACCAGTTGAAGATGCCGTTCGGCAAGGCTGGAGTCCTCTCCCTGTGCGATCCTATGTTAGATGGCCAACCGAAAATCAGAGGGATGGCGGAGATGGCCGGGCCACGTACTTTTCAGGAATGGTTCCCAGATATGTCCTGGGAGCATAGTATCTCCTCGCGCCTTTGCGGATAATGAGGAAAATACCAATCATGATGAAAGCAACAAGACCACCAGTGACCAGTGTGGTCACCATGCCTGTTCGTTACATTGTATTGATTAGCAAGACTACTTCCAGCTAGAAACCGCTCAAATGCATCATCGCATTCTCAAGAGAGAGGCCATAGAAGAATAGAGGATGTGAGCTCTCGGGGAAAAATGTTTTCTTTCTGCTTACCCTGGAGGGTGGCGGGTTTAGTCTCGGCTGCGTCCGAGTCGCTCATTTTTGCGGTAACGACGACTGAATCGGCACGAGGATGCGTCGAAAGGGGAGATAACAAAAAGGAAATGGAAAGGGAAGAGGGAAAAAGAAGGTAAAGTCCCGTCTAAATTGAAGAAGAGAAATTCGAGCCCGTGTTAAGAGTGAAAAAAAACGAGGAAGGGCGCCGCCATTCAAATTCTCGTCAACTGTCGTCCCGGCCCACTCCCGAATGGTGGTGGAGGGTCTGAACAAGCCGAAGTCCAAGACTCGGTGCCGTACTTGGTCGGGAATTAGTTGTAGAGTGTATGTGCTCAAGAAGAAGAATTTGATCAACACCTGCAATCAATCTGCCTCCACAGCCAAACACGCAATTTAAACGAGGGGTTAGGCGGCGGTATATAGGAAGGGGGTATTCGATCTCTCGGCTGTCGACAGGTTCCACAATGACACGCTTGACAATGGACGGGGAAACGTCGAGCTGAAAATCACGAGGGGGAGAACCAGGGGGTTCGTGGTTGAAAGAGGCCGAGAAACAGGTTAATCAAATATAGTCATTCTTCCTGCTCCTCGCTACGAAGTACGTCCATACAAGTAGATAACGACGGGGAACTGGAGTGACATCTATTTGATACAAATGAGATCAATGGATGGACTGACCTGGGCTGGACTGGGCTGGTCGAGGGGCCTGAAAAAGCCCAATCGATGGATCCATCGAATCTGCATCGCGCAACCCGCATGACCCACCAGGGATCCCTGAGGTATTCCCAAGTACGATGTATTGGCAAGCGCGTCTTGGGCGTCCTCCATGGCATCGGACAGGGCAAGCATCAACAACTCGTGCAAGCACTCGTCGACGATTACCGTCTCCTCCACAATACGTATGCTTGGCGCAAGGGTTGTCCAGTTGAGCTGGGGTGGCGACTTGCACCTTGCGCTATCACCGACGATCATTGATGTGGTCATTGATCTTGGGAGCCCTCCAAAGAATGGCCACAGTGAAGGGTACGGCGTATCCGCCCCTACTTCGTTGGGAACAAGTTACTCCAGACTTGGAGGCATCCATTTCCCAGACAGGATACGGCTTTTAGCTCGAGCGAGTGCTTCGGCGATACTATGACGAGTACTAGATTGAGGGGAAAAAAGAAATTTCCACGAGGATGGCGCGTATCACAGTGGACTGGCGTGGCTCTCCAAGTTCGAGCGCACACACTTGATGCCCTTCACTTTGCTCGACCTGCGAAATGCCACATGTACAAGCATCAAACTCAAATACTTGTAGGTACCGAGGTACTTGGACTCCTGCGTTCCGGCCTCCTGCGCTCCTCTTGAAAATTGATACGAATTGACCTTGAACAGAGCTTCCAATCCTCAGCGGAGGTCGAATACCGACAGCGTCCTCTATTGCCTCGCACAATTGAGAGATCCAAAACCTCGTGTACACAACCTACAAGTTTGCATGCAAAGTATAATAGTCCAACGAAATTTTTTTTCCCGTGTCAAAACGCCAGCGCCTCGTCAAGCCGCTCAAAGCTTGTTGCCCAGGGAATCGTTATCCTTAGGGTGTTATCGGACATTAAACGGCTGCGCCTCACAATCAACTGACACGGAGCACGAGTGGTCTTGCTGCGTGTGCAAAGCTCAGCTCAGACGTCGGCCTCTCGCCAGTGTGTCGGCGAAAGAGGATCCCAATCTTATTAGCGCCGCCAGGTCATCTTAGCTTCTGAAACTAAACTAATTCCCACCACCGTCGCCACACCCTCGCCGGGCCATACCGCTTCGAGACACAGTCCCAAAAAGGAGTATTGGCAAATGACGTACGCGAAGAGTGTGAAGTGTGCTTGTTGGACAAAGGTATCCACATGCATACCCAATGCATAGATAGATATTGCTTCATACTTCGTCGACATTTACCTCTTTCTAGCTCTTCTGACTTCATACCTTTCAGTTCAACCCTACTCTGTTGCCACAGCTTTGAAAGTTCTAGTCTAGCCGCCTTTTCTGGCTGTGCCTGTGGCGCATCTCCGGGTCATGACGAAAGAAGTTGAAGCCATCTCCATCCACATGGGTCACACGTCGTCGCATAGGAAGTTTAATATAGAGTTCAAATCTTTCAGCCCGGCATGCCTCCCAAGAAGCACCCTTCTTAGAGGGGAGCAGGAGAGGACAGACTGGAGTGTACACAGGTACCCGATGCACCTTCACCCTTTGGGCAGGGTCCCATGCTCGTCAAGAAAAAATAGAGTGTTCATGTTTAATAGCACAGATGTTTTATTGGCCCACAGGACTCTGGTGGTTGGTCGGAAATCGCCCCGGCAATGCACAGTTCAGCTGGGATGGGGTCAAAAAGAAGGGAAAAACACAATGATAATAAAAGTCGATACGACACTGCCGAGAACCCGCCCATCATCAAGGAGTCAATGCAACGATGGATCGCAGATCATCAGTGATGGATGCCTTTGGTGTCATCCACGGGCGGGAGCGCCAACCCGAAGGTCTGGTCAGGCGGCGGGTTTACTTCATGCATTATATCCTCTGTGAACTTTGTCCAGAGCACACTATACGCTCGTAAGCGTCATTGTTTCTGGTGCACGCAAGCCAGTCCTGGCTTTTCAGAGTCTGAGACGCGATGAGACCTCCTCGTGTTGTGTCGTCGCTGCGAACGACGCGACGATGCTGGTGAGAAATGAGACCAGCCAAGTCTAGCCTCGATTAGCGCTTCGGAATCGAAATAGGTAGTCTCAAGCCGCATCATGTGTCTCGTCTCGTCGGTCGGGCGCTGGGGTCTCTCTCCAGCAGTGCAGGGGTTGGCATCTGTGCGCTGTACTTTGTAGAGGTTGTAGGACAGGACAAGTCCAAAGTAAGTTTACTTCGTAGATTATGATTGCCTGTGTATTACCTGCCTCTTCTCTATCCTCCGGATTCAGACAGCTGCGCATCTGGACCATTCAACCACCATTCGACCACTATTCTTGCCCTTCAACGCTAGGTTACCATCGTGACCTAGTGTCTCCTCTCCCGGCCTAGTGCTGAAGAGCAAATGCATTAATTGATCACAGTGGATAAGGGCGCTCTATACTTCGTATGTGCATGCGTACACTACTTCGTACTGCTGCTATGCTTGTCGTACGCTACTTTAGAGGAGAGGCCCAACGAAGTCTGAAAAACGGTCGTCGCGTCGACGACACTCCTAACAGCCGCGCTTTCAATCTCCTCTGAACATCAACGACTCCACATACTTCGTAGTTCGTACTACCTGTAGCTTATTTACCAAGTATTGATGTTTAACTTGGAAGAGTCCAGCGAAGCCTCTCTGCCAACCCTCAAGCCTCCAACTGCTGTTTACAAATAGTGATACCCCGCAGAGACGAGGCATCCATCCCAACTAAGCCTCGAGGTTCTAATGGCATGCAGTTCTTGATATCAAAGAAGCAACTCGGCATGTCTATCAATGCTTGGCTTTTCGATGGATTTCATCATGCAGATCCCAAATCCAGCGTAGTTTACAGACGTAGACAGACGCCCTATCCCGTATCATATATCATACATAGCACATGGCTTACTCGACGTCTCCGCCACGGCTACGTACTTCATAGTATGTAGAAGAGGCAGATTCGAGGAGGCACACCAGCCCTTCTCCTCTACCACATTGGAATGCTCGTAGATGAGACGGCCCTCTTCTGTGTCCGTTTTCGGTGCATGCCTTGGGAACAAGCCATCATGCTGTGTTGCTTGGAATGTTGCATGCTCCATGGAACACATTCCATCCTCTCTCCGAAACCCACCGTTCTCAGTAGGATAGAGAAAATGAATAGAATGCATTTTCCTATCCTCCGAATACCTAACGGGTAAATCGCCAACTAGTTGCAGTTCTCACGGAAAGATCTCTGCCAGCTTCTTGTGTTCTGCTTGATACTATTATCAACATCCACTTTCACGCTCTCTCGGGTGATTGTGTGGTTGACACATTCAGAACATTGCTGCAGTTTCCCTAATCAAGCGCTTACCAGATACAGTCAGGAACGAACAAGATGACGACTCGAATGACGAACCCGCCGCCCGCGGAACAGGGCGACACCTTCGCAAACATGCTAGGCTACATACGGGCCACCGAGTACGCCAGGGCGTATTACTCTGATCATCTCAGAAACAACCACGAGGACCTCATCCCTCTCCTATCGCACGTCAACTGTGACTACCTGTCGCACCCAAGCAGACCGCCAACCCTGCTGGCTCTCAAGCAGCACGCACAAGCCCTCGCAATCTTCATCCGAGCTCATTGCATCAGCACGCAAGGAGGAGAGGTAGATGGAGCGAATAATGACGAAGATGCCAGAAAATTCCGGGAGCTGGAAGCCTTCGATTGGCTGAATGATCTGAGCAAGCCCTACGAGAATAACGATCCGAGCCATGCCACCCCTCTGACATCGCTCTCAAATCATGTCAAGAGCCAGTCGGACAGGGAGGGACCCGAATTTTACTGCCCCTTCCAGTCATATCCATCTCCGCCCCCAGGGAAAGAGGGAGGCGATGGCATACCCCGCAAAAAACACGCTTACCAGAGTCACCAAAATCTTCTTCTGCATGCAAACGATTGCCTCGAGATCCTGGATCACGAGTTCGCCGCCACGGGAGGTTTCATGTCCATTCTACCAACCCGGGAGAGCAAGCACAAGCGTGAGATAGAAGATATGAAAGCCGTCCGCAACTCGCTAGTCGGACAGTGGCTCTTATTCACGCAGCATCTCGTGGCGCGGATGCACGAGCTCGAAATCAACTACGGGAAATCCCTCGACGTCCTCGCCGGAGAGGCAGCTGTGCCGCTGCAAATGGCAGGCCGGTCCGGCGCCATGAAGGAGACGGGGAGAGAGATCGGCTTCCCCCAGGACCGCTGGATCCTCGCCAACGCGGGTGACGACGTGTTCGATTACCTGCACCAGCTCCTGGATAAGAAAGAGGCTCAGTACGAGGCCCAAGAGGCTTCCTGGAAGGCCGCCGGCGTGAGCGGCCACCGGCTGTGGATGG